ATCAAAAACCAAAACATTTAATTTAAAAATGTATGTTTATTTTTATTATCTACATATTGAAAAAAATTTTTGTTTTTTCACCTAGTTTTTGGCTGTACATCTGTTTTCCTAATTTTAACCTTAAAATAATGCCCAAACTATCCAATAACATTAACGCATCCATACTTGTTTGGGTGTAAACGTAAACTGTAAAACGTAAAGATTTATTTACTGTGCTGTATATGCAGTTAGGTCATGAAGAAATCTAATAATGTTGTTTTGTGTTTTAGAAAATATCACTTTTTTTTGACGATGCAGCTCAACAGATTTTAGGCTTTAAAAGACTTTTATTATTAAATCTGCTCACCAGGAAACTTAAGTTCTTGTTGACGTAAGTTTCCCATTTGATTAATTGACAAGCTGCAGTGATTTATTTGGGTGGATTTGTTGGTCACTGGATTGCGCACCTTGTTGATTAGCAGACTTATTGGACTGAGGGAGTCACTAAGCACATGCTATTGATCAGTTAATTGATGATTGGTCTGTTCTGTTAGTTCAGCTCTCCTGTTTCCAGAGTGATTTGTCCTGATTGAGAGTGTGTGTCCGGTGTCTTTAGGGGCGACGCCATGTCAGATACGCTCAGTCAGAAAGCGGACAGTGACGGTGGAAGCAGCAGCACCGACGACAAGAGGTCCAGGAGCGAACTGAGCTCCCCCACCGACATCAGACCGCCAGAGACCTATAACAGGTCCGTCATGTAAGACAGCCTCCATTATCACAAGAGGAGAAAGGATTCTTTCAGCTGCCGTGAATGTTAAACCCATTCCCCAGCATGTTCTCTCACCTCTAAAAATATCTGTGAATTTCATCAGGCTGTTGTCACTGCGGTTTCTCATGTGACTCGTTTCCAGACACCTTTCACTTTCACTCAGTCATTCCTAACAATACACGTCTGGCCAAATGCCTGAGATGGGAATCCAAGTGCGGTGAGATAATACATGGGGGAGACACGGGTGTCCATCACCTTTACTTAAGTAAATGCACCGATACAACAATGTTATTATTATTAGTTTTAAATTAAATAAAATTAAATGTTCTCTTTTTGCAGAAAACTGTACTTTAAGTATTATAAGCTAAATTTACTTAAAATATAAGTATTTATTATCTCATCTTATCTGACATTATTAGATTGTAAATACTGACGCATCAGTGTTATATCAGCATTTTACTGTTTTAGTTGCTCTACGTAGAGCTAGTTTAATTACTTTATATAGTGTTAATTAGTTTAACTATTTATAGTTTTTTAGTTTAACTACTTTATACACAGTATGTACAATTAACTAGTTTTAAGTACTTTATGTGCAGTTAACTATTTTCAACTATTTTATACAGTTAGTTTTAATTACTTCATGTACAGTTAGCTATTTTAACTACTTTATGTAGTTAGCTAGTTTAAACTATTTTATGTACAGTTAACTAGTTTTCACACATTTATATACATTAGGCTAGTTTAGTCCAGTGGTTCTCAACCTAGGGGTTGGGCCCCTCCAAAGGGTCACAAGATAAATCTGAGGGGCCGTGAAATTATTAATATTTATAAACAGGTGAACCCATTATACTTTAACAATTCATTAGCCTCGATCAATTGTTTATGTTTGTAATGTTATAATAAGAGGGAGCTTCCTTTGTTTCTTCTGCCAGACCATAAAAACCCTGTATGGCTTAAACCTAATTCATCCTTCACTTTATCTTTTCTACATGTGTAGCAAGGAGGACATTCACTGCAGCCAGAGTCATTCTTCAGTCCAGAGTCATTTATGAGTTACTGTGAACCTGAGCTAGCAGTGTTTGTACTTTCTGAACACAGCCACAGGAGGAAGCGAACCGACGGTTTATTCCGCCGCCCCCTCGGCCGCTCTGAAAGCCACTGCCACGGGAACGGAGGGGTGATGGAGCGAAGCTCCCCACCGGTGACGGGCCACTTCAGTCCCAGGGAGCTGCTGCTGGGACGGGGTCAGGGTATGACCCCACCCCTCGATAGCCCGGAGCGCCGCCGCCGCTCTGCTGCCGCCGTGACCATGACAGTGAGCCGACATGATTCGCTGCGGAGGCCGGAGGACACGCCCATCCGACGCTCGAGCAGCGGGCAGCATGGCTTCGGCTCCAGAGCGCTGGACCCCGACATGCTAGCGCAGGTACACAAACACACACGGATGCAGTTGTGAAGTTGTAAAAACCTAATTTGAGACCCGTTTCTGGTTAGGCTTCTTTTATTTAAAAGGTCATAGCATATCATCAACAGCAAGAGTATGTTAGTTAAATTAAGAATAACAAACATTCTCCCACACGTGACATGATCATATCAAACGTACAATTATTTTCCCTATTTCATGGCAATATTTGTGTATGGACTTAATTTTATGGGTACGTAGTCTTGAGTCAACTTGTTTCTGCTCTCCAGTTATTGCAGGTTTCAATTTTAGTTTTTCCGGTGAGGCTGCATGTCTTTCTGCTTAATCGTCCTCTTTCTGCCTCCAGGACATTGAGGAGACGGTGACTGTGGCTCTGGGGGAGTTGAGGCAGCTGGAGCGGCAGGGCTGCCGGCCGGCTCCTGACGTGGTGCTGGACACTCTGGAGCAGGTGAAGAACGGCCCTGTCACCACCTGCTCCTCCGAGTCTCCCAGCCCCCACAGCACCCCCAGCACTCCGGGCACACCGGGAACCCCCGGCACTCCCGGGACTCCCGGCACCCCGAGCCCCCTCAGTCCTCTAAGCCCCATGAGCCCGCTCCCCGGACCTCCGCCCGGACCTCCCAGACCGGCCAACCCTTCCCCTGACACCCTGGGCTCCTTCAAACCTGTGGCAGCTGCCCGCATCGGGACTCCGCTGCGGCCCCCCGCCCTCAGGCCTAAACCTATTGTCCCACCCAAGAGCAGCACCCCGCCTCTGCCCCCGCCGCTGGACAAATCCTGCACCATGTGAGCCAAACTAGGCCGATGAACGGCCAAATCAGGCCTACCCAGGCCAAAAATGGGCCTGAAGTGGAGATCAGGGTACTGCTAAATGTGTATAATCAACATGAGGGTAGAAAGGGTAGGACAGACAAAAAGGGTTTTAATGTAGTACTAAACTATAATATATGACATGAACTATGATATGATATGCCATGATATTTATGTGTTGTCAGGTTGGTGTGTACTCTCTTGGTGTGTAGGAGTTTACTTTCTCCATGTATTGAAGCATTTATCAAAGGTTAGCTAAAAGAACTGCTGATAAAGAGACACAGGAACGAGCATAGGCAGAGCATCCTGTCCTGTATATGAGACCATAGTCAAAGAGACTTGTGGAGTGTAGTTCAGCTCCAGTAAAATGTAGTTTCAGTGACGTGAATGTTGGCTGTAATGTCATGAAGATAGGCCTGCGCTAGCTGAGGAGCCTATCACCAAAAAGGCTGGTGTTTTCTTAAAAACTATCCCGATCGGCTGCTGTATCTGTAACGAGAGACTCCGTGTGAAAAGGACGAGGACACGGCAGAGTGAAGGCGACAACGGTTCAACAACGTCTGTGTGACTTATAATTTATTTTTTTATTTTTCACTCGGTTCAGCTGCTAAGCTCACTTACACCTCAAACCACGAAACGCCTCTTGAGGTCGTCAGTGACACCAAACTCACATTATTTAACCAACTATTTACTGAATGTTTCCAGTATTATACGACTGTTCAGCCATCTATTGAATGTTCAGTGAGCTGCTGCGGCGACTCGCTAAACTCTTTTAACAGCCTTCTTGTGTTCTCGGAGGGGAAACCTACACCCAGACCGGAGCTTCAAACAGGGTGCGATGGTTGAGTGGTGGAGGGAGCTTGGACAGAACTTTTTTCTAGGACGGGGGTGGGTGTATGATTTTGTTCTTGTTTGTGTATGTGCGTGTGTGCGCAAGACGAGTGTGTGCCCTGCTTGCCTGCCCTTGTTCTGCTCCCTTGTAAGTGCAGAAGCACTAGAATAGTGATAGATGATAGATAATTCATGCCTGCCTTGAGTGCCAGAACACGCAAGAGCAAGTTTGGGAAAAACAGTGCGAGTGCAAAAAAGCATGCTACTTTCTGTGTGTGTGTGTGTGTGTGTGTGTGTGTGTGCGGGTGTGTGTGTAATGGTTTACCTGCTTGTGAAGTCACTGAAGTCACTAGTTAACCTTAAATTCACAATAAGCTAACAGGGTGGGGCTCTTGTGTGTAAACGCCCAAAAAAACAACAACACTTGAACAGCACACTGAATGTGGCCTCCAACAGGGCTGGTAACTGATGTGAGTGAGTGTGGTGATTAAAATTAACGTGACGTGCTGAGATGGGCTATGGATGCACATCTTTGTGTGTGTGTGTGTGTGTGTGTGTATGTGAAAGTGCCTTTTTTTAAATCCTTGTCTTTTTTGGGGAGTTGTGAATCCACTCACGCATGTCCTGAACGAAGAGCAGCAGCACTCTGAATGAAATAATCATAAAAGTGTTTAGTAGATTACTGAATTATGAATTCAAGCATTAACCCATTGTGACATTGCACTTTGATGTATAGGATTGTGTACTTGGCATGTAGCATCATAACATGTTGGTGCATTTTAACTCAAAGGGAGGTTTCTTTGAATGTGTTTCATAATAAAGGAAATGGTTTTTGTCTGTTAGTGTTGCTGTATTTGAAAACCGAGCTTCCCTAAAGATGAGCTCATATAGCCAAATGGATTGTATCAATGTGTTGTATTTATATTATAGATAAATCGGAATAAATTAGCATTCAAGTCATTAACTGATCGAACCTTTCTTTTAAATGAAATGTCGCTAAATGTTTTGTTGGAACACTCAATAAACCTCCAGGTGTGTTCTGTAAATCATTGGTTTCCTAAAACTCTTTCTGTCTTTTGAAAGTTGATTAAAATTCATGCCGCCCCCACTCGTAAAAACAATTGTGTGTGGATATACACAACCTTTCTGTAATAATGACACTTGGTGTTCAGGAAGTGAGGCAGGATGTGCATTGTGCAGTCATCTCAAAGCTTTATTTAAATTGTATCAAGCACAGCAAATATTAGCTAATAAAAAGTAAACATGTTAAAACGATGCAAAGTAATTAAAATATTTAACACATTTTAAATAAAGGCTTTCAACGTTAGCAGCGTTCTGTCTGTCGTACTTTCATGGCCTAAGAATCAGAGTAAAAGAGATTCACAGCAGTTGAATTGGGCCATTTCTTTGGTCTGAAATATTTTTTGGCGAAAGGAGATTCAAAGCAACAAAATACAGCTGGTTGGACCACAGAAAACAGTTTACGAAAGAGATGATGCAACATTTAAGCATCTTAGTTACCAGTGAGAAATGATTTGACCATAAGATCATAATCTTTGCCCGCTCAGCCTTTTGACCCAGGTTTGAGGGTGCTGAAGGGTTTGGAGTTCCGCAGTGAGCCTGAGATCTCCTGCAGGAACGCGGCGATGTGCAGATCCTTCTCCGACTTCCTGCCATCAAAGATAACCACCAGAGTGAAGTGAGGCTCGGGCCGAGTCAGGTAGTAGGTGCTCTGGACTTTATCGTCGTAGAAGTGCACCACCTTGTCCAGAGTGTTGAGCTCAGAGGCGCGGTCTCCCATCATCATGATGACGTTTGGCCAGTGCGTGAGCGGCCGCTCTCCAGACGGCAGGGACACTACGGCGGGAAACTGCTCCACGCCCTTTGGGGCTTCCCGATATGAGTGTGGGTGGTGGTAGCCGTGACCTTGGAAGCTTTCAGAGCCGCGGTTGTCAAACACCAGAGACACGTTGCTGGCGTCGTGTTTGCGGATGAAGGCGCTTATCTTGCCGTGGTAGTCCGGTGTGGTGCGAGCGGTCAAGGCTCTCATGTCGGCGGGGGCCGTTTGCCGGCTCAGTGCTTCATGGAAGTAGAAGCTGAACTTGGCGAGGAGCACCGCCTGGAAGCGCTGCAGCCACAAATACAGGTGCGGAGGCTGCACGGCTTTCTGGGACTGACCTCCAAACAGATGCTTGCGGGTCTCTTTCTGCCGCTGGAAAAGCTGACCCCAGGCGGTGAGCTTGGAGTTGGCCTCGTGCAGGCTGAGCAGAGCGGGCAGGAAACTCCACTCCGAAACCTGGGCCTGGCAGCGCAGTAACTGGGTCACCACGTCCAACTCCGTCTGGAAGCCCTCCTCCACGCGGCCCAGGATGGGATGGTGGAACCTGAAGGTGCGAGGAAAAAGGAGGTTAGTAGTTAAACAGGAACACAAGCAAAGAAATGCAAAGACAGTAGCTGACCTAGTTTGTAGTGACCTGAAAGCAGCCGTCTCTTTGTTGTGCTGAGAATACAATTAAGTTTGGATGTCAGAGTGAGTTCAGCTACACACAAACACACACTCTCTATGTGGTATTTCACCAGGTCTGCCAAGGAGAGCATCACCTTCACCCTTCAGCGCACGGTCAAATTAGTGATGTGTCGTATTGCGACCTGCTGCAGCTCAGTCAACAGCTCAACCGTGCAGTTTGTGTTCCTGCTACAGTCGCAGGACACATTTTTTGCTGACTTGTCTCTGGGGAAAAAGGTGGAATCCTGCGTTTGCTGGGTTAAGCAGGAAGTTTTCCTCCTCCAACCCCAATATGTCATTCACGCTTTTCAAAGTTCCTCACTACTAACCATTCAGGCCAAACCAGCCGTGATGGAAAAAATACTTCACGGAGAAAGTCCTCACACAGTAAGTCAGCAATATATACTTAAAGTATCAAATGAAGAAGTACTTATTATGTAGAAAACAAAAATACTTCTTCATTGGTATCTTATTATGATTGTATACTAAAAACTGTCATTGCAATAAATATGTTTTTAATTGAAATTATTATTTTTTTTAAATGTAAAAGTGTATGTAGCTTGAAACAACAAATAATGGCGCAGGTTGCTGCACTAAGATTATGAAAAATAAAATTTCGGGAAATATAATTTAAAATCTTGAACTGAAATTTTTTTGTTTTGTCACTTTTGTAAACTAGAAAATAACACTTTAAGGACTCAATTTAGGACTTAAATTGCTCAAAAAGCAGATTTTGTGCACTGAACAATGCAACTCATTTTAGAAACCGATCATTTGTTTTTAATGTAAAACCTTTCTCTGCGTAATAGCTAATAACTTCAGGTATTAAATAAATGTAGTAAATTAAAAAAAGTACAATGTTTCCCTCTGAGATGTACTGGAGTATATGTATAAAGTTGCAAAATATGAAATTTTCAGTACTTGCATTAATGTGCACTGAACTCTTGGTCATTCCAGCCAAGCAATCTATCCACCATAACATCAAACAACAAATTGACTCGGCAACCATCACTCCAACCAAGGAAGAAACTTGGGTGTCATGACTGATGACCAGCTGTCCTTTTCAGACCATGTAGCTGCTGTCTCTCGGTCATGCCGCTTTGCTCTATACAACATAAGGAAAATCAGGCCCTACCTCACTCAGTACGCCACCCAGCTTCTGGTACAGGCCATGGTTATCTCTCGCATCGACTATTGCAATGCCCTCCTAGCAGGTCTTCCAGCTTGTGCGGTGAAACCCTGACAAATGGTTCAGAACGCAGCAGCGCGTCTGGTTTTTGATCAGCCCAAAAGGACTCATGTCACTCCATTACTCAGTGACTCCACTGGCTCCCCGTGGCCTCCAGAATCAAATTCAAGTCACTAATGTTTGCATACAGAGTGACTACTGGGTCTGCACCCATCTACCTAAACTCCATCATACAAACTTACGTTCCTTCTCGGCCGCTACGCTCCTCCAACGAACGCCGCTTGGCTCTGCCGTCCTTTCACACAAAGCAATCCCAGTCCCAGCTGTTCTCATCTGTGACACCACGATGGTAGAACGAGCTACCACACGCCATCAGAGCAGGGGCGTCCCTCTCTAACTTCAAGAAGCTCTTGAAAACTCTTCAGAGTTCAGAGAACACTTCCTCTTATAACACCTCTAACTCCTAACCTCTAACATGCACTTCCTGTGCTCTTCTTCTTCTATCCCCTATAATGATCTTGTATTGATTGCACTTTTTGTTAACTCTTACTTCCTTCCCTCGGTATCTAACCCATTGATGTGATATATACTATGAGCTCTTACTAGTATTTAATGCTGCTCTTACTAGTATGTATTGTCAGTTGTAGATCTGTATTTGATGCTCTGTTGATGTTTGTATGTTGCTCCTCAAATGTAAGTCGCTTTGGATAAAAGCGTCTGTTATTTTCCACCACTGCCAGGAATAAGACAGTAAACAGAGGTACGCACTTGGTGCTGTATTTGTGCAGTACGGCCTCCAGCGTGGTGAGCATCTCCTCGGAGTTGATGCTCTTCTGGCTGCCCAGCGAGTGCATTTTCTCATACAGGTCTGCCATCTCCATGCGGGCCTGGGTGAAGTGGCAGAGCTGCTCTGACAGGTGCGACAGCAGGTCCTCCAGGTAAGAGGCGGAGCCCGGCTGGCTGTGACGCCCCATCGTCACCACTTTCCTGAGCTCGTTGTACAGGGAGGTGTAGATGGTTCGGATGGAGTCCTTGCGGCTGAAGAAGGACTGGCCGCCTGTGGAGAGAGAGAGAGAGAGAGAGAGAGAGAGAGACACTGCTGCTTAGAAATAAAAATCAGCCTTTTGCTTTGGACAGTGTATCGCCATGTGCTACAGCTCCACCTGGTGCTTTATGTATGGAGCTGTCCGTGTGCCTCAATCTCACACATTTTAAGTTAAGGTAGGTAACTATTTTTATGTGTAGGGCTATAAAATGATGTTTCAGACACATTTCAGAGGAGAAACAAAGTGAGTTTAACCTCCTTACACTAGCCTACCTAGTTTGTTTAAGGGGCTTAGAGAAAATATCAATGTTTAAAAATGTGTATATATTTTTAAGGCATTAGTAAAGCCACATTAGTCATGTAATAACATATAAAGCATCCACAGAGGTGAATTAAGGTAAATTAAATTGAATTAAGGAAAATAAAGTACAAATTTGACGTACTTGTACATTACTTGAGTAATATCTCTTTTCATCCTACTTAATACTACTACTACATCTCAAAAGGGAAATACTTTACTGTACTTTTTACTCTACTAGAAGTATCTGACAGCGACAGTTACCAAACAAATGAAGATTTTACAAACAAAACATATAGAAACCTTGTAAAAATGAAAACAACTAGACTAGACTAGACTTTTTATAATGTCTATGATCAAAAGCTGTAGCCTATTATACATAACATAACGTTACACCGGATACAAAGAAAGACACACCAGCAGAGCAAACGTTTCAGACTTTAACAAACAGGTGTTTCAGGTGTCTCCCACCTGTGCAGCATATTATGAACGTTACCCATCTTCTGTCCCAGGAATGTCATGTTGTGATACGCCTTCTCCGCGGCGGCCAGGTGAGCCAGCGCGGCCAGCAGAGCGGCCCAGATGGCCCCGGCGCTCTTGCTGTTGTCCTTCTCCTTCTCCACGTAGTCCTTAGCCCTGTCGAAAGAAAACATGCCGAGCTGCGTGAAGAAGCTCTCCAGGATGGCCCTCTCCCGGGGAACGGGCCGCAGCTCCTCCGCCTCCATCACACTCCCCGCAAACTGACCCGCTGCTAACGGTTAGCTAACCGTGCTAGCAAAGTGACAGTCTAACGTCTAGGTAAGAAAAGCTCATTTTCTCTAGCAAAGCTCACACTTTAACGACTTTAAACAGCTCGGCAAATCATAGCCCGCCATAAAGCGATCGGTTATTGCCTTAAATTTGTACTTAAAAACAATAATAATGTTAAAAAAGTTGCGTGTATCCAGCTAACTGGCTAACCGCCCGGTGCTATGTTGGATGTAAACACTACGGCAAGCCAAGAGTACCAAAAAGAACACGTTCGGCAGAGGATGCAGTCGTGTCTGAAATATTTTATTGATCCCCGAAGGTAAATTCTTTGTAACAGTTGCTCGCTTTGCGTTTCAAGATATTAAGGAATGGAAATAATAATAGAAATTAGATAATATAACGAAATATACAAATTTTAAATTGACAGTATTTTACAGAATTAACAGAAATGGTCAAATGGAATGGATACAAATTTACACATAAATATAAGGAGTGTATATATGTACAGTATTTACTACTATTTATCGCAGAAGTGTCGTGATAAATAGTAGTAGAGAATTAAATACTAATATTAATAATGAGTACTGGTTGAGTTGATGTAGAATGGATACAGTCCTTAAAAACTACAACAGGGTAACAATGGTATTGAAGCAAGCAGGACTGAATTCTGGGTGTTTTAGCTTTAACCATAATGTGTCATTTACACTGGCCATTGCATTGCAGAAATCAATGATGCCTTTAATCACATCTGATGAACAAGAAAAACATTATTCATAGTTCACAAGCATTAACAGAAAACAGCAACCCTCCAAGCAGGCCTCTATCACAGCTAACTCATAATGTTGAATGGCCCCAGAAGCTCTGCCAGGGAAAGAAAGTGAATTTCGTGAGGATAAGAAAAGGGGGAAAGAGCATTTATCTTCTAATGGCCAGGTTAATATACTGTCACGTGGCAGTATATCAATACCAAATAATAATAAATCAAACCAAAAGCTGTGGAAAACACGATTCAGATGTTTGCACAACCTCGTCTGCATGTCTAAGAGCAGAGGCTGAAATGGCTGCTTTGCTTGCCTATCAAAGGACCAGGAAGAGCCATTAAAATGAAAAGAACAACTTCAGCTTAAAGCCACATCCGTGAATGTTTTCACAGCCTCTGGATCTGCTGTGCATAGGGGAAAACTGTTGAAGCTCTTACCATTAACCTGAAAAGGATGAAATACTGATTCACAATGATTTGACGCTGCTGAAGAGTGCCTGCACGTCCTGGAACAGTGCACCAGGGGGCAACCGAAAGAGCTTACCAGAAGCTTATCCCATCTGGTCTTTTCATGGCCAACACTTAAGTCAGTGGATGAAAAGGCTTTACAGGCATAAAGTCTGTTCTTACGTGTATGTTCGTAGTCTGGGTGAATTTAATACACCTGCTTGCTGTGATTAAAATATTCCCCTACAAGCTGAGAGACAAGAAAAGGCAGAGCTGAAGAGATGTGTTTGTTAATATTTATTTGTATGTTTTTATTGAGTGTAAAGTAAAAATTGCAACAGATCCTGTAAATGGAAACATATAAGGTGGCAAACAAAGAACAAATTATCCTGCACATACAGCATTTAAATAAACAATTTGCTATACATGATGTCAGGTGTTTCTAATTTCTCTCTACACCATTCAGGCGTGTTCAGGGATGCATGAAGCTGAAGGCGGGAGGAGATCAATATCCAGCGATGAAGGCAGGGATACTAATCTACTTTCACCTTTGCACTTTACAAACACACACATTTCCTGCAACATAACAGGAAGCACATGCTTTCACTCAAGTTTGACTTGTACTTCACATCATCTTATCGATCACATGTTCCTCTCCTTAACCTCATACACACATATATTCCTTTGTACAGATATACACATACACATGAAGGGGTTTTCAACCACCCTCCTCGCTAAACTCCTTTACAATGAGTTTATTGATATTCAATTACCCAAGAGCTTAAACATGATTTTATTTTGGATACATGAGACACTTCTGTTCTTAACACAACATCAATTGAGCAACAGTTTAGTCTTTAAAATGTCATAAAACAGTGGAAAATGTTAATCACAAAGCCAAAGTGACTTCAGATTGTTTGTTTTGTCCGACCAACAAACATATTCCATTTGCACTGTAGAACCCATAAATATTACATTTACTAATGTTATAAAACAAGAAGTTTTCCCATTTTAGAAGCTGAAAGCAGCAAATAATGGCATTCGGGATAACACTTGGGCAGTTGGTCAGTTTACTACTTTGGTCCAGACTGAAATATCTCAAAAACTATTGGATGGATTGCAATACAATGTGTACAGAGATCCATGGTCCCCAGGGGATGAAGCGTAGCAACTTTTCCTCTAGTGCTACCATGAGGCTGAAATGTTGGGGGGGGGTTTGATTGAAAAAATTTCAACAACTATTGGATGTATTGCCATGAAATTAGTTTTCCCATTCATGGGCATCTAGTGTCACCAGCAGGTCAAAATACCAACAAAACATCTACAAAAAAAAATATTCTCAATCTCAGGACTTTAAAGGTACAGTGTGTAATTCCTGTTTTTGTTGTCGTATCTGCATTTGTGCGCTTTAAATTGTGTAAATTTGAGGTGCAATAGGTGTAGGTCTTCATTGAAGTGAGGGTACAATCCAACGTGGACATAATAGATTTCCACTTTTTATTTACTGTTGAGTTTGTTGTGTATTGCGGTAGCGAGCAGTTGTACAAAGAGATGAACATAACTGGTTGTGCTGTAATGTAAACTGGTTTGTTTCCAATTTTATTGTTGCAAGTTTTAGCTCATTAGTCTATTCTGGTCTGGTGAGAACTGTGTGCGCTCCCCCTACCTGTCCCTACCATTTCCTGTCACCTATGCCCTTACATATACTGTACAATCCTGCACATCTTATGGCCACCAAGTGTCCGAAATACACAAATTTTCCCTTATTTCTATATCGACTTGTTTATGTTTTATATGTTCATTATCCTAAACCACTGTGTGATACTAATTTTGAGTTGACATGTTTTACATTGATTGTTGTAAAGCACTTTTTTGAAAAGTAATTTACAAATAAAGCAATTATTATTATTATTATTATTTAAATAATGTATTAATTTTTTTATTTTATTGAAACTTCAGCGAACACAAAATGAATGAGACTGTTCGCAGGATAAGCGGTTGACGATGGATGGATGGATTTTCCGTGAGTCTTTGACATGTGCATGCTGTCAAGTGTCTCTGTCTCTCCCCCCCCCCCCCCCCCCCCCCCCCCAGGGGTGGATCTCTGATCCCCTTAAAAAGATGTCAACTGCTACAATGAGCACAAACTACATTTACTCTGATCTTCCACCGGTCCTCCCTGCTCTGTAAGTCACATCATCTCTCTTCCTTGTGTGCGTGTTCGTGGTTTGTAGTAATTTTAGTAAATGTCACAGATTTTTAGGCGATAACGTTGTTTAAGATTTTAATCTCCACCGTGGCTGTCACTTTTGGTGTTGAACCATAGCCTTGTGTATCTTTGAGCCAAGCGTTGCCACACAGTGCAGGTCAGGTGTCAAGAATTTCACATTAGTTACACAAATAGTCCAGGGTTTGTGTACAGACATAATCTCAGTCAGTGTCTTATTACAGTGTGAGAACTGGAAAAAAATTAATGTTAGCATAGTTTTAAAACCTAATTTTAAGTCTTTAAATTGGATCTATGTGCCGTTGGTGGACAAGTTTAACAAGGCAAGGACTAGAAAGTAAGATATATCGATGATATGATGTTGTCAGGGGATTTGAATCTCATTATTACAATGACAAAATACATTTTCAGCAAGAAAATCTTATTTCTTCAATGCAAATTAATGCTGAGTGTGTCACTTTTTGTGTGTTTTCAATTGTATACAGGCCTATTTCAGCATCAGGAAACATCAATAACTTATATGTAGTTGCCATTTACTGTTGGACTGTGTATTACAAAAAAATCAAGTCAATCAAAGACAATGAAATCATTCAGTTTGGGAGTAATTTTAATGGTAGTTTGGATTGGACATGTTATACTTTTAAAAACATTAGACAGATGAAGAATCACTCTGATTATTATAAACAAATTTTAAAAAGATAAATACAACACGTTTCCCTCTCAACACTGTTTTTGCTCTTCAGTGTGTCCACGAGAGTAGCATAGGAAGAGCAGATGCATTCATTTTGAGGAGTCTCTTATGACAAAGGCTACTACACCTTGCACAAAGTTCAGTGTGTCAGCCAATGGGCTAACATTAGCTGCTGCTTGGCTGTCCTCCTCTGGTGTAGAGAACTGTGTGGAGGCCTCTGTTGATGAGGTAGTTGCTGAGTTGAAGTGACTCTGAGGCATAGATTGAATTGACCTCCAGGCAGAACTTCACCTTGTGCTGCTGAACTGAAACATTAGTAAAGTCAAACCTATCACACACCTTTTGGTCCCAAGCATGAGGACTTTTGGCTTTGTGTGCTCTTTCCAAAGTCCTCAATATTAGAGTGCAACCGTGCCCTCTTTTGGAAGTTTTTGGGTCCCAGCTTAACCTCTTCCTTGTGTCTTTAGAGACACAGTTAAAGTTTTGACCTGATGCTGCATCAGTTTCTGATTTTATAACTATTTTTGTTTGGGGTTATGATAGCTTGTGTGTTTACAGATAATGTTGTGAATAAAGAAATCCCACTGAACAGTGCAACAATCCAAGTAAATATTCACTGTATTTTGTCAAATATCAAGCCATCAGTGAGATCTGCTTACTAAGCAACAGCAGTTTTATGTATTACTGCCACCTAACCATGGATGTATTTTCTTGTACCAAAAGCATAACAATTCTTGGCGGCGGGGATTCCCATAACGGCAAGAGGCCAGGGGACTAATGAAATGAATAGCCAGTGTAACTGATCCTTTTTCCCTTTCATGCCCAACACACAATAAAAACACACTGATGCAGGGGGCATTTTTTTTTTAACTCTTTGAATCTTTATAATCTGATGAGATAGTCCTGCTAAAGGATTTTGGACACTGAAATAACAGAGGCTGTGTTTGTGTGGAAGAGGACGGCGGTTTGAGACAGTGCTCTGTTTGTGCTTTCAGGAAGAAAGTCCTTTCCCATGTGATGGTGACAGATTACTTTGTGCGCTACTTGACTATCAGAGGAAGAGCATGTGTCTCAGCTGCAGCGCTTATTTCACCCTGTGTCTTTTAGACCAAGCAGTAATAACACATTTTATAGCGCTTTTGAGGACACTCGAAGACACTTTACAATAAAACTAGTACATTTAGCACATTAAAAATAGATGGATACATAAGACCATAAAACTAGTAAATAACAGCAGCTGAAATGTAATATTCTTTGAGTTTGAAGACTTATCTGAAGAGGTGGGTGATTTTAAAGTACAAACTTTATTATATATTTAAACAAAACACACATTTAAAGCCCTATTTCCTCCAGTGTTTATTACAACCCAAAACAAAAGAGTAAAAGTCTTAGATCCTAACTGTGTGGCTTTAAGTGTAAAGTTTGTCTCGCGATTAAGCATGTCCAGAATTAAATGAATAGTTTAACAGGACTCTGGGAACTATGTACAAATCAAACAAAAAAGTTACAACATGTTAATCACTAAGCTTTAGAGAGTTTGAAAGGTTTATGCGTTTGACTTTGGTCAGAGCCAGGCTAGCTGTTTCTACCGGCTTCCAGTCTTTATGCTAAGCTACGCTAACAACGTCATGTCTACAGCAGCAGTTGGTAGAAGTACTCTTATCCTTTACATAAGCAATAAAATAGCAAAGCACAATGCAGAAATACTCTAATAAAATTACTCTATAATCTGTAGAGCAACTTCAACCCAAAAAATACTGGAGAAATATCTGTTTAAATGTAGTATCTTTGTAATATCTTCATGTGGACTTATTTAAAATGAGTCATTTTTAAGAGTCTGACTTTCTCTGCTTTTTATGGAAAAGTTAGTTTATAGAAAAAAGCAAACAACTTTTAATCACGTCTATGGTTTGACTTTAGTTTTAGTTACTGTGCCTTTAAGAACTGTTGTTTGCAGAAGTCGGTCCGTTTATCAAATGTTTCCCCTCCGGTGTCTGTTTAACACGGAGCCACTGATTTTGGTTTTATTATCTTCCTGACTGATAAATTATATAATATAATTGTCAGGAGAAAGCGAACTCTTTCAGCCAGCTTTTCAAGGGAGAAATGTGCAGTCGTCTGAGGTGGAAATATTATTAATAATTATTAAATTTAGCTCATGATGGCTCCGGAGGTGACGGGTGAGTTCACTTAACTTACATACAGCAGGTGTAATTAAAGTAAGGGCTTAAATTAGTTTTAAGTTAAATTGTTATGTATAATATCTGCAGCCCTCCAGCACACACTAATATCTTGTTAAACGTGCAGCTTCTTGTTTTCATCTGTGGAAGAATGAACCAAAGCCACTCAGCTGCATGAGCAGCATATTAGGACATATAATAATATTAATACTACTAATAATCTTTATTTATAGAGCACTTTTCAAAACCTTGTTACAAAGTGCTTTCACAGAAGGAAAGACAGTAAAACAGATGACAGGATACACGGTAAAAGCAGGAAGAATCTTACAGTTACAGTAAATTCTTACAGTAAATCAACTAAAATCTGGAAAGGCTCTCCTATAAGAGTATGTGTAAAAGAAGTGGCACTGATTTCCTCGGGCAGGCTGTTTCAGAGCTTCAAACGCTATGTCCCCTTTAGTTTTAAGTCGGGCCTCTGGATAACAGACCTTTGCCTGAGGATCCCAAGGTACCTGCTGGTGGGACTAAAAGGTCAGAGATATAACCGGGAGAGAGGCCAAGAAGAGCTTTAAAAGTAACCAGTAACATTTTAAAGTCTATTCTAAAACATAGTGGGAACACACGGGTGGAGTGCAATTCATTTTTTTTCAAATGCTGTGCACAAAAAGGTTGAGTTCAAATCCATCCTTTTACCTTCTCAGTCATCCAGGTCATAGTTATCCAAAGAAGGTTAAAGTCAAGAGCAACTGGACTTGGTTGAAGATACTAGAAGACGTTTCGTCTGTCACCCAAGAGACTTCTTCAGTTCTGAGTGACTGGCAGGGGAAACTCAGCTATTTAACCTCAGTAGAATCATTAGCTAGGATCGTAGATTACGCTGGTTTGTTAGTGCTCCTGGCTGTGATAACGATAGTTCTACGATCATCGTTGGCATCTTCACCTGAGGCCAAGAGGAAATGCTTGTTCAGTTTCCTGGGAAGTGATGAAAGGACAGCATTGTAAGTGGGGGATAAGTGGTGGCGTAGACCCCCTCCTCTGTTCAATGACGGCTTCCTTGACACCTCTTTCAAACCATCCATCTTCTCTGTCTAAAATGTGCACCTGGTGGTCCTCAAACGAGTGTCCTCTGTCCTTCAGATGTAAGTAGACTGCAGAGTCTTGACCTGAGGAGTTGGCCCTTCTGTGTTGAGCCATGCGTTTGTGTAGTGGTTGTTTAGTCTCCCCAACATACAGGTCTGTGCATTCCTCACTGCATTGGACCGCATACACTAGATTGCTTTTCTTGTGTTTGGGTGTGCGGTCTTTGGGGTGGACCAGCATCTGTCTTAGTGTGTTCTTGGGTTTAAAAAACACAGGGATGTTGTGTTTGTTGAAAATCCTCCTGAGTTTCTCTGATACTCCAGACACGTATGGAATCACAATGTTGTTGCGTTTGACTTTCTTTTCCTCCCCTGTAGTTTTGTTCTTCTTGGATCTTGTGGTTTTCACAAAGGTCCATTTAGGGTATCCACAGGCTGATACAGGGTTCTGATGACCCCTAGTCTTCTAGTATCTTCAACCAAGTCCAGTCGCCCTTGACTTTAAGCTTCTTTGGTTCACCTTTACTTAAATCCTACTAACAAAATTTGAGGATATGTTCATTTGCATATTTTCAGGTCTGTCCTAATACGGTCATGTGCCTATACGAACACAGAAACAGGTTTTGCTTGCTGTAATCTTTCCTCCTGTTCACAACAGTCATTAAAAGAGTTTCCCTTTCTTCATGCACTTTCAGTGTAAGTGATGGGGGACAAATACATTGTAAGGTTAATCTGAATTTAATATGAGGCTTCAGCAGTCTGAGTTGGACAAATGAAGTGTGTATTTAAAGCTTTTTCAATAAAATCCACTCGCTATAAAGCTCTGTAAAGCCAAGAGGGGCTGCAGATTCAGGCAATTTATTCTCTGTAGGTTCATCAAAATGATCGACCCCTTTCACAATGTCACGATTGAAAAAAGATTTTACTGAATTTTACTGGTGCATATTTACATAATGATAATTATCGCAATATAATTTTCCTCAATAACAATATAATAAATGTTCAATATATCGTCAATAAATATTTGGTTTAATTCATTTGAATTACGAACAAATTAGCACTTAATTTTTCTATTAAAATATTTATTTTGTTGAGGAAAAGGGACTGATTTACTAATCATATTATTAAAAAAGATTGTTTTGAATGTTCTCCCTCAGATTTGTGAAGTCATTGATTGGCAACAAGTGTTTGTGACGTTCTGACCATGAAGAAAAGTTTAAAACTACAATTAACCTTCTGGTTTCTTTGCTCAGGAGCAAAAACTTGAAAGAAACATTTATCCTGATAATTATCAAATTTCAAATGATATGAAGTTTTTTTTATAGTGATAACATTTTTGGCCACATCGCCCAGCCCCGGTTCTCATCTTAAACACTTGTTTTTTAGTCCAGTCACTGTGTTGCATGTTGGATTCGCCCCCTGGTCACCCTGCAGGCAGATCTAGCCCACCTGCCGTTTTGACACAAATTTCAACACCGTCGTGGCCAGTAAAATTGTTTCATGACACAATTCCTCTAAGGAGTGACAGCAAAGTAACATCCAAACACTGATCTAACTGAACATGTCTCCTGTCCTGCAGCTCGGGCTGTCTGTCAGCATGAACTCTGACAATGCGGTGCTGATGAAGGAATACGTGAAGATGATGACTGATATGATCGTGCTGTGTGCCACTCTGGCACTCTCCCTCTTCTTCTGGGTCATCTCCCTCGCCATCAGTACCTTCTACGGTGAGCTGCCTGTCTGGAGGAATGTTAAAGGTCCAGTGTGTAATATTTAGGCGGATCTGTTGACAGAAATGCAATATAATATCCATAAACATGTTTTCATTGGTGTATAAAGACCTTACGTAATGAACCGTTATTTTTTTATTACCTTACAATGAGCCGTTTATATCTACATACACCGCAGGTCCTCTTACAAGGATGTTGTCATGTTGCGGCGCCATGTTCCTACGGTAGCTCAAATGGACAAACTGCTCTACGGAGCGTTTGTCCTAATGGTGCATTCATGTGGTGTCGGAATAATCAGAATCTTTTTTTTCCTCCGTAAAACTTTATTGCAAAGAGAGAAATAAAGTGTACATGTGACATAAAGAGTATACAGTAACTTTGATTCGTGCGAAATCACATGTACATATTTTGCAAACATGTTAGTTTGCTGTCCACGTAGAGTGAACTAGATGTCTGCGTGTTGTTTAGATGCTCTGACAATGTTAATCCAACACATCTTTGTAGTAATGTTGATTCCACATCCAGACTTAAGAGCACATGAACACACACTGAAGTCAGAAGAAACGACTTCACAAATCAAAAAATGGGACCATCCGAGGAGCACCTGAATGCACCCTCATCACTAGATGCCACTAAAACTTACACACTGAACATTTAACACTAGTTTTTAAGTTTTGATTTAATGTTAAGATGCCTCTCTGTGGTTGCATTAAAATCTTTGGAGTGTTTTCTGAAACGTGTCTTTAAAGAGGAAGGGAGTGAAACCAAATCTCTTGTCTGAATACCACCTTAAATTCATCAGTCTTCAGGCTCAGTTAACATTATGTGTGGTCGTACTTTCTTTCCTATTATTCATCATGTAGCATCATCACTTTGTCCAGTTCGGCCTTTCCTTGTGGTTGAGTGTGACGTCAATAAATCCTTCATTTGAACGGTGGGTTGTCATAGTTTGACATACAAAAACAGTCTGCAGTTCTGTCAGCAGAGCAAACCAGATTGACTGTATTTTCTCTTATGTAAGGAAACAGTACTGTAAGAGGTCTTGTCGTGATTATGTCTGTGTTTACAGGCACACTGCAGCCTGTGTCACCTTGGCGATGGCTGTTCTCCATCTTGGTTCCCCTTGTGCTGACGCTCAGAGCGCTGAAGAGACGCAGTCTGGACCGCTCTGGAGCCCTGGCCGGTGAGTGTTTGTATTAACTACGGATGAATGGACTTTGATGCGATGCCATCAGCTAGAGAGAAGACGTATCGCTCCGTAACACCGCTCTACAATCAGTGTGTCTGTTGTTCCAACAGAGTGGAGCTTCTTTCCTCATAGATGATCTTTGTGAGGGAAGTTTAATTTGGTTCTGTCATGAAGTTACTCACGCAATTATTGTTAATTAGCAAATTATTTAACTGCTGAAAGTGACGGTCTGCAGCAGCTAAACATGAAAAGCTGCCAACGGGAATGTAAAAGCAGAGTTAGATATTTCCTCCTTGTTATTTTGATGTCTCAGGCTGGATTTCTTCTGATTATCTTTACATCAAAATATCAGTTGCTGGCTGTTACACTGCTGCCAGACATGAAAACAGTTTTTGTAAATGAGAAGGAAAAGTCCCGGATTTTCTCAAGAGTTTGTAAAGTCCATGACACAGAGCATGAAGCTGAGGGAGACTAATTACACGAATATCATCCAAATTATCCGCAGATCAGAACAATGTTTCAATCATTCTTGGATCTACATCAGGTCAGATTGTTTGAAAAGTGGAAACCACTCAACAGGCTGACAAGCTCTGTAATGGCAGGTGTCGTAATCATCCCATCTGTATCACTTACATTCAAAAATACGTTGTATTAAGTTAGAGGGAAAAGAGAAGAAATCTTTACTCCATGATCCTGAGAAGAGGAGGCAATTTAAATAATAGAAATAAAGTTTTATATTTTCACTCCATCCTTACAGCTGGAGGTCTGCCAGTGATTTGGATGGATGGAGCGCGAGAGTTGCTGGACTAAAAAATACAACAGGTGTCCTTTTATTGTGATTTAATCTAGTTAATGTTTAATTTTTGTGTTGAAATGAGTAAAAAAAAAGTCCAGAATCTGTGCGGTAGATGCTTCAGCCAGCAGCCGGGAACTGGCTGTAACGTCTTCCTTCGGAGTCTAGCAATGCTTTTTTTTACTAGCGTTACTCCAACACAACGGACTCGTCTCCCTCGTATTCCTCCGTCATCTTCCTGCATCAACTCGCCTTGTCCTTTAGCGAGACTTCAGGTTCCTGTTAAAAACAACGGGTGTCAATAGGAGTCCCTCGTAGGGATCCTTTACATGACGTTTTGTGGGCGTAGTTTTAGTTGCCCCAAAGGAATACGTTGCAGCCAGTTTGCTGGATTCCAAAACTTTTTGTACCTACTATTCATTTTCCAAAATATGCGAGAGTATGTTCCAGGTTTAAAAATACCGAAGCATACTTTTGAACGTAGGTGATGCAGGTTCTGATATAAGGGATGATGAACTTAAAATTATGTTTATATATAGGACATGTTTCAAGGTTGCATTACTGTTTTTCTCTAATTGTTAATTGTTCTGGATGGTTAACCACAGATACACAGACTGTGTATTGTACTTTGCACAATAGATTTTTGGAAAGAAAAGGGGGATTTGCCTGACCTTTTTAAAATCAAGAGTTCTATGTCTGTCAAAAGTTTCAATTTACGAATGTCTACTATTTTCCCTGTCGTGTTTGCAGGATAAAGATCTGTATTCAGCTGGATTTAATGGCATAAAGTAGCCGTGAACCCTCATCTAATCAGAAATACATCCTTTATCAGGACAGTGAATTCAACGCTTTGTCGTTATTTAAAATCGCTTCCCTGAATCTGTCCAGGCTTCTGAGAAGAGCAGCATCTCTGAAAATCAAAACCATTCACAGCTCCAACAAAAACATCTCAAGCGTCTATAAACGAATCATTTCAGTCTTTAATTTCAGGACTTTCACGAAGTTTTCCATTTATTCGGCCGCCCTAATCAGAATCCATTAATGCCACACATCTCCTGACCGGTGTTGCCAGATTTGAGTGACACAAAATGGCCCAATCAGAGCCTCGAACTCCCCCAACTATCATTAAAGTGTCCCGATTTCTCAAATTATATTAGGTTTACTCCCAATTACAGCTCGTATTATGTGTTAGTGCTGAACGATTATCTCCACTCAAGTCTTTTGGATAATGTTCAAAAGTTGCAGTTAACAAGAGGCTAAAAGCAAAATCATCTGCAAGTGAAATAAAACTGCAAGAAAGCCACACAAAGTGGGAAATGTCATGGCATTGTAACTAACTAACAGAAAACAAGATAACCTTTTTTGATGAATTTCAATCTCACAAACAAGTTCATTCTAATTTTCTTTGATGATGTTAGAAATGTGACTTAATCCTTTTATTTTTGGTTGACGTCCTTCCCTCAAGGAACATAGACGAGGACAGAACACGTCTTTGTGGCCAAAACAGCCACAATGAATCAATTAGTTATCCATAACAACTCACGTGTTTTAGAAAGGGAGTCGACGGCATCACATGTCGAATCTCACCGAGTCCGGGCGCTCGTTAAAAGAAGTGTTGGAACTTACTGGTTTGAGTTATTAGAAATGCTGAAGGATGTCACTGTGTTTTGCTGACATTTAAAAGAGATGCAGAAATTGTGGTTATTTACTGCTTTAAAAGGAACAAATCTAATTTCTAGGTAAAGTAAACTAAAATCCAAAACACTGAATGTTTGGGTGAAACTCTGCAGTCAAACAACGTCACTTCAACCAAGTTTGGTCTTTGACTCTTATTCAGTAACGGAAATATAGCCAATATATAGCAAATGCGCCATTTCCTCCTGTTTGTCTGACTGACCGGTACTTTTTAAATCTGTGTGGCGAATTCGGACAGTTTCTCTTAACGTGAAATGTGTTTTCTCAGCTCTCCTGGTAGGATTTGTGTTGACGATGGCCAACTACAGCTTCTTCTGCTCACTGCTGGCCTTCTTCATCACCTCCTCCAGGCTGACCCGCTGGGGAGGAGCAGAGAAGAGGAAAATAGACGCAGAGTACAAAGAAGGTGAGAGACCTGAGAGTGAAGTGAGAGTGATGTATTTAAATCTAAATTTAAATGTATTAATTAACTTTTGTGCTAGGGGGCCAGAGGAACTGGGTTCAGGTCTTCTGTAATGGAGGAGTTCCCACAGAGCTGGCGCTGCTTTATATGATCGAGGTAAACACACATGGCTCACTGGAACATTTAAATCTGCACGTCCATAGTTTGTTATATGCAAATGAAATGAATAAAGCCGTGTTTATGATTATAACTCTTTAAGGTGGGTCCAGGTGAGATGCCCATTGACTTCAGTAAGCAGTACTCTGCCTCCTGGATGTGTCTCTCTCTACTGGGCGCGCTCGCATGCAGCACCGGGGACACCTGGGCGTCGGAAGTGGGGCCTGTCCTCAGCCAATCACGGCCTAGGCTCATCACCACCTGGAAGGAAGTGCCAGCAGGTGAGAAGCCAGAGATTGCTCCCTCGTGTCCGTTCTGACTTGACGTATAGAATAAAGTCTTTTCGGGAAGTTTTACCCTTAAATCTACTTTATTGTACTTGATTTATAGACTGAAAATGTGCATTTCTTTATTTGCATCAACTCTTATTCTTATTTTCTGTCCATCCTTTTATGAAACCTCCTCCAGGAACAAACGGAGGAGTTACTCCCGTCGGATTGGTTGCCAGCTTCCTCGGCGGGCTGGCGGTGGGCACGGCTTACTTTTTAACACAGCTTCTATTGGTCAAGGACCTGCACCTGGCGGACCCCCAGTGGCCGATCGTCGTGTATGGCGGTGTGGCTGGCCTGTTGGGATCCATGCTGGACTCTTTCCTGGGCGCTCACATGCAATACTCAGGTAGGAACAGGCGGTAGTGAGAGCGGACTGGGAATCTAATGTACTTTTATTAAATGGTAACTTCAGTACTTTTCAACCTGGACCTTAATGTTCCATCTTTGTGTGTCTGTGTGACTAATTGAGACCATTTTTAAAATTTGGTCAGTGGCGGTGAAACAGGGCTGCAATGAAATCCTTGCGAGTAACTGCGCCCCATCAGAGTATGTCCACTGAAGTGCTTGCTTTTGCTGCTGACAAGCTCAGATTGTTTTATGGAACATTATGGAAATGATCCCTACAGAGATGGACCTTTTTAAAAAAAAAAAAATAGATATCTCGCTCTCGTCAAAGCCACCAGACTCCACTGATAAAAACAGTAATTTTACCTTGCAGAAGACTGTTGGTGGTGGTCTACCGCTGCCTCGGTCAGTTAGGCTGATTGTGTGACTTTGGTCTTTTAAAGGGTTAAAAAATACCAAAGTTACTCTATAACACAAACTAACCGATTGAGGCAGCAGCAGATCAGAGAGGTAAAATTACTATTTTTGTCAAAGGAGTCTGGTGGCTTTGACGAGAGCGCTATAGCGTCTGTTTCTGGTTTAACAAACTTGCTCTTTAAAAAAAAAGGTCTCTCTCTGTAGGGATCCATTCCTTAATGTCAGTGGGAAAGAAAACAGTCACAGATAACCGGCAAATATTTACATTTAAGAGGCTGGAACAAGAGAATTTTTGCCTAAACATTACTTGAAATGAATTAATTTCAAAAATAGCTGTTGATTAAATTTATGTCTGCTTGACTAACTTTATTATTGTATGCAAGGTGCAGTTTCCCTGCTATTTCTAAGTAACCCGCTGCAGGTAATCGATCTGAAATAAACGCAGCTTGTCTGGTGAATCAATTGTTCTTTATACATTTAAAATGAGAATAAAATATGGAAATCTCTTTCAGAAAGAAAAATCAAGCAGTCATGTAGACAATATAAACTGTACTGCTAAACTCTGACTATACAGCTACACTGGGGAAGGTAAAACAAACAGGTTAAGAGGCATCTCTGAAGCTGAAACAGCTTGTTCTCCATCAGAGTGCAGCACTGCTCTCTACTGTCTGAATCAATGACCTGCAGGATATAATAACAGATGGCTAAACTAACATGTGCGTGCCTGGTTAAGTACAGTTTCATAAAGTTACACTACAGGCCTTTTCACACAGAATTAGGAAATTTAACTGCAGTTATTTTGCGAACTGTTTAAGTCATTAACCAAAAATGCAACATTACCTGGTACAGTCTCGTCGCATGACTTGTTTAAAAGCCTGGTACAAGAGTAAGTGGCAGTTTGAACCTGAACAGAAGAACGAGATTGTTCTTTTGTAAATGACGTTTCTAACTGTAACTGTCTTCTTTGTCTTCCTGTAGGCTTCGACTCGAGCATCGGGAAGGTGGTGTGTTACGAGTCCGCCACCACCCGGCGCATCTGCGGGAAACCCATCTTAGACAACAACGCGGTCAACCTGTTCTCCTCAGTCCTCGTCGCTCTCATCCTGCCCGGCCTGGCGTGGGGGATGTGGCCGCGATAGACTGGCGACAGATCTACAGCCGCGTGGAGCGCAGGACAGATCCGAGACTGATGAGACATTTTCAGTAATACATAAGTTGGTCACAGAAGCATAACACTAAAGATTAATATTGGCGAGTTACAATCTGTGAATGACACCTGCTGCGGTTCTCAGGAATCTTGATTTGCCGCCACTTTAAATTTGTCTTTTTACTCTCGTCAGGCTGAAAGTATAATTTGAGCTTAATACTGCAGCAAATTTACAATTAAATAAAGTTAATTAAATAAAACCTATCAAAAAAAACAACACAATTTAAAAACATCGTTCAGTGTTTTTGTTTCTCCATTTTGGTTTGTGCTCGTTTAAAGTGATGTTTTATTGAACTGAAGGCAGATTCCTGGTCTCACTACAACATAAATTTTTAGTCTCATGCTTTCAAATTAACCTGCTTCAAGTTGCTCCTCAGTATCTATACAATATTCAAATTTTATTTATTTGTGTCTCCCGCACTTCTGAAACCAAACCTACGACCTCGGTAGGACAACAAACGCTTCTTCTACCCCGGATTAAATCCGAAAATAATCCAGCTCAGGGTGTAAATGTGCTGCCTGTCTCATCTGACTGTAGTGGCATTTGACCTTTGACCTGTGTGAGGTGGGAAACAGACTCCACGGAGAGCGGCGGGTTTCCAGAGGTATTACTGTTTTTATTTCAGAGTGTCTGAGAAAAGGCACTAAACCAAACTGGGAGAGTGACATTGACTTTGAATAAGAGAGAGAGAGAGAGAGGAGTGGAAGCAGGTTTAAATTAACATTTATGAACTTTACACAACACCGGGCATACAAACACACTCACACTCACAGCTCACTATCTACAAATGTTCCCGCAATTTATTTGTTTGAAGTATCTGAAGATGCTAAAACATCATGTCAAAGTATTTTAAGAAACATGACGTTCTGGCATCATGTAGTGTTTAATTTTTCCTTTAATCCGACTCGCCTGAAGCTTCATCAACATCTGAAATCACGCCGACAACAACATAATAAACTCTTGAAGAAACAACTAAACTGTTCTTTTTCCTGCAAACAAAGATTTTTCAGCCCCATTCGGACGGGATTAACGTTACAGGGGGATGTGGGGAAGGACATATTCACTGTGCTCCTCTGTAGTTTAACGCATCGTTCTGGACATTTTAACCATCAAAAACGACCGATGAGAGTAGAAGGGAAGATACTGCCTGATGACCTACACTTCCCGAGGATATAATTATTTCTGATTTCCACTGCAAATAAACGAATAAAAAAAAAATATAGGTGAAAAACGGGGTTGATGAGAGAATACCAGTACCTACATGTAGCTGACATTAACGGCACATTTCGTGAGCTTTTATGAGGTCTTGTTCTCCTGATGTCTTTTTCCTGCCTGACATTGGTTCCCTGAAAGCTGTATATGTTGTTATTAGCATGTTTCCCCTCTATCAGATTAGCAAAATCATCTTCCACGAGTCAAATTTCACACTAAGATGAAAGTCGACTCAGTGATTCACTTTAAAATACAGTGAAGCTCCGGGCAGGTTTTAAATTACTAGAGGAGCAGAGAGTTTGCAGCAAATCAGCAGGTTATTGTCGCGTAGATAATTACCGGGGTGGGGGGTGATAAATTAACCACATATGCGCTACAGAGGGCATTAAAATAACTGACGTCATCATCATCCCACCTGTCCTATCCGGTCTGAATGGAGCTTTACAGTGAAGTTTGAACTCTGATTATCTTTGCATCCAATTGTACTTTCTTAAATGTCCCAGACTGCCTTCATCATTTGCTACATAAACTAAAATTAAAAACAAGTTCAAACAGTTTCATTATGTAAACAATAATTGATTATTTGGTCATCATTAACTGGCAGGTGTCTTGATTTTACTTGACTACGCATATAATACCAGCTCAATTTCAGCAGCACGGCATCAGCCACACCAATAGGGCCACTGTTGGGGAGATTTCTAGAATAGTTGTGTTTTTATTTTATTTTTTATTTATTAAATAACATTTTGAATGTAATATTAAGATGCTAGAGAAATTACATCATCATTTTAAGAGGGAAAAAGTCCATATCTGGAGGTAAAATAATAATTTTACAAAAAGAAATTGCAATATATTGAAAATAATGTCGAAAGTTGCTATTTTGAGATAAAGTTGTAATTTTATGAGAATTAAGTTGCAGCAAAAGTCATAATATTTTAAGTTCTAAAGAATAAGCCTTGAAAACTGAGCTGTAACTTAACAAGAATAGTCATATTTTCATATATTATTTATGTTTATAATTGGGTTAACAATTATAAGGTGGGTGTTCCCGCCTTAACAAAGTACTGAAATGGACTTCTAAAATAAGTGTCTTTTAAGATTACATCTTTATTCTCAAAATATTAAAACATTTTCCTTTCAAATTGACCCTTTGTTGTTCAAAATTACAACTTTATGCTCATAACATACAACTACACTCTTGAAAGTCAGATATTTTTCTCACAAAATCTTAACTTTTACTTGTGCATTTTTTCCTTGTTTTATGATTTATTCTCGCAACATACTATATTTTTCCAAATGGTTAGATATCCCCCCTCAGAGTGGCTCTAATTCTCCATCATCTCTCCAGAAAATAGTCTGTTATTGAGAATTGAAATGACTTTTTTCAGCCATGTTACACTTTTTATATTTAAGGGAGAGAAAAAAAAAGCAAAAAGGTCAAAGCTCCTCAGATGGGTTTAAATGCCAACGTATTTCAATTTTTAACTTCTCTTTCCATGCCAGTTGTAGTTAAATATTGTTTCAACAAAGGAAATATCAGACCACTGACCTCAGTCTTTTTTGTGAAGATTGAAAACAACCACAGTTTTTCCTCTCACACACAAAAACACACTCACACAAAAGGGGGGTGGGAGGGCATGACAGCAGGCAAAACCAGAACCCGGGGGAGGGCGGGGCTTCATCAGCACAGAGTCTGCTGTGATTGGAGGGCGGGGCTGTCCCGTCCGTCACAGCTGGTCTTTGTAGTAGCCGAGCTTGGCTAAAGACATTTCTCTGCGGAGCTGCATCACCTCCCAGAACATCTGCTCCGCTAAAAGCACACAGCGAAAGGGAGACAACACAAGGTCACGTGATTGGTCACATGGTTTGACAGGTGGTTCAATCACACTAGTATTTTAAGTACATTCACTCAAGTACTGTACTTCAGTCCAATTTTGGAAGTACTTGAGTATTTCCTCTGCAGGATTTGCAAATGGCAGGTATTATGTTGCTAGCTGAGGCTGAGCTAGCTGATTGGCCTTCAGCTTTCTTGGGTTTTACAAAAACTTTAAAAACTGCAGTGACGTTGCAAAATGTAGAAAAACAAATAGACTGCGGCAGTAGTTTTGAGTGAATTCTGGAGGGAAAAATAGTTCTCTACTACAGCGCTGTGTCCTCACTGCAGAGTCACAGTGACCTAAGTGTGAAGACTAGATGAGGCTGACTGTTCTTCTTTATGGGAAACTCCTTAATTCATGCGCCATTGTTAATAAGAAACAAGGTGTGCGTTTCTTACCATCCTGCTGTTTGACCAGCCCTTGGTGGATGTAGCGAATGTAGGTGAAGAAATTACACACTGCTGTGATCTGAGGAAAAGACAGAGACAAACAAAAACTGAAAACACAACAAACCAATCTCATGTTTGTGATACAGATCGCCACACACAAAGCTCTGTGAAAGGCAGGCTGACCCTTACTGACTGGATGTGCTGTACAAGTACGAGTCTGGATTTGAAGAAACATCTTAACAGAACTAAAAGAGGTACTTTAAAAGCATCAAATTGACTTCTTCTGAACTTTAGTACACTTTAACTTTTTACAGCTACGTGCAGAGGAAGTGCATTATGAAAAGATCTCTTGATATGAACAGAAAGAATGCGACGGCCAGTAACTGTTTGCATTTACATGCGAGTTTTGTATTTAGATAGACTAGACTAAAATCAAATCAAATCGAGTAGAGCAAATAGATCCTGCAGACACACAACGCAAACAGCAGCAGAACGACGTGTAGTGTTTTTACAAGAGTAGATAACACAGAGCTTCAGTTTACAAGCTGTTAGCAAGTTACACAGACAAACCATGACATGTTCCCTCATTTTAAAGTCCCCACATCATGCACGGAGCTAAAAATTATCTTACCTAGCATTCGCTTTAAGGTTGTGGGTGGTGGTCACGAGGATGATAAGATTTGAAGTGTTGCCCCTTTGCAGCGTTTTATTCAATCACAATTCCCTCTGCATTCTTATAAAAACCAAAATCAGACTTAATCTTAGGACTAGATTCTCACTGCCTTCTTGTTTTCATTGACCCAAAACTAACCCCTGTTGCGTGCTGCACCTGCACGCCTGCTTCGGGGAGACCGTTGCCAACTCTGGATGATGCTGGACACGATTTACTGGGAGTTTTTCAAAAATCAATCAAACACGGTTTTAATGATAACTAAAAAACAGTCTGGAATTTTTGGCTGTTTTTTCATTAAACTGGTAACTGTTTCCATCCCTAGTCTTCTTATATAGATGTATGCAACGTGTTTTGTATCGTCTAGTTTTCTTTAAGATGAATAGTGTAACGGTTTTGTAACAGAACATGCTGGGTTCACCTAACTGTATTAAATTAATAAGGAAACAATAAACGGGAAGATAAGTCCAAACTATTGAATTTAAACATGCGATCCAGCACGTGATCCAGTTAAAAATGTTTTATTACTACTTTTAATGCCAGTGTTGTGAAAGTCTTTTTAAAAGCCACTAAAATGTTACATATTCAAGTTAAAACATTTTGACAGTTTTTTTTTTGACAAAAAATTTGAACATGACTATAGTGTTTCTGAAAATAAGATGTCTTTCTGTGTGTGTGTGTGTGTGTGTGTGTGTGTGTGTGTGTGTGTGTACTCACTCTGTATCTGCAGTAGGGAGACACGTAGTAATAGTTGGACGAATCTCCGAACTTGATTCTGTGCTTACAGGTTTTGGTCTGACCGCTCAGGGCACATTTTCTATCAGACACAGACAGACATGAAGTTATTTATTGGGTTTGCGTTTCAAAATGAGGAAAACTGAATTTGTTCAAGGAGGAAGCAAGGAATGAGTAAAGGAAGGAAGGAGAGAGGGATGACATTTATCAAGGTTCATCTCATCAGGATCGCTTTGATGAACCTGAACAGAAGGAAGGACAGAATGAAGGTTTATTATGAGTTAGCAGGGGTGTTTGGAAGAGCCAGACGGCGGGGAGCGAGGAGCAACTGAGGGGAGATTAAAAAATGCTGATGAGAGAGAGCGAGAGAGAGTGAGAGAGAGTCAGACTTACGTGACGAGCTCGGCTCTTCGCCCACTAGAGGAAGAAATTGAGGGGAAGATGGAGAGATGATGATGAAAGAGTGAAAGCTTGATGAAGAGGAGAGAGTGCATGAGTGTGTGTGTGCGCCGTCTCACTTTGGTCCTCCACACTCCACCGCTGAGGCTTTAACCACGGGCAGAGGCTGGAAACCGACCGGCTCCACGCTGAGCGTGTTCTGCTCCACGGCTTCCAAGATGGCCGAACCCAGCTGAGGGACAGGAGAGGTCAGGAGAGGTCAGGACATTAACCGACAGTAGCAGGTAATCACAGATAACATTAAACAGACAACTTTTCAAGTCTGTCTTAAAACAGCAGCCAGGTCCGTGTGTTCATTAACACAGATTTTCCTTGGTGTAATTGTTCTTCTCATTCATAGTAGGTTTAAAAAGCTCACGTGTTTTTAGTGTCAAGTGCTGGAGGATAAAATCTACAGTCCTTGTTCTGTGCCAAGTTTATCTGATGCTTAAACTGCATGAGGTTTCAGTAGTCTGACTGGCAACGTAGGCTACGTGCCGTCATGAGCATTTATACTTGTGCGTTTGTGTCGTGCGGCTCGTCCAATTAGCGCTTTGGCGGTGGGATTTGTATGTTCCGCGGTTTTGAGTTTCTTCTTCTTCGCTGGTGTAGGCTACTGCAAACAGCAACTCACTGAGCGGATCGTGTTGGAGCTGATGGATGTTGAACAGCAGTTACTTTTAGTAAACGTACTAAAACACAAAAAGAAGGCGTGGGAGGAGATGGTATGTACGACCCTTGAACTGGTTGAGGCAGAAGGAGAAACAGGAAATGTGTTGGGAGAAAATGTGATGCTACCAAGCCGACCAATCACAGTTCTTGTGGCCCTGCGTCGGCGCGACCTGTAGTTACATTTTTGGGGAGGTGCACGTCTGCAGTGTAGGATATGAGGCTACCAGTAGACTACGGCGTACCGATGGCTTAGATTCGAAGCAGCAGTATAAATTGACCTTTAGACAAATCAGGTTTGTATCTTCCAAAGTAACGGCCTTTTCAGAATAAAATTCCCTCTTTGTGTCCTTAGACAGTTGTTCCATGGTGAGCTGCAGTAAGCCTCTTATTCTGAGCAGAAATGAGTTAAATTAAAAGTAGAAGTAGTAGCCTTTTTTTCTCCTGTTTGCCTCCTGCACAGAAATCTCTTCATTCTAAACATTATATTGTCAGCATGTATGAAAATCCTGCAGTTTTGCTATATATTTGCCTGATATGTTAGATAAAACTCAGTCACAGGCAAAGCTTCACACACAAGAAGCTATGTCAACACATTAAATCCTTGTCTCTCTGTACCTCGCTCTTGCTGAAGGTGAGGCACGGGTAGATGTCCTCGCGATAAACTCTCTCCAGGAAGCAGCAGTGCCGGTCCAGCGTCGGCTCCTCCTTCCACGCCTTGAAGTCGCTGAACAGCTGACCGTCCACCTACATGTCCAACAACTCAGGTTAACGTAAGACAGTAAAGCTGCATTTATGCTTGAAGCAAGAGGTCAACAGGACTCAGGCCGTAGATCCACACACTCAGAATATTACCAGTATTATCATCTGGTGTTAGTTCTGTAGGCTCCTACCTCTCTACATTCCCGTACGATGGGCTGTGTGGCCGACGGGTCGGGCTGCGACCCCAGGATGGCGGAGGAGGTGCTCTTGTTCCTGCTGTGGCCCTTCCTGAAGGGAGTCTTGGCTCCTGAAGAGGGGAGCTCGCCCACAGGGGAGGTGGGGGAGGAGAGAACCAGTGTCTTCAGGGCCTGGACCTCCGCCTGGAGGACATCAATCTAACGAGGATGAGATGAACATGTCAAAAATGTTTTTCTTTAAACTAAATCTGATGTAAACATGCCAATACCAACATACAGGCCTTTTTTAGGAACCAATGTGACGACAAAAAAAGTTTTTAACCACCAGGAGGAGAGAGAGACTCCATAAAAGTTCATCAAATGGGCTGTTGAAATGTCAGCTACAGGTAGGTACTGGTATTCTCTTTTGAGCCTACATTTATTCTCAATGGACATCAGAGATAATGATAACAATAAGTTATGACTGAGTATAATTTTTAATACTCCAAACAGCAACTGTCAGAACTGCAAAGTGGAAATTATGACCATGTATCGTAGTTTTCTTGAGGTCACACTGTCCTCCACCGCCTTTCTGAAAGTTAGTGTAGATGGCTTCATAAATCCCTCTCAAGTCTTTTTAGCCCTAGAAGTGATTCTGAGACGCCTGATTCAAACGAGCGCTGAACTGTAATTTAACACGAGCTTTAGAGGAACCTTTGCAGTGAGTGAGTGTTCAGTGTTGTCACCTTGCCCAGGGCTTCTTTCAGTTGTTTTTCAGCATTTGCCTGTTTGACGTTGGCTTCTTTGACCATTTTGTGGGCCTCCTGGAAGACACACACACACACACACTTATATATTTTTGTAAATTTTCTTCACTCACGATAAATGTGTTGGGATTTAGTTTTCATTCTCATAGTAAAGAAGCATTTACACAAGCTCAATGTGAAATAAAGGAACAGTTCACTATAAAATCATTATAACAAAATAGTCACATAAAGCAAAGCTCCGCTTGTTCCCAGTGCAACTGTTTGGCTACTTAATACTGGTTACACACAAAACACACAAAGATAAAAGATCCCAGGACTTCTATGACAAAAAGGGAAGAGTGAGACCAGAACAAGGAGGAAGAATGTGAAGAGGAAAGGAACAACATGTTGCAAAGGCCAGCCGGACAGAGACTGCTTCCTGAACTCAAACACAACAGCAAGCAATTTGTCCAACAAGTCCAAAAAGGTCTGATGTTCTCAAAGACCATGTCCCTGACGGATGGAGACAAATCTGAGTCAGTCAGCACCTCTGACTGTGGCTGGTAACATCATCTAACTCGGCCAAAGCCTGAATCCAAATGCAGCTCTTGAAGCTGGCGTAAATGTAACATAACAAAAGTGCTTTACTTGGAGATTTGTTGACAAGTTATTTAAATAACGGTTGACGATGGATGGATCGATATTGTTGCACTGGAGACTTCATCCAGTCAAAGATTTATTTATCCAAGTTCATGGATGCGTATCGCTAAAGGCCCAGAACAAACTAAAGTCCCCCAATTTTACTAGAGCCGCAAACAACGACATGTTTTCATTACTGACTAATCTGGTGATTATTTTGTGAACTAACTGATTCATTTTTTGGTCTCTGTGACAGAAAACAGCAAAAAATATCCATCACAACATCCTAGAGTCATCAAACGTCATGAAAACAAAAAGTTGAAAACCCAAAGAAATTCAATTTGCTGGATTGCGTAGAAGCAGCAAATTCTAGCATTTAAAAAGGTGTGTATACGTGTTGGGGAGAACTACTCGTGTAGGACACAGTAGCATGAGTCCTTTAGTTTCACCAGAGCTCCGTTAAGTCTGATAAATGTCCTCAAGTGATGTCACTTGAGTCAGCGTCGGCTGAAGACTACAAGTTTGAAAATGAAACAAATCTGTTTTTGTCGAGTTAGAAAGTGAGCTTACAGACTTCTGTTGCTACATTAGCCACTACTAGCATAACACGCCTGAATCTCTGACTGAAGTATCGGCGGTTGAGTTGCATTATGGTTAATGTAGGCGCCAGGATATGACAGGGATGAATATATATTTTGATCCTTTATAATTATTCAAATGTCCAACAATGTTACGGGAGCGTAATACTAAATCTGTTCTCTTTTAAAGTTAATATTGAGGACAATAATTGGAAACATCTGTAGACACATGCAGAAATGGAAAAGTACAAATAATGGTTAATAATTAATGTAAGTGCTGAATCGATTAGTTGTCAACTATTAAATTAATCACCCAACTATTTTGATAATTGATTCATCGGTTAGAGTAATTTTTTAAGAAAATAAATAAATAAAATTCTCTGATTTCAGCTTCTTAAATCTGAATATTTTCTGGATTCTTTCCTCTTCTACGACAGTAAACTGAATATCTTTGGGTTGTGGACAAAACAAGACTTTTGAGGAAGTCATCTTGAGCTTTGGGAAACACTGATCAACATTTTCTGAATTTTTTTGACAGAACTAATCAAGTATTCAAAAAATAATTCAATTGAATGTTAGTTATAGCCCCAGTTAACTTATAAAGCTAAATGATTATTTCTCCTACACTCCAATACGACTGTAAACCAATCGGTAAAATGAGGGTGATATCTGAATGTGTGAACAGCAATGTGGTGCTGACACTAAAACTTCAAACCGCAGAGATTCAGTTAGAGAGTTAAACAAAGTAAGACTAAAGAAAACCGTTCTCTCTGGTCTCCAGCACAGAGCAAGTGCAAAAACAGCCACAGCAGCTTCTCATTTAACGCTTTGTTGGAGGATCAAGAAAAATAACCTGAGAGGTATAATTCTGTGAGGCTTGGATTTCACGATGAAACGTTACTCAACACAAATGTTTTGATCTACACTAAAACACAGCTTCCCAACACTTTGCAGGAGCTGTCACGCCTCCGTTTCACATTTCTTCTGCCAAAGAATAAGCGAGGCAACAAATCCCGTGCCAATCATTTGCATGTTTTCTGTCTGGCCGCTGCCTCAGGAAGAAGGAAAAGAGGAAGCAGAGGAGACGGACAGACGGAGGGGAGGCGGACCGACCTGGAAGAGACTGGCGGTGAGCTCCTCCAGCTCCTGGCCGAGCTGGTCTCTGACTTTAGACAACCTCTCACACTCCTCATCCTTCAACAGCAGATCCTTACACACACACACACACACACACACACACACACACACACCACAACAGAAAAACAACCGCCAAATGAACACATGCAAGTAAAATCATAGCATGGCAAATAAACCGAGATGAACAAATTAAAATTAGTGAAACATCATTATTCCATTTAAATGATTAAATAAATACAAAACATACAAATTAAAAAAAGTGTGCATATAAATAAAATATACAACATTAAACGATGTCAATGAGTGGTGTGGAAAGATGTGGTGATTTAGTCTCTCGGTCAGACACACACCCACACAAACACACACACAGTCCAACTGCAAACATTTACATTCAATTTAAAATTCAAAATTTCTTCAGGTTAAGACCAGAGACATTGAGAGAGAGTGAGTGAGTGAGTGAGTGAGTGAATGAGTGTCCTACCCTCTGGGCCTTGGCCAGCTCCTCCTTCAGCCTCTCGTATCCCTTCTCTCGGACCTCCATCACCGACGGGCTTCGTAGCCGCGACAGGCTGTCGCTCAAAGCGCTGCACTCCTCCCCGTCCTCTCCAGACAGGAAGTAGCCCTCGGCTGACTCCGCCTCCTGGCCTTGCACACTGTGCGGCGTAACGATGGAAACACCAGCAGCCAGTTATGGGTTAGTAGTTAGGGTATATGCATTTTTGATCAATTACTCATCATTTCCATCTGCAACCACAAATTATTTTGAGATCAATGGACAGTCATTTGTTTACATTTCATTGTGGCTGTGCCGTGGAGTTGAGTAAACCGGCTGTGTGGGGAGCTGGTCGGCCCGTAGGGAGGTGGGTCGGCCAGCAGGTGGAGCTCCCAGAGAGTGGGTGCGGTACAGAGAGGCAGGCGGGGTGCTGTGACGGACAGGGGGACGCTGCTCCGCTTGGTTCTGCAGGACGACACCCAGGGACCCAATAAAGAAAATGAAATTTCTCATGGTGATATACGGTATGCGAAAGCCAGGTTAAGGCCCTGTCTACACGAACACGGGTATTTTAAAAACCATGACTTTTTCTACGCGGTTTGGCCATACAGAAACGCAGTATCAGGTCACTGAAACGAAACATTTTTTAAAAACCCCTGCCAGTGTGAAGATTTTAAGAAACGTTGATTGCAGAGTTGTCATGTAGACAGTAAAACCGGAGATTTTGCCTTGCGACATCAGAGTGCGTGCCGTTATCTGCTGTGTTTGATGTCAGATTGTGTGCCACTGCCTGCTTTGTTTACAATTTTATTAGGCTCTGAATGAATCTCTCTTCATGGTACAAGTCTGGAAACAGCCTAAAATACGCTGAAAAATGCGTCTCATTCAACCTACCTGAAGGTCAGGTGTGGTGGGTGAGGCCAAGTTCACCTCATGGAAACCCTCCAGAGTTTCGGCATTGCCTTGACCGCTGCTGCAGGCCATAGCAGCTGCTACCAGACATCATACACTCTGCAGACAGCACAGACAGACGTTATTGCAGCAGCAAATAAGTTTATTATCATTCAAAATATTCATAACAGTGAGTCACACAAGGCTTAAAGCTGCTTGCGTTCTTGCTTCAGTCCTGACGAACAGTAGAAGGGGGGTGAACAGAAGGCTTCAGAGCTTCGTTTATTGTGGTGGTAAAAAATAGCAGATCAGTCTTTTTGCCTCACTGCAAGTTTGTATTTAAAAAGTTTGTCATCAGAGCTTCCCAGGAGAAAACTGTTTTGCACTACCTGGAGAGTCGTGACGGCCGCCTGCTGGACTTTAGGCTTAGTGTGACTGGTCAACCCTCAATTTTAACATCATCATGACAATACCAAAAACTTGGAAATCAATTTAAGTATTCATCACATTGTTGGAATGCCAAACTGAAGGTAGGTGATGACAAGAGGGAGAAAAGGAACGCCAATGTGTCTTAAACCTGAATTCTTTCTAACGACCAGCAGGGGGTGACTCTGACTGATTGCAAAAACAGTCAGATTGCATTGTAGTCGACAGGTGTGTTTGATTTAAGGCCTTTCACTTTACGTGATGCATGCTGGACTTAACATAAGGCATGCTGGTTAGAAATTGTGTCCGACTTTCACCGGCGCTGCAAGTTGCTTTTCTCCGTCATTGATCTCAGCACACAGTAAACTCAAGCAGGTAAATTGTGTCCGACTTGACGGTGTCGCTACCCCTGCGACCCATCAGGACAGATGCGAATCGTATCCACTGCGCTGTGCACATTTAACTAGTCGCAAACTCATTTTTGAGTCTGGTCGTCTAAGAACTTCGACCCTTTCACAGTGTTTTCAGTTTCTCAAAGATAGCTGTAACATTTCGGTCGCCTAAAAAATGTCTTGTTCAGCGTTGGTCTGTACTAAAAGACACTAAGGAGTCGGCTGTTCATTTTTTACCGTTAAATGCATTTTGTTTTAAGCCTTTTTCGCTAGCCAAAATTAGCATCCCAGTTAACGTGAATAACAAATGCTCGGTGCTAACCAAGCTAGCTAGTTAGCACTAGCTGATAACTTATGGTTATGAAACTTATGGTGGATGAAATGTACAGGTGCTGGTCATACAATCAGAATATCATCAAAAAGTTGATTTATTTCAGTAATTCCATTCAAAAAGTGAAACTTGTATAATGTATAAATTCATTACACACAGACTGATATATTTCAAGTGTTCATTCCTTTTAATTGTGATGATTATAACTGACAACTAATGAAACCCCCCAAATCAGTATCTCAGAAAATAATACTGTGAAAAGGTTCAATATTGAAGACACCTGGTGCCACACTCTAATCAGCTAATTAACTCAAAACACCTGCAAAGGCCTTTAAATGGTCTCTCAGTCTAGTTCTGTAGGCTACACAATCATGGGGAAGACTGCTGACTTGACAGCTGTCCAAAAGACGACCACTGACACCTTGCACAAGGAGGGCAAGACACAAAAGGTCATTGCTAAAGAGGCTGGCTGTTCACAGAGCTCTGTGTCCAAGCACATTAATAGAGAGGCAAAGGGAAGGAAAAGATGTGGTAGAAAAAAGTGTACAATCAATAGGGATAACCGCACCCTGGAGAGGATTGTGAAACAAAACCCATTCAAAAATGTGGGGGAGATTCACAAAGAGTGGACTGCAGCTGGAGTCAGTGCTTCAAGAACCACCACGCACAGACGTATGCAAGACATGGGTTTCAGCTGTCGCATTCCTTGTGTCAAGCCACTCTTGAACAAGACACAGCGTCAGAAGCGTCTCGCCTGGGCTAAAGACAAAAAGGACTGGACTGCTGCTGAGTGGTCCAAAGTTATGTTCTCTGATGAAAGTAAATTTTGCATTTCGTTTGGAAATCAAGGTCCCAGAGTCTGGAGGAAGAGAGGAGAGGCACAGAATCCACGTTGCTATAAGTCCAGTGTAGAGTTTCCACAGTCAGTGATGGTTTGGGTGCCATGTCATCTGCTGGTGTTGGTCCACTGTGTTTTCTGAGGTCAACGCAGCCGTCTACCAGGAAGTTTTAAAGCACTTCATGCTTCCTGCTGCTGACCAACTTTATGGAGATGCAGATTTCATTTTCCAACAGGACTTGGCACCTGCACACAGTGCCAAAGCTACCAGTACCTGGTTTAAGGACCATGGTATCCCTGTTCTTAATTGGCCAGCAAACCCGCCTGACCTTAACACTACAGATAATCTATGGAGTATTGTGAAGAGGAAGATGTGATACGCCAGACCCAACAATGCAGAAGAGCTGAAGGCCACTATCAGAGCAACCCGGGCTCTCATAACACCTGAGCAGTGCTACAGACTGATGGACTCCATGCCACGCCGCATTGCTGCAGTAACTCAACTAAGTATTGAGTGCTGTACATGCTCATACTTTTCATGTTCATACTTTTCAGTTGGCCAACATTTCTAAAAATCCTTTTTTGTATTGGTCTTAAGTAATATTCTAATTTTCGGAGATACTGAATTTGGGATTTTTATTAGTTGTCAGTTTTAATCATCACAATTAAATGAAATAAACATTTGAAATATATCAGTCTGTGTGTAATGAATGAATACAATATCCAAGTTTCACTTTTTGAATGGAATTACTGAAATAAATCAACTTTTTGATGATATTCTATTTATATGACCATCACCTGTACATTCACCAGCTCAACCAGAGTTTGAGGGAATACAATTAATGGCTACGACGCCCCTCACTCCTACCCAGCTCCACCCTCACGTCCGAATAGGGTCAGTTGTGGCTCTAAAAAATTTTTAAAAAAAAACAAGATGGTGTCAGCTAAAATGCCAAAAACACGAGGTTTCAAAACGGTAGTCCACAAACCATTGTGTCTACGTCCACTTCTTTTATACCGTCTATGGGTGAACAGTGTTTCAAAAGTTCCAGTTGTATAGACTGCTATGCATTTCACCCATTTGTTTTTTTAATGCAGGGGTTTGTTTCTGAAAATGAAAACAACGGCTGAAAAGTATTTTCCGTAATCAATACATAATATTACAAGTTCACAGTCACTCAGGTTTTTATTGTACCATAGTGCAGCGGTGGATGGAGAGGCTGGCCGGATCGATGGAGGCTCGCAGTCAGTCAGAGAAATCTAGGACGGCCTACAGGTGAACAAGTGCCGACAGGTAAAGACTGTCCTTTACCTGAGAGAGGGAGAGACAGAGAGGGGATAAATTAGGGGATAAAGTTACAGATGGTTTTTCTGGAAGGGAAACACTGCACAACCCATGCCACACTAACAATATCCAGCCATCCATCGTCAACTGCTTATCCAGCGTGAAATTCTGAATGTGCGAGTAGAGGCTACTGGCTTTAACTGGAGAATGTCTTGTTTTTCTACGACTGCTCCTCTCTTTTCCTCCATTGTTTGCAAACCAATAAATCAAAAGTCAAGTAGCACTCCACTCTCGCCGATGTCCGCCTGCAATAATTTTTATTGCTTGGAAATAGCAGTCAGCGTGCAGCGGTGTGTTTACAGCGAACAGCTGATGGAGTTAAGCTAAATACAGAGTCCAGAGTTGTTGTTTTAAGTTTTCACCAGTCAAGAAGTTTCTACACAGAGCCGAACTCGGTCTCCTCTTCTCCAAAACAAGCAGAACAGCTGATTACAGCAGGTAATAAAGCTTGTTAAAAATCCCATTCCTTTGATGCTCAGACGGACACAGATGTGAGTCCTGCAGCTCTTGATGGCTGGAAATGTTTTAATAACCTTTCAAACTGTCACGATTTTATGTTTGTGTTCCTTTCTCTGTGCTGGAGTTATTTTATGAACGTCATGGCTTTATCAGGTTTGTTATTAAATTTTTAACAAACTTTATCCTGCGTCTCTCTAATTATTCTCCCACACGAAAAAGCTGTTTTAATGGTTAAGCAAAGCCTGTAGTTTTTCATTATATTCCAATCAAATCTGATGACTTAAAAGTCCCCGTATCTCTTTTGGTCGAAAATCTTATCCCGAAAAAAGTCCCTGCCGGTAGGGTAGTGCTTTTGAGTAGTAGTACCAGAACTTTGGGGGGTGGGGCTTGCCTTGCAGTGCATTTCTGAATGGTCGAGTAGAGGCTTTCGGGTGTTTTGATACTACTGCTCGTCTCTGTGACATTTGCAAACCAATAAATCACAATCAACACCCAGACAGCACATACAAGTGTCGCCAACGTGTGAAATTAACATTTTATTATACACACGGTGTGATTTGCTTGGGATTTTCTGGTCTATATATTCCAGCCTCTGCTGAATTATTTTTATACCTGGTGGGGACAAAATCTGAGGCGGGAATTACGTCACAATCTGATGACAAGAAGCCCAGTGGTAATTTATATTAATTTTAAAAACATTTCATTTCAAAACACCCCCCCCCCCCGTTTTTTTTCCATAAATATCACCCTGTATAATACTATTAGGTTTTGATAACGGATACTCCAACTTTATTTTATGATGCCTTACTTTCTCTTATGTGAAGAACAAAATGTTGAGTACAAAGTCGTTGATAAACTTCTCAAATCACATCGTTTAATAGTGTTAACAGAAATACTTTAATTTTCTTAAATACTAACAAACTAAAATTATTTAAGTCACAAAGAATGAGTGAACTAAAGATGCCATAACAGTTTATCATCATCAGTATATATTAAGATTGGTTATTAGAGTTACAAATGCAAAAATAAACTTCACATGAAAAGCAAAACAACTCAGGTTAAACTGTAAACTTCAACGGAAATTAAATCAACTATGAACAACAACAGAAGTACAGACACTCCTCTTTCTATTAATCCGATAACACTACAGGACTTGCAAACAAAACAATATGCCTCTGCTACTATCTGGAAGTATTTTGGGTTTAGTCCTGATGATAAAGGTGATCCAGCCAACACGGACAAAATTGTGTGCACATCATCTCTGTTCCGCCCACTGATGTGTCGGTATCAACAGCAACAAGTGTCGTCACCATACATGCTACAATGACTTCTATCACATCTGCTTTTTACACAATTAGTGAAAATGTGTGAAATGTCAGGAAGGTATGAAAAAGTAAATACCGCCCGAGCCTACTTCCCTCCTTCTTTGTCCACATCCGGCAGGTTAATAATACAGTTTATGAAGGCAGACTGGACTCTGGCTTTACTCTCTGGGTCAAACTCCAGCAGGCAGACGGAAGCAGGAAGTTCACAGGTGACACAAGAACGAGTCTGACAACTCCTCATGTTTTAAATCGAGACTGACAACAAAGCATTAAGTCTAATTTCATACCAGAGATTCTCCGTTATCATCGTCATGTTCTTAAAATAATTGTGATTCTTTGTTTCTGTGTCCGTGTTGTTGACCTACCTTTTGTTTTTCCTACTTGAGCACACCGGTCTCACCTGCTCAGCCTGGTGTGTGTTTCTGTGTGTGTATTAAGTGGGTGTGAGCATATATACAAAGCTGGATTCAGCAACTCGTTCATGAAGACAAATAAAGATGGTGTGACTCACACAAAGACTTAACGTCACTCGTTCAGTTTACTTCAAGGTCTAGTTGAAGATCAAGGTCTGTGTGTTTGTATATCAGTATCATTATATTTAAGTCCCACCTCCTGTCAAACAATGTCTGCAGACACGTCTATAAAAGTTTCAACTAATTAAAAGTGATTATACATGTTTTCCCTCCCTCTATCAAGTATCAATTGCACATCAATATGGTATGACAACAATCTGAAGACTTTATGCTCGATTGAGACGATTAATCCATCACATTTAGTCACGTCACTGTTTTTCCTCAAGGTTGTTGTGTGGAAACCAGCTGACAACAGGGACTGCTGGTGCATTCAAGGAAAACTGGACGTCTAAGATATGCAAGTTGGTAGCTGAACAGCAACTTCTTACTGTAAGGAGTTCGTTTTCTTCAAAATTTATTTTGTGAAAGCTATTAAGTAGTTAACGATACGCTGCTAGATGATACAGAAATTACCCCCCCCCCGGTGGACGGCTTTAGATCGAGATTTAAGCCGTCCACCATCTACTTTTCAAGCTCGCTGTATTTAATGTGCTCTTACTTCTGTTTTCAGAGTTCACATAACCTCCTAGAGTAGCGGCTTCATCCAATTTGGCTAAACTGATTGGATGAATTACTTCACGTGGCTCTTCCTTGGGTGGCGTTTTGTAAAAACATTCACCGAATTTGCGAGTACCTGAAAAACTGTATTTTAATATTTTGATTATCTTTGGCTTCTGTGAAAATTAAACTCTGGTCTGAATAACCATTTTGAAACCTTTGTAGTATCTTTAAAGCAATTTTTGTTTTAATGGTGCAACTGAGGTAAACCATGGACCTATAAATAGAACTGGACACACCGTTGGAGGCGAAGCTCCGTTCATTCCTATGAAAGCTGGTAAGTGGTACATGACAGCGAAAATGTTTGACTTCTGAGCCCACCCATAGATCAAGCAAGAGACTTCCGCCGTCTGAGCCGGCTAACTTCTGGTTTAGCCCTCCGCTAACTTGAATGTGGGTAAAATGATTTAATCGTGCAACCGTTCTGTTTCCAAATGTTACTCGACCAAAGTAATCAAATTCTGTCATTTCGTGAGGTTGCTGTGAAGCCAAAATAAAAAAAAAAAAAAAAAAAAAGTATCCACCGTTCTACAGCCACCTGTGTTTCTTCAGTGTGCATCATGTGAAGAAAGTTGTAATTCCACAGTTCGGCCACTGTGTGTTTGTGCACTTCCTGGGGGCTTCAGTCAAAGTGTGGACAGATGAGGCTACAGCAGCGATACAGGACTGTTTAGAGTGCACAGACTGGCGCGTGTTCAGAGAGGCCGCCACTCAGGAGAACCACATTATTCTTGCCTTTAATTAATTTTTAATAATGCTGAAGTATTAACTGTTTTTTTAGACAAAACAAGCATTGTGAAAGTGTCACAATCACAGGAGTAAAATCATATATACATATATAATATGTATAACAGCCACAGGGGACATTATAAAAGGGAGCTACAACTTAATATTATTGTGCAATCACTGTGTTTTAATATGATAAATAAATCTACCATGTATTTCAAGTCTGGCTGTGGTCTAAAGGGCATTTCAAAACTGAGAAAAAGATTGTAATTTTGATTGTAATAAAATAGATCGTCAGATTATTTTTTGGTCACCCCTAATGCAGCTCATGTGACTGACCAGTCTACTTCGAGCAGTAAATGTGACAAACAACTGAACTACTTAATGCAGGTTTTCGCTCTGTGGATTAGGACTTATTTTTTCTGCTTTCCTGTTTGCATTCATCTACCCGAAACAGGCATCCTGACTTGTCTAACTTCAGAGCTTTGACTTTTGAAGGGTTCCCTAAAAGTTTAAGACGTCCAAATCCAGAACTCTGGTTTATTTTGTTAAAAGAAGAAAGGGTTTTAAATAGGGTACTATCCTACTATAAAACAATCATGTTAGGACCTTTGACTGTGGGTGATATGGATGCAAGTCAGCTGCAGCAATTAGTCAATAATAATTGTTTAATTTATTATTATTAAACAAAACGCCATTCTTTGGTTCCAGCTTCTCAAATCTGAAGATTTGCTGTTTTTCTCTGTTTTACATTAATCTAAATCAAATAAATGCTGGTTTTGTACTGTTGGTCAGACAATTTAACCCTCAGTTCTGGTAACTTGTGATATTTCTTGACAGTTTATAGAAATAATTGATAAATTAATCGTTTAGTTGCTCCCTCAAAAAAGACAAATGTCTACTGTTATCAAAAACAAACTTTTATTCTCATGCAATCAACACATTCTACTGCTCGATATTTGAAATTACCGATACCTGAAATGAACTGTATTCAGCATTCAAAGCTGCTAAATGTTTATTTTGGTGAAACCTGACACTAAAGCTTTGCACAAGAACTGCAGCGTCTGCAACAAAATCCTAACTCGGTTTGCACTGACAACAGCCTCTCTGTTCATCGTTCACATGATTGTTGGAGGACCAGCCTGGTGAAACTGATTATACTGTCGCCAAACCTCGAGTTGAATTCCTCCCCTCATGAGACTCAAACATTACGGACTGGCTGCGTGTTTAAGCAACAGCGCACCTGTTTTCGGGAGCAGTGACAGCTAGCTTTGGGTTTGCAGCGGCTAGCGTGTTAGCAAGCGGGCTAACAACTAGTTAACGGATGGGGCAGGCGGCTAACGTTAAAAAGCTAACGGGTGTTACCTGACACGGCACCGCATGAAAGATGCATGGAAGTGGTGTGTGTCAGTTTATGTTTCGTCGCTGCTATTCCGAGCTAACGATGCATTTACATTAGATTAGCTAACATCAGGTTAATTTCAGAGGCTAACGTTAGATTTCAACATTACTGTGTTAGCTAGCTGCGACGGTTATGTCAAAAAAAAGAGACAGAAATAAACCAACTGACAACGTGTGAAAATAATTACAAAAAACAACGTATGTGTGACTCGCTTCCAAAATGTTAATAATATATATCAGATTTCGTATGCTGTGGGATTTACTGATGAGGGAGAGGGGGGGGGGGGCCCTGCTTCCATTATCGGACAATTCACAAAGCCGGCTGCGGATGGCTAATTTCACTAATGTTGCTAAAAATAGTGGGATGTATCGTGAACAAATGTGACTTTAATAACAAGGCAAGTATGCTTACAAACCGACAATCAGGGTGTGTGCTAGCCTGGTTGTGAGCAAAAGGAGAAATAGTGCGACAGACGCTTCACTGTCCGATAATGGCCACAACTTAACTTAATGGGTATGATGGAGCTACGCTTGCTAGCGGGTTTAGCAACTTAACCTAAATTAGCTAGGAAAAATAATAACAACAACAACAGTAACGTTAACTCACTTGACCTCTATGTGGACAGCAGCCAGGTCGGTCGGTCTTGCTCCCGGTAACGTGCAGAACCAACACGACAAACACACCGGAGCGGTTGTTGACGCAGACCGGGAGCAGGTTACTCCAACTGACGGGAGGTGCGTTTAGGGACCACTGGGAAACTAGACGATATTCATCACATCTCACACGCTTGCAATTTGCGCAGGTGTGAGAGCTGTATTTAAAAGCAGTGGAAGAAATCTTTTTACCTCAGTGAAAGTACTAATACCACACTGTGAAAACACTCTTGTTACGCAACTAAAAACCTTGCATTGAAAATGTTACTTTGCTAAAAGTATGAATCATGCTCAGAAATACTTTATTGATCCTTGAGGGAAAATTCTTTGTTAGAGATTGCTCACTTGCATATCGAGGTATATTTCAATGAATTGAAATAAAAATAGAAAGTAGGTAAGCAGAAAATATAACAAATATACAAATATAAAATATAAATATAAAGCAGTGTGGATGTGTAACATATTTTACAGTAAAAAATAATAAAATGTACTTAAATTATTAAAAATAAAGTAGCCTACTTATTGCAGAAAAAGTCCCCTGTAACTGTTATAATGTTTTTTTTATATATACTTATATAAGTAGATTATTATTGCTCATGCATTAATATAAAAGTAGGATTTTACTGCTGTAGTTCTTGAGGTGGAGCTTATTTTGAATATATTGTATCGGACTGCAACTTCATTATTTTCATTATGGATCAATCTGCTGATTATTTTCTCCATTAATTGATTAATTATTTGGTTTGCAAAAATTCTTAAGAAAAGAAGTACAATATTTCCCCCTGAAAGAAGTACCTAAGTGGCATTTAAAGAAAAGACTCAAGTGAAGTACAAGTCCCTCAAATTTATACTCAAGTACAGTACATGAAAATGTACTTGGTTACACATTCCGACTGAACATATTTTAATAACATATAGATAAAACTCACTTACAGTCCAATAAATGTTTGCTTTTCTCATAATAACAGAAAAAGTCAAGACTGTAAAACATTACAATTGCTTGTAAATAAACCACAGGCTCCTATAGTAAAAAATACACAAAATTATAAATACTATAGAGATATTATAAGGGCATATTAAGGGGACATTTTAGAGAACTATTTCTATAGCCATAGATAGAAAGAATGTCATCATAAAGCTGGATGAAGCTCAGTTTACTTCATTATGACCTCTGTATGTCCAGAGGTCATAATGAAGTAAACAAATAATATATTCTTTGAAAATTATTTTATTTCTGTAACAGAAATAAAAGGGATCACTCAATGAGAAGTAGTGGCAAGACTTTAAGACTTCAGACTGGCATCTTGATTTGACTGGATAGGCTCAGAAGATAAGAAATTTTCTGGTTGTGTCCAGTCCAATGGTAATACAGGATACATCTTAAATGTCCTTCTGTTCCTGAACACATCCAAGTGAAACTGAAGTGGGTGTGAGTGGAATAACTTTGTAGCGTGTCACTCACTATAGCCACCTCCCAACGCTTCTCCACACAGCTGAATGACAACACACACACACACACACCCTCCTGATGGCTGGGGGTGGAGTCTCTTCGCGGCTTTAACTGGTGCGTAACGTGCCGCCGTGGTGTCTTTACGCACACGGAGTTCACCAGGAGCGCAACGCATCTGGACTTTTTAAGCACAATTCATTTACAACAAAGTCAGAGATAAATGTGGATACCGATCTGTGCAGCTGTTGGGTAAGTCATTTTGGGAATTTTCATTGTACAAGTGTAAAGTGAATTATGGGGCTTAAAATTACTTTACAATTCTCTATGTCATGTCCATGATAGTCCTGCAGATACTTAAGTAACGCTGTTTTACATGTGTAAAAATCACTGTTGTAATTCTGCTACATTTATCTCACAGTGCAAACATACATCAACAAATATAGGCCTATATATTGGTAAATATAATGTGATATAGTAAAAATACAGCAACATGTATGGATGTACTGTTAGTTTGGATGGCACAATGTTAAGACCTTGCAATGTATAAAAAGTACACTCCAAATAGGCTATGTCTGTCAATATATTAGACTACTATAGAGATTAGATTTCTATTATTAGTATTTATGAGTAGTTATGAGCTGTAAGCAAGGTATTTAATTTTACCTTCATAGATTATTTAATTTGATTATTTTTTAAGTTCTGAAGAGGAAAAACTATCCAGTATTTTAAGTATTATAAGCCAAAAAAATCTGAGATATATATTGGAAAAAACACAATATTGTGTAGCTAAAAAAACAAGTGTATCTTTTGCAGTTTTGATACATATGTACGTCTTTTGTACAGCTTCCGTTGAATTTCTGAGAATTGTAAGGCAAGCTTGTGTCAAAATACCAAGCTTTGCTTAGCCTTTTTGTTAGATGGACCATTAGGGATTAGAATTACACATTCAACACATATTAGATATTAGTTTGGGTGAATAGCCGAACAAAAATAAATAAATAAATTAAAAAACACTGAGTCAAGGTAACTCATTTTCTTGAGTCTGATGAGTGACACAATGGTAACCCAGCTCTGTGTCAGTGCTATAATAAATGAGTAAAAAAAAAAATTATGGTTAAATTGAGGACTGAAAAGTAAAAACTGAACGGTAAAATGAGCTTCTGGGGTTTAATTCATGACCTACCAACAATGTAAGGATGCTACAGTTTGGGTGAATTAAAAAAATCCACTAACACTCGGCCAAAACAAGCTATTGTGTTGCGTTTGAGTGGTGATCAAATGTTTTAATGAGCAAATTTAACTTACTTTGTTGTCCCCGGTCCGAGTACCCAAATTGGGTAAATTTTTACCAAGTAATTTTTATTGCTCTAAGGTTATGAATGAAGCTTGTGTGGCTGCAGACTACTTCTGAAAGTTTCAACAATTCTACTTTATTTGGCATCTCAGTTTTGGCTTTTTGACTTCAAACCTTTTTTTCCTTCTAAAGTCTTTTATCAGAACATCATTAGAGAGGAATGTGTGCTCTGGTTTCGGCTTAAAGAGCCTGTTTTGCAGCTCCCTGTTCCAGGTTAACTGGTCCCACAGGTGTGTCTCTCTGCTGTGATGCTGAGGGGAAAACTTTAGAGCAGTGGTGGAAAGTAAGACTCATTCTGAGCTATTTGTACTTTGAGTATTTCCATTTTATGCTACTTTACACTTCTACTTCACTACATTTCAGAGGAAAATATTATACTTTTTACTCAACTACATTTATCTGAATTATAGGTTTTACATAAAGGAATACCTGATGCATCAGTACTTTCATTGTAATGGAGTATTTGTACATTACATTGTATTGGTACTCAAAAGATCTGAATATTTCTTCCACCACTGCTTTAGAGTAACTTCCAGCCCCCAGAGGATGCCCTCTTGTCATGATAAAGGCAGCAGCTTCCTTTTTATAACGCGTTGACTTTGATTTACCTTCAAGTTGCGGTCAGTTGAAGCCAACAGGATCCTGTTGTTTGACATCTTGTTCCTCCTGTGTCTCCAGACTCTTGTTCAAAAGAAGATTAGATGATTCTTCAGAGCGAGACTGGATGTGATCCTAGTTTTATCGTAGTTCCGCCCACGAACACCGGACCCTCCATGAGATGTCCAAATGCCAGCTGACCTCTGATCCTCGCATTATGGACCGCCGTCTAAAGGCTAACCCTCAGCTCCACTACGGGGTCAACGGAGTTGTTGGCCGAAACTCCAGGTCAGGCGTAAGTATTTGAAAACCATTTGACTGAGTTAACCAAAACTTGATTTATGGTCAATATACTTGAGGTCTTGTGAAACATCATCTATATACGTAGATCCTTGCAATTAACATCCAACATAAACGTATGATCTGGAGCACCAAAGATTTTTTTTTTAGAAGGAACAAAAAATATTATTTTAAAATATTAGATACCAGCTTATAATAATGCTCATGAAATATGTGTTTTAAAAAAGGCATACCTGTGGATCCCAACCTGGGGGTAGGAACCCCCTGAGGGGTCGCAAGATAATTAACAAGACAGGAACAAGTTTTTGGTCTAAGAGGAATGGACAAAGACTTTTAACATGTTTATAAGGAGTTAGCAGCAGTGCAGAGATCAAACAAACCATATTTAATTTCACAACCCTATGATTTGACCATTAAACCTACCTTGTACCTTGGACCTTGTCCTCAGTCTCTATGACCAACTCGCAATCGTTGCATCAGTGTTTTATAAAAGTGCAATTATAAAAAAATGTATTTGCTCAGTTGAAGGGGGTATTTGAAGGTGGGGAAATTATTAGGATGCATTCATCTTTCCAATAAATTGAAACAATGCAATAACACCAAATGGCCATCGAAAAAACTCACTCTGCAGCACTGATAAACATGGCACATCTCAGCTGACTGTCAGAGTTATTAATCAAACTTTAAATGCATTCTTCAGATGCCAAAAGTTCATTAAAGGAATACCGGTAGTTCTACAATTTTGGGGAAATACACATACTTGATTTCTTCACTTTGTTAGATGAAAATCAATCAATGCAATCTTCATGTTTGTCTGTTAAATATGTAGAGCCTGCAGCCAGTTAGCTTAACTTAGCATTAGGACTGAAAACAGTGCTATTTCTTAGCTGGAAACCGTCTTGTTGTTTGTGAGGTGAACCAGCAGTGACTTCAAGAAGGTTCTGTTCCCAGGCAAGAAACACTCTGGCACATAGCCTTTATGCTAAGCTAAGCTTATCTCTCATAACTTGCAGCTGGTTGCTGCAAGTTATGAGAGATCTTTTCATCTAACTAACTCTAGGCCAAAACTTCAAACTATTTCTATAAGCTTCTTTTAGATGATTGCAGATAAGAATATGTGAATAAAGCCATCGCTGGACTACTCTGAGTAAAACTAGTGCTATAGTGGGGACACAGGTTTGTATAATTACACAGATTTGTTCGGTCAGGAGTAAAGAGTAGTCTTGTTCTATTGTCCTCTTAAACACAGTAAACACACTCAGCGTATCAGACGAACAGCTGATTATTCAAGCTGTACTTCACCCTGACTGAGGCTTTGTGCTGTGTTTACACAATGCACCCAGTCATCACAGACGCTGAGAAATGACACCTGCTTAACAACTTAATCCCTTTGCGTGCCTTAGGGATGACATTCATTATGAACGCACAACACAACTAAACCGGTTAAACTGCAGTTTTCTAGATCTTGAGGTTCTTCACAACGACAACCATCTTTAACTCCATCTGAAACCAGCAGATCGGCGTTTATCCCAAATTGGTTTCAGTTGGGTGTAGCTGCAGGTCTATTTGTGTATCTGTACGTGTGAAGTAAAACAAAGCTCTTAGTAGCTTTGTTGTGGCACTTTTCGTAACACTTATGTCAGCAAAAAACCCTGTTTGCCATGTCAACCACGAGCGGAAGGTCATCACCTTGAAATAGCTCAAATAAGCAGCTTCCTTCAGTCTGGTGGCTTTGTAATTGTAGTAAAACATGACCTGTGATCAATACACTTTATTGTTGTCCGTGTGTGTGAGAAATGTGTCTTCTACTCATATTCAGAGGTAAAGTTTTACCTTTGCCTTGTAGACTCGAGTTAGATAAGAAGATTAATACCACTCTCATATCTGTACATTAAGTATAGAACTACCACCCACAGCTGGCTAACTTAGCTTAGCATAACTGGAAACGGGGAAACAGCTAGTCTGGCTCTAGTCTACCAGCACCTCTAAAGCTCACTCGAAGCTGGAGTCAGGACGTGGTTATTGTGCATTCATTTGGTGTCGGAATAATCAGAAAAATTATTTCCCGACTAGGAAAATTTACGTGAACGCCCACTGAAGTCGGGACAACAACTTGTAAAGTCGGAGAAAATTTTTCTCCACAAGTTGTTGACGTCATACACGTAGAAACATGGTTAGAAACAACAATGGTGCACGTAATCACGTATTGCACATAGTTCGCTGTCCATGTAGAGTGAACTAGATTAATAAGGGTTAAGTTATTTATTAGCAGTATTTGCCATAAGCCATATTTCAGTGGATTCAGATAATGTACGGGTGCAATAACAACTCTGGGACAAAACAATAACTTAATGTAATAGAAGCTTCAATATAGTTGTATCACAATGATAATGCTAATCTAATACATCTTTACAATAGCATCCATGTTATTTCCACATTACGTCTTAAAGCACACCAGAGGCGGAAGAACGACGTCCCAACTCGGGAAATGAGACCATCCAAGGAGCACATGAATGCAGCATTAGCTTAGCTCAGCATAAAGACTGCAAGCAAGGGGAAACAGCCAGCCTGCCTTTGTCCAAAGTCAATCAGTGAATCGAGTTACGGAGGTGGTTGAATGTTCCAGGAAAAGCTAGGAAGTGGAACTTGAGTTATATTTATTTGTTTTAGATAGAAGCTTTTCACCTGACTACATCGCTGAAGTTTAAACTTCCCAAACAAGCTGCAACATAAAAATACAGATGCTTAATCAGTTTGAATAGCTTTTACTGTAAATACATACTAAATACATAAGTTTTACATGTTTTACTTTTACTCCTAATGTTTTTCTTTGTGGCTCTGCTACTTTAATAATTAGGTCCCTTAGACGGTGTTGCAGGATGTTACGTGTTCCCTATGTGGTTTGGCTTAAGTAGGTGAACTCGGATCTTTATCAGGGCTGAAAAAGACCAAGTGAAGCAGCAAATTCAATAGTCGCCAGCTAGCAGGTAGCCGTGGAGGTGAGGCACAGATGGGGAGAGGCGAGGAGGGAGGGGCAGTCCTCCAACAGAAGAGAGGGGCATTTGAACTAAATATAGGGTGGGAAAGAGGTTTGGAGGGTTGGGATGCAGGAACAAACAGACCTGTGTTCTCCCTGTACACATGACTACTGTATGAGAGTCATAGTTAGCAACATAGGGTTCAGTGATTAAGAGAAAAGTCAAATCTGTTGCTTCACAAAAATGAATAAATTGTGTTAAATAAATAAAATCAAGTCATACACCTTTCCTCCACTACGCCCTGCCCTAACATTTTATCTATCTATCCTGTCTTTATCAGGGTAGCATGAGGTTGTGTAATATACAGCTCCATCCTGCTCTTTATTGGATTTGTGGATGTTTACGCTCCAGTCAATATCAGCAAAAACAGCGGTCAAAACCATTACCTGAGATAGCATTACGTTTTCCAGCTTGAAACATAAAAAATTAAGCAGGAGATTGCATTTTTGACTACCATTAACTAACATTAGCTTAAAAAGCTAGCTGGCTACAGCTAATCAAATCTGCTAGTGACAGTTGGCATTTCAGCCGACAAAATTGATGGTCTCCGTGTAGAAAAGAGAAGCTCATTTTGTTTGTTTTTTGTGTGAAATCAAGGACCTATTGTTGGAAAATTTAATTTAAGAATTTTGGGTTGTTGTTACAGTAAACTGCACCGTGATAGAACAGAAAGCTTGGCAGAAGCAGCAGTATAATAGTGAAATGCGGTGAACCTCTGGCTTTTGGGGCAATCCCGTAATCTAGCCTTGAAACTTGACCTTAACTCCGCTTCTTTTACCACACTGTTCAAAAAAGAATGATTTTGGGAATAAGGGTCCAGTGATTCAAGTCTAGTTCCTAATTTAACCCTTTTCAGATTTAAAATTTAGAAATCAAAAATGCCTCCCTCTTAATTAACTTCTTTAAATCTCTCCTTATCTCTGTAAATATTAAGAGTAAATATTGTATGTGAAAAACTATTCTTAAAAGATGTGTTTTATACTTGGTAAATGGGGATTCATAAGTAGCATGACTTGATGTCCTGTATATTAAGGAACTGAAAACAACTTCAGACATCCTGATGAAGACAAGTTAGCATTAAATGTTTGATGAATAAAGAAAGGTGCATGTAACTCATACAGGTCTGCACCTCGCTGTGTGTACATCGTCAAACCATGTTGAATAATTTCCTACTGTCTCTTGTCTCCGACAGGAAGATGATGCATTGCGGTTTCTGAGCCAGGAAGAGCAGGAGTGTCTCCAGTTCTTTGAGGAGACCATTGACTCATTGGAGGAGAGTCTGGTAGAGAATGATCTGACGACCAGGCAGTTGAACCCTACCACAAGAAGAGGTCTTGTTGAAGTTGTCAACGGACCTGTAACCTCAAGTCCCAACCCCGGGGTCATACTGGCCAGACCTCCTAGTCCAAAAGACCAGGATATTATAGATCTGGTCCGTCCAGAACCGGACTTGGTGCAGACCAAAGAGCCGATCTTCAGTCCCCCAAGTCCAGGTAGCGTACAGCAGTTGGTTCTTCTATGCACGGCCATAGCCAGGATTCTGGAAACACTTTTTCTCCTCAGAATGGCCAGGAATAAAATGGTGTACTCTTTCTCAGATTTTCACTTTGCCCTTTGTTCTTCCCAGATTTTCAGAGTAAAGTGCGGACCGCTGAAAGCCACTACGAGACAAAGCCAAGGCGTGATCAGGTGGACAGATTGCCTTCAGAGTACAACCCTCCCCTACCAAGTGGCAGCTATGGGCTGGCAGACAGCCATTCCTCCTACCACCCTCCAGGTTGTATCCCTACGCCAGTCCTGATTGCCAGAAAAATAGCTGAGAACCAGGCAGGAGGAACCTCAGACTACAGGCCCACCTCACTCCTCCACCGTTGCAGCCTGGAGTCTGAAAAGCCACCGAGCCACAGCGCTGATCTTCCAGTTAAACAGGGTCCTCCTACCTCTGTAAAGCCTAACCGCTTTCCTCCTAACATCAGTGTGATCCACGGAAACAAGGAGCACCAGAACCAGTCACTGACTAACGTTCACATCCAGGAGAGACGGGCGCAGATGCTGGCAAACCTACCGGGATCATCACACTCTCTGCTGCAAGAAGATCCTCAGTCGTCCGTGGACCAGAAGGCTCTAAATACTCCCTCTCGCAGCTTTTCCTTCAAGGACCCCTCACCAGACAAATCCAGGATAGAGGCCCTGTCTAAACTTGGCCTGAACAGGCACCGAGCCATGTCCGGGGATATGTCGCTCCCCACCTCTCTGGATCCTCTCACAGGTGCAGAACGTTCAAAATCCCTGGAGATCAGTGTACCTCCAAAAACAGAAACCAGCACCAAATTGCCAGAACCCAATTTTACGACACCAAATCAGAGCCAGATTCATGTCAACAGAAAACCAGAGACTGTTCAAACAGATTCCAGTAGGAGACATGTAGATAGAAACCCCCAACCGAGCCCTCTAGCAGTCACACAGAGCAACTACTATCCACCTCCTTTGGATAACAAGGCATCTTTTCCCCCTCCGCCTGAGGTCACCTCACTGGAATTAAACAGCTACGGAGGAAAATCTATTGTGGTCAACCCTTCTGTTTCCTCCAGGAGTGAACCTGCAACCTCTCCAACTAGCCATGAACCCAAAATCCTCCCGCCTGCACTTGCTAACCCCAGCGAGTTCAACACCTACGGAGGAAAGTCCAAAGTCATGACCCCTGCTCCTGTAGCTGTGACCAGGAGCGACCTTCCCGACATCCTCAGCTCCCATATTAACAAGAGTCAAACCTTGCCTGCAAAATCAGAGCCGCTACCCGTTGAGCTTAACAATTATGGAGGAAGGAGCCGAACTATCAACCCCTCCACTGGGTTAAATCGCCCTTCCGACAACCCGGGAACCAGTTTCAAAGCTCCAGCCCCAAAGCCGGCCCCAAGACCTCCTCGGCATTCCTACCATGGCGCTGTTACTAACCAGAAAGCAGCGCCGCAAGCCTTGTCCCCTGACCCCAAGAAAGAGAGAGGCAGATCCGGCTCCATGTTTCGTCCCCAAGGAATCACTGTGCAGTTTTCTGGACGGGGGGCGACGGACGCATCGCGCAGGGAGGCGCTGAGGAAATTGGGGCTGCTGAAAGACTCTTGATAAACTGGAAATGTATTCTTCAGTCTCCACCTGTTGAGCCTAAATCTCTGATGTGTACCTGCTGGTGAAGGTGGAATGCTTGAAGTTTCCCCATTTATGTCTGAGCTTGAGTTGTGGTTGGAGAGAGACCTACTTTTACAGAGGAATGGAGCCAGATCCTACGACAGACATGCACAGCAAATTCTCACTTCCTGACCACAAAAAAATGACAACCAAGTGTGACACGTTGTGTAGCTGCTGCTCACTGTTTCAATGAGTCAAGTCTTCACAGATAAACTGCAAACTGGTTTATATTGCCTCTGATCCAAGACATTGAATACTTCTGCACAAGATATTTTGGAACAAACCAATGTTGTAAAGAGGAGCATCTTCTTCCTGCGGGAATCGAACTACATTTGGTCTCCCGTCTCGCCTTTGTCTAAAGATGCTATTTGGAAAGTGGGTGCAGATTTGAGGTTAAATGGATTTTTACTGGGATTGTATATTTTGTATTTATGTCAAAAGTAAGTTTGGATTATCAACGGGGCAAAGTGGGAGCTCAATTTTGCCCCAGGGCCCTTTAACAGATTGATCTGGCCCTGGTAAATATATATGTATATGTTTTTTGGCTGCAAGAAGATACATAAAGTATAACCGTAGTGTACAGTAAATGAAATCCTCTTGCTACAGTGCAAACATAGCAGTTATAAAACGTAAGGCGAAAAATTAAGACAAAATGCAAATGAGCGGCTAATCATGCACAAGAGTAATTTAGGTATTAAAGGAACAACAGGCGCTCGCCACATACATATGAGTTTGGTTCTTTCTCCAGTTTAAGTTATATTATTTGTTGTGCGGTGTCACTTTCCTTCTAGCAGCTGTCAGGAAAGTGAAATTAATGTTCATACACAGGCTGTGAAGTCTTTATCACCCCTGTTACACGGGAACCTTTTGTGTTTTCACTGGTTTGTTTACCGACTTTGGGCATTTTAGTCAGCGGTGAGTGTGTGTTTGTTTTCTGTTAAAGGCACTTTTCTCTATAGCAACTGTTTTACTTATTAAATGACCAAAACTATATTATAAAGAACAAAAGGTTTCTAAATCAAGAAACAAGACATTCAGTGCCTCAGTGATTTTTCATTGTTCTGGAAATTAACATTTCCATTCATTCCATAAAATCTGATGTCCTGGAAAAACAATGGTGCAGAAGTTGCAGTAAAAAGAGCCCGGGTTTCTTGAAAGAGGTAAAGCTGAGCTGGGCTGGACGATATTTTTATTCCACGGACAACCCTCCCACACCAAACCACAGACTGTGGAATGGGTTTGTGGGCAGGACTTTTACTTTTCTACTATGCAGAGCGAATACTTTAAAACTGCTCTTTAGGGATGGGCGAGCACATGGCATTGTACAAAACACAAGCACTAAAACCACAGTCTAGAAATACATCCTGGGTTACTTATGTGTTTTTATTCCTTTCAAGCTGTTGTTGATACTTTTGCTGTTTCTGGTATTTCTGTTATTGTTATTAACTGTTGTAGCAGCATAAGCATGTATGTGTTTAAGTATGTACGTATGTATGTATGGATGGATGGATGTACGTGTATGTAAGTTTACTGTGACTCCGGCCTCTGTAGTTCACCTACAGTAACTTTTGAAGTATATTTGTTTCACACAGAAGTACCACTATAGTACTTCTCCTGTGTGGATATTTTTGTGAATTTTATTCATAGACTCCGGTCCTCTGTAGTTCAGCTACAGTCATTTTGAAGTATCTGATGGTGCATACACACAGTTTATAGCTACATTCGATATAAAACAGCCTACTTTATAAGGAAATGTTAGCGCAAAGTGTAAAATCCTGCACAGACCAGGGATTAAAAGTGCATCCATGTGTGGTAAATGGGAAAACAAGTGGCCATGTGAAAGTTGCTGCAATGTTACAACAGCCTGGTATACTTTCTGACTTTTGAAATGTCCATATTATATACTGTATATACTCTGCTTAATATATCTAATGTTGAATTTTTGTCAATCATTAAAAAGGATAATGTAACTTCTTTCTGATTGTTTTCCTTTGATAAACTCTGGAATGTAAAGAATGAACAGGTGTTGATCAATGATTGGCCACGTTTGTGCAATATTTCCCCTGAGTGGAAACTTACAGGACGTCTTATGGTGATGAGGTGGTGTGCTGGTCGGCAAAGTTTAAGGGGCACACCACTCTCGCGTCTTTTTTTTTTTAAACAACTCGACCTATGAGCCGTTTCCAAAATGCTTTTGGATACCACTCTCACATCTGTATGGTAATAATGAGGCTGCAGCCAGCAGCCAGTTAGCTTAGCTTAATGTTTGGAAATGGTGAAACAGCTGTCCATCTGTCCAAAGGTAACAAAATTCACCTTCTAGCACTTGTAAGATTCCCTGCTAAATCCTGGAGGGCTGTGCAGGGGGTGATTAAAACTGCTCAGAAGATCATTCGTACCCATCTCCCGAGCATCAGTGACATCGGTGAGGTGAGGTGCCTACACAGAGCCCAAAGGATACTAAAGGACAGTACCCACCCAGCCACAGCCTGATCACCCTGCTACCTTCTGGGAAGAGATATAGAAGTTTCTGCTGCCGCACCACCAGACTGCAGAGCAGCTTTTCCCCCAAGCTATCAGGATCTTTAACTCTAATTCTTCCTCAGCACTGCTCCACTGATTATAGTTTATTTCTGTTCACCAATTGCGTCTATTTTAATTCATATTGTCTGCTATGTAGCAGAAGGGAGTTCCAAACTCAATTACACTATATAACCTGTTATACTGTGACAAAACAAATGTACCTACCTACCTAATTCACTGTGTTTATGTGGCCGACTATTTCTTGGCCAGGCCCAGTAACTTCCTGGAGTTTACGCTTGGTTGTAGCAGCTTCTAGGCCAAGAAATAGTTCAGCACATAATGACCAGTTTGTACCTATTATGTATTAGCATTACATTTAAGTCCATTTCTGACAGATAAATACCCAAAAGGATTAATGTAATGCCTTTACATGCCTTAACAGTGGTGAATGTTCTTAAAGGATAGGTTTATATCTTTTATTGAAGCAGAAACTTTGAACTGCTGCTGTAAGTGTGCAACCCAACAGGTTAAGTTTTTCTCAGCTCCCATTTTCACCGTGTAACAAGTTTTTATAAAAAGTTTTGTTTTTCTGACCTTCGCCAATATTTCACATACAACTACTTGTGTGTTGACCAGCAACACAGAAGCAAACTGTCTGGACTGCAGACGGTTACATAAGACTTCAACACAGAGGCTTTCTTTCCTGAAGAAGTGCTGCTTGACGACTGCCATGCTGAGAGAGAGAGTGTGTCTGTGTTTGTGTATGAGGTCGTCTGGGTAATCCTAAGGGATTCTGCTTTACCATTGTTCCTCTAATGTATCGTGGGCCTGTTTTTTAGTGTGAAAATCTAGTTTTAACATTATTTTAGTTTAAATTGTGCTCACATGTTCCCAGGTTATGTATCTGGATAATGAAGTCTGATCCACGGGTCGTTGCATTTACACCTGGAATAAAAGTATGTTCTCATTATCTCAAACTGCATCGTGATCGGATCTCAATATGCATATTAGTTAGGCCTGTAGACACGGCGCAAAGGTCAAGGTAAGAAATGGATGAGGTACATTCATTTCTAAATCGCTTTTTGCAAGGAATAACAGAATCATCAAATTACATACAGGACTAGTATAATTTAACGTATTTGCACTGGTTGATTTCTGGCTCTCTGGGCAAATCATGAAACGGCTTAGTGCAATCTGCTGTACACACTTTCAAGTCTGTCTTGAAGTATTCTGGTGGTCGTGTGAGCATTAAAACAGACTTTGCTTGATGTAATAATTTCTCCTTTCCCCCAGAGAAACAAAAAGAGGGACTTTGTACTAAAAAGCCTGCTGAAGCCAATTATTTACTTCACATAAACTTTCAAATGCTGTGAATATCCCCAATTCTGTTGAAAGTGCATTAGGAAGGGATTTTTTTTAATGGGCAGTGTGAACAGGAAGAAGAATGAGAACAAGTTAAATCTGTTTCAATGTTTATATGGACTTGGAAAAATCACTAATGACATCTTCCGTAGCTTCTGGCACAGTGCAATACATCTTTGTAACTTTTAACTTATAATTACATTACTACGGCCGTAGTTTGCAATACTGTCCAGTCGCAGTGTTTAGAGTAGCGACCGGGCAGGAAATGAGGACATACTTATCTTTGCTGCCTTGTAATTAGACCTCAACAAACAGGCGCACCCTCTGAAAACACGCAAATGCCACACAAACGCATGGCGACCTCATTTAGAGAAAAACAGGCGTTCATCTTCATACATTTATTGTGATAATTCTTGTCTGTCATGAGCCGAGACACAAAGCTTTTTTTTCTTCTTTTGCTTGCAGGAAAAGAACAATACATTTGAATCTAGACACAGACAAACTAAGTCAGAGCCACGGCTGGACGCTTTACTACAACAGAGAATGACAACGAGCTGGTGCAGAACAAGGCCCATGCAGCAGAATACAGAGAATATTTATCCATCTACAAGCTCAACAGATAAAATAATACAGTTACTGTCACCGCTAAGAAAGTCTCTCAGGCACACAGTTATCAATTTGTCCCAAACAAAACAAAAAACAACTGTTACCATGTTACACTTCACAAATCCAAATCAAAGCAAGCTCAGTATTGTCAAAACTCACTCTTAGCTGCTCCTGATTCTAGCATCTAGCCGGATAGAAGTTAGAAAAAACTGAAGGTGTCCACCACTTATCAGGTAACTTGATGCAGTCAGGCCTCTAGATCTTCAAGGAGCTTGAATGACCGAAAAGTGGCACGTTCTCGTGGTGTATTTTGATTCAGACCATGTGTCACTGTTGGGTTTTGGTATGCAGCTGCTGTTTTATTGGCTTATGGAGCGTATAAACAGCGTGTCACTCGTGTTCCACTGCTTGCCTGACATGCCACTCAGATGTACAAGTCTTAGCATAAAGACTAACAGAAAACAACTAGTCTGGCTCTGTCCAAAGGTCACAAAACCCACCTACCAGCTCCTCTAAAGTTCACTAATTAACACGTTATATCTAACTTGGTTAAATGACAAAAGTAATTTGTGCTCGACTATTTCTTTTCTGGGAGTAGAACTTCCTGCTGTCGCCACTGCTCGCCTGGTATCTTCTCCCGGCCTTAACCGCAAGATATAACATGCCTTAAATTCACCGTACAGATACAAGAGTGGTATCAATCTTCTCATCTTACTCCGTATTTTTACGTTCATTGTAAACTACTCTAATTGATGTGAACTACTTGTCTGAAAGACAAAGTTTGACTATTAATGCTAGCTACTTGCCAGCATGCCTCATGTCAATATATATTTTTTAATAGACAGTAAAACAGGAGATATTCTGTGTATTAGGCAAACCGTTATCACAACAGTGGCATATACCAATAAGAATGGTTGGCAACGCTTTGTTTTACAAGTTTCATAGTTTGAAATTTGGTAAAAATTATAATGAAAAATTCTTTCAAGAAACTTCCTCTGGAAACCAACAACTGCTCATCAACTCAACACTAGGGCTGCAACTAATGATCGTTTTCATTATCATTTAATCTGTCGACTTGCAGAGCCCAAGGTGATGCCTTCACACTGCTTGTTTTTCTGTTTTTTTTTTAAAACCAAAACAGTCCAAACCCCAGAAGATATTCAACTTAGAACGATATAAAACAAAGAAAAGTAGCTGATGATCACATTGGCGAACCTAACTAGTATGGAATTAAAATGACTTCCAACCATTGATTGATTATTAAAATAGTAACAGATTATTTTTCTGCCAATCAACCAATCCATTCAGCTCTCAGATCTGTTTTCTTTATAATTACACCAAATTACAGATCCATAAATAACGTGTTACTGAATTATACCATATCATACTGTTTATAAGTGCCATAAACCAGCAGAGAGGCAGTGACATACCAAAGCAACACAGCAGTGGCATCCCATCAGCCACTTTTCGATCTTTTGAACTACATGATTCATCTGTGTCATCACGTCCTCCTCTGCATTCCTGGGCGAACAGTTTATGAACAAGTGTTAAAACCCTCGCCATCCCGCCCTTCGCCTCCATCTCAGCGCTGCCCTGACGATAGCGTGGAGTTTAGCAGAAAGCTTGACCGAACACACTTGTTCCCGTTTTTTTTTTAATTTTATTTGAACAGTCCCAAAAGCAAAAATAAAAATATCCAGATCTCTTGCTGTAAATTTTGTCGCACTCGCAGGTTTTTAACTCCTAAATATGAGTCACTTTTTCCTCAGCAGGAGGTGATCCGTTGATCCCGCCTACCCGTCTGGGTGTCTCGCCATCAGTCGGCCGGTCAGATGTTCAGTCGTCTTTGTAGTTCGTTCTCTGGTCCAAAAGAAAGAGTGCGCCATCTGTCTGACCCCTGACCCTCTGACCCCAGCTACTGGTTTTGCCTCTCCTCCTCGGGCCCCTCAGTACGGTAAGAGTGTGTGTTCAGGTCAGGGGTTTGGTCTGTCCCGGCATCAGTGGGCGTCAGGAGGAGTCATCCCCTGTTTTGACGGGTTCCCCCTCCCCCCCGATCTTGTTTTTCCTCTCTCTCTCTTTCTCTCGATCGATCATTCACTCGCTCGTTCAGCCTGGACCCAGACTCCAATCAGCGTCTCCTGGAGGAGAGAGCAGACATTTACTGCAGAGCTGCTGAGCAACGACAACACCTTTCAGTCCTAAACCCAGTCTGAAAGTTAAAGTTTTTGATTTATCGATGTACATTTTTTAAGCAATAGCCGTTCAATGTATTTAGATTACTTAACTACCTCTCTATGTATTTGTTTTCAACGGTCTGCCATTCCCGTGCTGGATTTAACTGCAGGTAATCCAGTGATGCAGTCAGTTCCTCTGTTTACTGTTCAGTATCAAATCAGAGCTGGATTAAGTTACTGCTAATGCTAACACAACATTCCCTGCATTTCAGAAGCTTTTTTGGTTATATTTGCCTAAAAATTCTCTTTAAATCCTGATAGCAATCACTAAATCAAATGCTCTGACACAAAAGCCATTTAATCTGTTTGTGGCTGTCGCAGGACAGTAATGAGCGTACCAAGAATGTGTTTTGGGGGAGTGGCTTTGTAGGGAGGCGTGAAGGGAGAGCGTGGATACTTTTTTTAATCTCCCCGTCTCTCACTAGTTTCTCCAGCATTGCCTAATATAGTTTTAAAGATGGCAGCAAGTTATGGAAGAAGAACAAACAAGCAGCTTTGGTGCGTCCTGCTGCTCTGTGGGAAATCGCTTCCGTGTGCAGCATGAAATCAGATCACAGCTGTAATTATTATTGTATGACTTCTTAAAACTCATTAAAACAACAAGATTTTGTTTGACTGCCCAAAGAGTGTTTTCTGCAGAAGAGGATTAGGGCCACATGTGAAGTTTTTTTTGAGTTCTGAGATTAAAGTCAGAATTCGGAGAAAAAGTCAGAATTCTGAGTTTAAAGTCAGAATTCTGTGATTAAAGTCAATTTAATCTCAGAAATCTGACATTAATCTCACATTTGGCCCTAATCCTCTTCCGCAGTTTTCTGTAGTATTAAACCCCAGTTGCTGTTAACACGGTAACCACAAATGTCGCCAAATCGACCAGAACTGAAAAATTAAACCTGCCATAACTGATGTGTTAATGGAGGGGGGAGTTGCAACATGATGAATGTGAGTCCATATTCTCCCTCTTTTTGCTCTGTTTTTGGTCTCCACCAGCACCTGATGGACATATCTGCCTCTTTAGCTGCAAAATGCTGCACTATGTTCACCAGCTAGTCTCTTAACTGTGTCTGTCTGCTGTTTGCTGTTGAGCATCTCGTGTACAGTGGCTTTTTACATCTTGGGCCGGACAGGTACACGATGAGCTCAAAACTCTCTAATAACTCTCTGTGGGCTTGTCATTACAAGTGATTTCACATAACACATGGTCATTTGATACATAATTATAAATATGTCCATTATATATTTAATGATTACAATGTATTTTATGTTATTACTAGTGTGTTCTGTGCAATTATTACATTTATTATGGTACCAGGAATCCAAAACTGAGGGAAATCAAAAACTATTTATAGATTTTAAAAAAACAAACATGAATATCCCTTTTGCTTCCTCTCTTCTATATACACTTTAATCATATATGCGCATTAATTATATATAAAAAAATAAAATAAAATTTAAAAACCCCTCCCCTCAAAAAAAAGTGCCACTTTTGTTTAAAAATCTGCCATGATATCAAAAAATTACTATAGTACCAGTACCAGTCTTTCAATAAGTTTGACCAAGCTACAAATGTTTGTGGTAGGCAACATAAAAAACTAATGTATTTTAAAAATGTCAGTTTGTTGTCTATTGGTATTGATACCAAACAATTTTAGTTCAACTATACAGCAGCTAATTTAGCTTATTGAATTTATTGTAGATTAAGTCTGATTTCGTTCTGCATGTTTCTTATTATGAAACAAATCCCATGAAAAATCAGGAACCGACAATGTGTCTCTCAATGCTGACTTCCTGTCTATGGTTTTCTGCTCCAAGCTCACTGGTAGACGTAAATCTTTAAAAATACCTCACAAATATAGAGTTTAATTTTTTCTAAAAAGGCTCAGTAATTTCTTTAATAATTTAATTTGTTGGGGACTATTTTCAGCAGCGGATGAATCCACATTTGGTGCTCTATTGAGTATTTGGGGCGGGTGTAGACGGTGTAATGTGGGACTGAGTCAAAATAAACTACAGTGTGTGTGTTCATGGTGATGAAGGAACATGTCACCCAGTGCAACAGTGAGGCTCACTGATGGGTTGTTAATAGTTTTTAGACAACAATGGAGCTCTGTGGCTCAGAGGAGGGAGATATATCAGGCCGTGATACACACACAGGCCTTGTTAGAATATCAGATTGTTGTGTTTTAATACTGTGACAAATCACATATTCTGCTTCATCCCGAAACTCCCTTTTCCCACCTCTGTTCTCCCTTCACTTTTATTAACTTCCTATATTAAAAAAAAAATACTCATTTTAAAAGATTCTTCCCAAAATAAAAGTGTCATATTTCTGGTAAAATATGGACTAACCTGCCACAATATGAAACAATGGGGGCACTAGCAAAGCAAATGCATGTGTTTCAATACAATGGGCCACTGACTGACATACCTGGGACCGCAAAAGGAATCTATGTGCATTTGTGTTTTAGGTTCTGCCAATAAATGCATTTGTATCCAACCAATGCCTGCCAGAGACCAATTAGACCAGCTTAAACGCCACATATGCATTGTTCACATCCTCTGAAATACAGAAGCAAGAAAGACTCACAAGGTGCTTTTGATGTTAAAAAAGAATAAACTTCAAGTTATCTTTATTTCAAAATATTCCCAGAGCTTTTACAGAAAGATTTATAATCCGACCTGAAATCAGAATCAGTTAAAAGTGCAAATATAAACATGAACTTCTCAACAAAACCTTTGCTCTGCTTTTTCAAACTAACTTGCTGAAGCTTCATCTTTGCTGATGATGTTTAATTAAAGTCCTCGATGGGGCTTGGATACACACATCTGCACTAGCCTACTCCGTGACATGGCTTCTCTCCTGCTTGTCTTTCCTGTCTTGTCTCTCTTGTCTGTCTCGCTTTTCATGCCTTTCATTTCTTGCCCTTTTCACGCTGTTTAAAGGAGATACCAACCAGGTGGCGTCAGTGCATGTTTTAGAGAACGAGCCCTAATCCTCACAATCGGCATCGTTTGTTTGAGTGTCGGCGCTTCAGTGATCACGGCTCACCTTCCTCCAGTCTTGAAGATGAGGTCGGCGTTGGGAGCGCCTTTCGGGTGCTGGTAGCGAGGCCGGCGCTCCCGGTTGGTGTTGGCCGGAGCCGGACGCTGAGCGAGGGACTGCATCATCTCTGTAATACACACACACACACACACACACACACACACACACACAGTGTTAATGTTGTCCACAAAACCTATGATGAAAAATATTCTTTTTTCATGGCAAAAACAAGACGAGCTAAATATTAATGTAGAGATAGAAGAGAAACGAATGAACAAGTTAGCTTTTGACTGTAGGTCCTGATTAGTAGAGTTCCTTAGCTGTCTAAAAACAGCCATTGATAAGAAGCATCTTGCATTTCAGTACAATTATCTGTCAGTAATCTCAGCTTATGGAACCAATTAGACAAGAAGTGGCGACAAAACAGCTAAATGTCGACAGGCTACCATCTAAATATTCCTGTAGATGTTCTCTAACAGAATATTACTGATGTTTTAGTTTCCTTTCTCACATTTGCTGTCACTGTAGCGTGCAGTGAGCTACGCTGATTGATATGCGATATGTAAAAAGACCTTTAATTCAGTCGCAGGGTTTCCCCCCAGGAAGATGGTTAGCAGAGGGGGTGAGCCCTGCCTGTATTTCAGGTGAGGTTGGGTGCACTATTGACAATTAAGCAACAAGGAAATGCTCAGACTTTGCAGTTTTGCCTTTTAACTTCCTTCTTCCTACAGTTGAGGAAATATCTGAACACTTTTTTAATCTAACATACAGCGTGAAGGATTGAGCCCCTGCTCATCTTACTGTTACAGTAGTCATGGTGAGCGTGTTGCTATTTGTGTTTTATTATGTGTTTATATGTGTTATCATCACAGAACAGGCGTTCATCGTGCCGTACCCTGGTAGTCCTCCTGCTCTTGTCTCTCATTGATGTCCAGCGTGAGTTTCTTCATCCTCATGCGCTCCTCCTGTTCGGCCTGCTGCTGGTTGAAGTGGTTGGCCGCAAGGTGGGATGACAGCGGCACGTTCAGGATCTTATACTGTTGACCAGAAACACACACAGCGGCATCAGATCAGGGACCGATTACTAATATCACAAGACTGGTAAACTGTGTGGATCAACTGATTTGGATTTTTGAAAGTTGACTTGGGCTCTGATATTAAAACAGAACCAGGCTAGCTCTTTCCCCCGTCTTCAGTTTTTATGCTAAGGTAAGCTTACTGCCTGCAAGCTTTAACTTACTTAATGCACAAGCATGACAGTGGCATCGATCTTCTCATCTAACCTTTAAAAATAAATTTCCTACTTCCAAAAATGTTGGGTTTATGGGGGAGCTTTAGAGATAATTTTGTAACCTCTGGTCTGAGCCCACAGAGCGGTTTCCACCCATTTACAGTTCTTGTGCTAAGCAAAGGTAACTGGCTGAAGCTCCATATTTACCGTACAGACAGGAGAGTGGTATTAATCTTCTTATCACAGATATTCTATATTGACAAATGCACTGTTTATATAGTAGGTCAATGGTAGTTCTTTGGGACAGAGCTGCAGTTAGCGATATGTTGTGTGTGTGTTTGGTTTGGGTGATAACTCAAATTATTTTCAATTACTTTTGACTTCAAACGTTTATTAAAACAAGATAATCAAGATAAAACGACTATTGTGCCACTTTGTCTTGTGTTATCACCCATCTTAGGATGGATTAAATGCAGAGAACGAATTACCCAATGGGGATCAATAAACAATAACTTTACATAAATCTCCACTCCTCCCTAAAAAGTCAAACTCGCTCTCAGCCAGGCTGTGGCATGTTTGGTTCAGCTTAAGTGAGCCATTGTTTGTGAAAACTCGGCCAATCCAGCAGCCTCCTGGATTTTACATCTATATCCGTGGTGTTACTGTACCTGTGCTTGGAGCAGCCAAAAAGGACAAGAGAGTCTCATTTTAGCAATCCTTTCTCACATTTTAAAACCCAAAGAAAAACGACCTTACAGGTGCATCTAAAAAAAATGATTGTGGAAAAGTTTTCTTTCATAATTTAATTTAAAAAAGTGACGCATTAATATATTCTAGATTCATTACACATACGGTTAAATAATTCAAGCCTTTTTTTGTTTTGTTTTAATCTTGATCATTACGGCTCATGGAAATCATAACTCCAGTATCTCAAAACTATTAAGTGTTTTAGAATAAAGAATTTACAATAGAGAAATGTCAACCTGAGAAGAGCTCTAATCAGATAACTATCTCAAAACACCTGCAAAAGGTTTTCTGACCCTTTAATCTCTCAGTCTGGTTCTGGTGCTAACAATGAACTTTTCCATGATATTCAAATTTTTTGAGATGAACCTATAATATACATCCTATTTTAAATAATCTTCTTCTTAAAAGTCTTTATATTTATTATATTATTTTTCAGTTTATATGTTAAGTCCAAGGATAAATGTATAATGCAGGCAAGAAAGGACACCCACCAAACACACAAACAGGATGCTTTTATTCACTGCTGCAGTAGCCTGGTGAAGCAGAGTGTGTTTACAGAGAGAGAAATGTGATTTCCCAACAACACACCTACAAAGATATTCTGTGTTCTGTCCAACTTCCATATGTATTTATTTATTTTTTTTGCTTGCGTGTATCTGGCAGAGTGAAACCGTGTGGACTGAACGCTCCATTAAAACCACCGAGCGACTGGCAGGAAAACTGGACACACCCTACAGTACAATAACCAAACCACACATTCCACCGCTGCAGCTTGCCTACGCATGCATGCACACACGCATGCACGCACGCACGCACGCACGCACGCACGCACGCACGCACACAGCTCCAAGTCCAGAGTCAATATTATTCAGACTGAGGCGAGTGTGTGAGGCAATTTCATTCAGCGGGACATTTCTGTACGAGGCAGAGAAAGTGTATCGCTCCTCTCCTCATGTCTGTTTGCTCTCAGATATTCACTGTTTATAAAACCGCACTACAATCCTGTTCCTGTGAGTATTTCTGGACTTTTGAGAGCCACGAACATCTCTGGTGCCCTAGAAACTAAGAGGGTCCTCAAGTAAAATATGTGAGTACTTCTTCCACCACTGATTATAAATGCTTTATTTCAAACAGTGACTTATGTCTGCTGTCACAATAATATTTAACACAGGCAGTGACCTTTTAGTCAGTCCCAAAGCAGGATACACTGTACTGCAATAGTTGGCCTACGTGTGTATATGTGTGTTAATATTGACTACAACAGCCATCCATTTACCTGCTGCTTGTTGCCTTTGCGTGTTAGCATGACGAACTGCATGGTGTCGGAGATTTCCGACTCTGCCTCCCCGATGCACGGCTGTCCGGAGCCTCCCTTCTTCAGCTGACTCTTCAGCTGCAGAGGAATGGCCACGTCCAGCTGGTGCACCTTCACCGTCTCGCCGCTACGCTGCTGCAGGGACGAAAACACACGGGTCAGGTCAAGACTATTCTGGCGGCTATTATGACTCTAGGTTGCTGCGCTTCCCTGTGGAGCTGAAGTGGATAGCTACAAAAAGTACTAAAAAGACAAAATATACACTAAATTTGAACTCAAATAAGCTTCAGATTACCTGTTTAAACCTGTTTCAGTGTTCAAATGGGCACCTGACTTCTGTTTTAGGACCAACTGTGATGCTAAACTGTTATTTTAGCCGACAGGAGAGTTGCAGGATGTCATACCTGCAGGTTCTCCAGCATCATCTTGTCCAGAGCCTGGATGAAGTCCTCGTCCTCAGCGCAGGCCACATGCTTCAGTCCACCGCCCCGGATGGTAACCTCCTACACACAACCAGCAAATGAACACAAATAAATGTACAAATCTTTTAATTAACACCTCTTTTCTTTAAATCAGCATTTTCTTAAAACTAAAATTAAAATCATCTCACTTTGCTGCAATAACCAAGTTAAGGAGGCAGAGACCGGTTAATGATAGTATGCTGAAAACACTGATCTATAAATGTAAGTGTTGACATTCCCCATCACTCAGGATGTTATGATGATAGTGATTACTGTGCACTGTATTTATGTTTGGGCAGATTTATCACTGAATCTCTTATCTACAGCTCTTCAGATGGACGTGTTCGATCTTACATTGTTCTCCTCGTCGGTCTCGTTCTCTTTATTGGAGTCGGTCAGGTAGTCTGTGTTTTCTTCTTCCTCTTCCTCCCTCTCCTCCTCCTCATTCTCTGACCCTTCCTGTGAAAAACAAAAACAGAGTCATAGCTTGTTAACTGGTGGGGGAATTCAGCCAATAAGATTGATGAGCATATGATTCTGGGTTTAATAACTGTAGGATATTGTAAAACAGCAAGTAGAAATGGATCGACTGCATCCTTTTCATTTAAACCTTTAATATGAGCAAGTTGTTAGCAATGTAAGTTATCCACTTCTGAAATGAGGAAGATTCCTTCCTGATCACAGATACCTCAGACATGACACAGTTCTGCATGAATACAGGCCTGAACCTGATGTGTCTGTTTATCTTCTCTGGAGTCACAAAGAGCAAACAAAGAGCGCACAAGAGTTTGATTGAACCAAACCAAACAGATTAAGCTTGGGATGAACGTAGGGCTAGGGCCTCATTAAAAAATTCCTAACTGCTTATCCTATCTTAAGTTTCAAAGATAGGAAAATCCTATCTTCCTATCCTCGTGTCCTATCCTATCTCAGACCATCTTAACTTCTAACTAAATCCTAACTAGAGCTGTAAACTGGATTCTTCAATCTGCACTCATCCAGTCATGCCTGTTCTGTGTGGCTTAAATTTAATTTTACAACTGAGTCTGAGGCATTTATCGTGTCGGTGGAGGAGAAGCAGAAACATTAATATATGTTCCTGGGAATTTAAAGCATTATTGTGCAGTTTGAGTATCCTTTCAATCATAATATTTTGATCCCCCCCCATCTTCATTGTCGTTGCCATACAGACCTAACAACAGTGGTGCTGCCTTTTTTGGTTATTTTGAATTTAGGACAGGGTCTGTACATTCTTACTTCAGGAATGAAATCCTAAATGCCATCCTAAACTGAGATAAGATAGACTTTCTGTAATGAGGCCCCTGGAGACTAGTTGAAACCCTACATAGACTGAACAAACCGCATAGAAGTTTCCCCAACTTGCACACATTCTTCAGTCTTTGATTAAAGTAAGGAGGGAGCATAAACCTACGACAGACAGCACACTGAATGACCCCGCAAATGCCACAAGAACACCAACTGCAGAGACGTTTGTGCTAAAAAAGGCCCAGGAAAAATGCTCAGGGTTTGGGTGAGATCCTCGACGGAGAGGCGTGTAGGACTGTGGAGCCCACAGAGGGAACTGACGGTAACTTCAGGTAGAGCTGTTTATTTACAGGTATGTCTCTCTCAGGTGGCACAAGGCCGCAAATCAATGATAAGGACTTCAGATTAAACTCTTTATATATCACAGACTATATGCAGACTGTCAACACCAACTGACCCAGACTGGAACAGACCCGGTCCAGCTTGGTCCCATCAGTAGTCCAAAATCATATTCAGAATCGGCTCAAAATTCATAATGTGTGTCCCGGCCTTTAGTTACTCGCAGTGGTCTAAATACATTTTCAGAGGCTTCTCCTCTCGAACAAGAACATCAAAAGTGGACAAAACTATTTATATAAACTTTCTCTGAGTGTGAAGTGATCATGTCACTTCACCGACACAACAGTGACAAACGAGCAAACAAACGAGAATGAACGATGTTTTGTTAGTTAGGTCGCAATCCATAAAATGACTCACATCCTCTTCCTGCTCGTTCATTTCACTCTCGTTGCCCGACTGCTCCTCAGTCTCAGCGCCGCCCTCTTCGTCGTCGTCGCCGTCGTCGTCTTCCTCGTCGAGAACCTCCCCTTCACTCATGGCACTGGAGCGGCCGTCCTTCTCCATGGCGAGACCTTTATGAAAACACACAGTACGACATGTGAACACACAAGACCAGGAAGCTTTTGGGAAAACGTCATCTCTAAGACACATAATGTTCTGCAGAAAACAGTAATCAGATTACACACAGGTGGTTATGAAAGATTATATCATAAATACCTCCGAGACAAGCTTTATAAATAGAGCAAATATTCAGGAGGGAATAACTATTTCATTAGTGTGCTCTTCCGTGTTAATGGTCAACCTGGATGCAACTGAATACGGAGCCTGATTATGCAATTGTGGCGACAGCAAAGAAATGAAGTCAGGCAGGCGGACAGAAGCTGAAGATCAGGTTTTGTGTGACTGGAGGACTGAAGAATGCCTGATCCTGGTTAAAGAATGAAAGGTAAAACAATGGGACCACTGTTGAGCTTCGGGGGCCTCTGTCAGCCTCATCAATCACTTTCTCTCACACGTTCACACACACAAGTAGTGGAAAGTACATTTACATTTACTTCTACTCCACTTTTCTGATTAAGGTGTTTACATAAAAACACGTGATAAGCTTACAGAATTCAATGTGTTGTTAAAGATTAAACCAGGGGCTCATAACATTTTTGGCTTGTTCACTTGTTTTGGAACTCCTTGTCACGTTTCAGACGTCTCCAAGTTGTCAACCAAACGTCTCGCAAATTTGTGTTGCAGTTGTTTCTTCTTTTTTCTCCACTATTCATGATTGACCATGTGCCCCTTTTGAGGACAACTAGCAGAGATACACATTTATTTAAAGAGTAAGATCATTTTCGTTTAACCAGAAACAGTCGCTATATCCCTCTCGTCAAAGCCACCAGACTCCCTTAACATAAACAGTAATTATACCTCTCTGGTCTCCCGCTGCTGAAATTGGTTTGTTTGTGTTATTGTGTGACTTTGGTGTTTTTATCCCTGTAAAAAAATAAAGCCAAACAAAAATAACAAAGTCACACACTAACACAAACAAACTAATCGAACAAGACAGCGGAGGACCAGCAACCCCTGTTTTCTGCAAAGTAAAATTTATGTTTGTATCAATGGAGTCTGGTGGCGTTGACGACAGCGATATAGTGACAATTTCTGGTTAGGCAAAAAAGATCTGACTCTTTTAAAGAAAAAAAAAAGGTCTCTCTTTGTAGGGATACTTTCCATAAGGTTGTCAAGACACTTGTAATAAAAATCTGAGCCTGTCAGTGGCAAAAACAAGCACCTTAATGGACCGACTGCAGCACGCTCGCTTAATACTGGACCAGTTTCAAAAAGACATCAGGAAAAGGGAAAAGAAAATAGGGTCTAGGCTGAAAAATACAGAAGTTACCCTTTAAAAACTAGCTCTACCTCGAGTGGCTGCAACAGTAATATGCTGTATTAATTAATGTACAGTATTAACAATCTATGTCATAATGAGAGTATTTTTTTTGTTTTTTACATTGTTGTAATTGTAATTTTACTTAAGTAAAGGCTTTGAGTACTGCCATGGCCTCCAGTCCGTCACACAGAGTCACTCTCCCAGAGGGTGGGGCTGGTGTTTACATTCTTGTCTGCATATTCCAAGTCAACACCTTGAAACTGTTAAACAAAGCCAGTGTTCCTGTGCTGCTATCAGGCGGAGCTGTCCAGGCTGCAGAGTAAGATACACCTGCAACACATATGTTTCCTTCTTCCTCGGCAAGGAAATTTTCTCTCTGAGGTTTTCTGCATTCCTGAAATAATTCACATTACACTCTGCAGCAGCTGTATTAATTACAGGTTGTAACACGGCTAAGCAGTTACTCACCCTATTAAAAGAACAGGTTCACATGTTTTCAAGTCTATTTTAATACAAAACTATATGTACACTTAAAGGAGTAACTGCACCTCATCAAAAAGCGCCCCGAGTTATGTTAAAGTCACAACAGTAAACTTAATGGGATTGTATGAATGATTTGAATGAATTTAATAAGAGTCCCTCCTTAATGACTTGTCGTCGCACGCTGACGGATGTAATAAACTAGGCAGTGACATTTATTAAAAGATTTACATCTTCAGCGGGAACCAATGGGCTTGGAGCCATGGATGTATAATGAGACCTGGATAACGCCACTCGTGGTATTACAGCGTAAAATCCCCCTGCAGAACCAAAATGCATGTTCCCCATTGACCACCATTATAAAAGATACGTCTGTAAGACTGACAGTGCACCTCGAACTGCAAACAAGCACTGCACTTTTGATCAACGGAGGTTGTGTATTTGTAAAACTTTCCTTGAGCTGGGAAAAAAAAAATCTGTGATGTCATCAGATTATGGGCCGAGCAGGGCGGGAACTCGCGGGTGGGGCCAGTGGGAGAAACACTGATCTTATTATGCGTCCATGCTTGGAGCTGAGAGCCACAGACAGGAAGTCAGAAAGTATTGACAGATAACACATTGTTGGTTTTCATGGGATTAAAATGTAAATTCACACCAACTTTAGCCTTTGAATAGTTTTTTCACAACGTTTATGGAGTTCTATAGACCCATTCGGACTGGATTTATTTCTCTGGGGGAGGTGATTTTAACATTACCTGGTCAGTCATTTTAATCCTGAATGTGGGTAACATTTCCTCACCCCTGTAATAATTACAGCCACAGTTACCTTGTGGTTTTTGGTGTACTTTCTGGTCCACCTGGGATTTAAATCCGGAGTGACATCCTCATATTATAATGGATCTCTGAGGTTTAGTTGGCAGGAAGAGTGATTTGTCCTTTTACTTTTATTTTATTTGCTCAATCTGAAAGAGTTTTAAAATATACTGGACCTATCAACAGCAAAGCTCACATTTTTGAGCATGAGTACTTGTTGTTTTGTCCATTTGTTTTGCTGGTTGTCTGCTTTTAACGTCAGTTGCTCTGTCTCTTCGTGAAGCACTTCGTGACATCTGCTCTTGAAATGTGCTATATAAATAAACTAAATAAATTATTATTATTATCAACTTTGGAAAACAAGTTGAATCATTATACAAGTTGGTACACAAAATAAAAGTATCTGTACCACTGAATAACAGGGAAAACTAGGGCTGCAAGTTAAAATTATTATTTTCATGATCGATTCATCTGATTTTTTCATTAATCGGTCTGTAAAATGTACGAAAATAGTGAAAAATTCCCATCACAAGTTTCCAGAGCCCAAGGTGATGACTGCCATTGCCAATACCCAAATATATTCAGCTCACAATAAATCAGCAAATCCTCAAATTTGAGAAGCTGGAATCTAAGAATGTTTGGCATCTTTGCATAAAAAAAACTTATATGATTAAACGACTATCAAAGTAGCTAAATTTTATTTACCTGTTAGTCGACTAATGAGTTGCATGTGACTCTTTTGGTGGCGACAAACCTATTTTGGTGAACCACCAAAAAGAAACTCGATGCACAGAGACTCATATTAATTAATAATTATAATTCCTGATTTTTTAATGACCGGGCCTTTCGAGTGTTAAGTACGTGTTTCGCTAAACTTCTCTGACAGATAGAGAGTGAGTGATGCAGCACGACCGTCCTCCTACACATCTGGGAATGCTGCTCAGCCGGGACGACAGGGAGCGGCTCAACCAGCGAGACCGGATGCCAAACAATTACTCACATCACTTGCAGTAATAACATGCCAGATATAGACAACTTCCTCCTCCATTCATCTTTAGACACGCTCCTACCTAGTTTGACGAGCACCTCCCTCTCCAGGTCGGTGACCTGTTTGGTGGCCTCCTCCAGGGAACAGCTGAGCCTCATCTTGGGCCTGAGCAGCTCCAGGGTGTCGCTGATCATGTAATCGATGTCGATGGGGAACGGGTGGTCCTTGGTCCAAACGTCGATGCTCTTTTTCCACCAGATGTACCGCTGCACACACACATCATTTTATTTATTTATTTATTTAACCTCTATTTGACCTCTTGAGATACAGCATCGGTTCTGCGAGAGAGACCTGGAAATACTTTGTTAAAAAGGAGCAGCCGGGTCAAATCTGAACATGAAGGAGGGTGTCAGAAATTGTGACCTTCCTTCTGTTGTGCTTCTGTTGACCTGTACCTGGAAATCTTAAAAGAAATAGCTACATCCAGTAATTATCAGGTACCTGGCATTTCTCTCACCTTCTTTACAGACTGTTTAATCTATCAGGGGTCAACAGAAGCACATTAGAATACTACTGCACATGGCAACTGAACAAAAATATGCAACATCTAAATACTGTCTGGTACTTTGACGTTCTTTCACCCAGTTTAAAGACTCAATAATGTTAATAGCAACAACCACTTACAAAATATACAGAATATGGTACATCACAAGCACCGACTTGTAGTACTACTACTACTTGTACTCTAAAGCTTGGATGTTAAAGGGCCTCTACTCACGAGGTAGTGGAAAACGGTACTATAAACTAAAAATGCTGTTCCAGAAATAAAATAAAGTTTTTCGGGCGGTGGTTATAGAACAAAGTTGACCCAACTGCTCGCAACACACTCAGAATGCCCTCCCACCAATTTGGAACCACAGCGCTATATATAATGCCCTCGTAAAAATCCCACAATGGGACAAAATAGTTAGCATGTACACTACTGTGAGCGATGACGCAAAAAGCTGGCGATTAACACGTTTCTGAAATCTCAGTTTACGGCTCACTACAGAGTAAACTTCTGAGTGTCTGTTATTCAGGGAGTAGTGAGTAAAGTACTGAGCTGTGGCTCAGTAGGTAGAGCGGATTGCCCTTTAATCGGACGAGGCGGCGGTTCAATCCCCAGCTCCTCCAGGACATGTCGAAGTGTCCTTGGACAACCCCAAATTGTTCCACCAGTGTATGAATGTGAGTAAAGGGTGAATGCGATGTAGTGTAGCTTTGAGCGGTCGAAAAGACTAGAAAGGCGCAAACAAATACGGAGAATCTGAGCGCACGAATGATATCATCTCAAGTGAAAATACTATTCAATATTCACACTATTCAACCATTCTTCAAAGATCCTCCCCCCAGCATGCACAACAACACAGAGACAATGCTACATGGTTCACCCTCAAATAAAATAGTTGTGGCTAGCTTTTCCTTTCCTAATTCCTGTAATTTGGAGTTCACTGGTTTCTTATATTAATCTAGCCTGGCTCGTAGCTGGTAACATATATAGACACATCTCTACAGTTCGTTTAAGAGCCGTGCCAGCTGGAGAAAAGTAACGCTAACGTAGTAAAAGACGTAATTAGCAGTCTGAACTGCTTTGATGAAGGACGGTAGAGAGACCTTGTGTATGGTTTACCGATGCCTGGTAGTGACACGTTACTAGCCGTTTTTTTAAGACAAGACGATTGTGGCGTAAAGTATAAAAAATTTTATAATACATGACTATTCGAAATTCACAACCCCATACCTAGTTAAAATGAAAGAGACATTGAGAAATAAAAAGACAGCGACCAGAGGAGCATAAGAAGACGTGCCTGGAAGTAGATTAGGAAGCAGTCCAGCTTCCTCTTGCTGGAGCCCCGGTCAAAGTACTGGCCGCAGGTATCGAGCAAGGTGCAGACCAGGCGGATGCGGAACAGGTGCTCCGGAGGGTCCAACGAGCTGGGGCTGCCGTCTGGATTGATCCCGAAGGAGATGAAGGAGAAGAGGGTGCGGAAAATGACAGCCGACTCCACCATGCGGTAGTTGTAGAGCTCGCCCAGGAACTTGGCGCTGCTGACACGCCGCTGGTTGAATTTAGGTTGGTTGACCTGCAAATGGACATAAATGGAACAAGTATTCAGATCCTTTGATCAAGTAAAAGCAGCCATTTAACACTGTAAAATACTCCTTTACAAGTCTTCTTGCAGCAGAATGGCACGCTTACTGATGCATAAACATGTTAGAAGCTTTTGAATGTTGTAGTTGGTGCAGCTACTTTAAACTACTTAATATCCTGTCAGGTCATTTAATCAATTTCAATGAGCAATTTCAAGGTGCCTAGAACCGCCAGCTTCTTAGTGTAAAATTAGTACAGTGTTCTTAATGAGGTTCTGAGGTAAAGTGAGTGCAAGTGATCAACAGCGAGCAGAACGTATTGGTTCTTTCAGACTTTTATGATCATAAACTATCTCTGTGTTTTGTGCTGTTGGTCGGACAAAACAAGACATTCAAGCACAACTTTAGGAAACAATGACCGACATTTTTAGCTATTTTCTGACATTTTGTACACTAAACATTTGTTCAAGAAAATAATCCCCAGATTAATCACGGATGAAAATAATCATTATTTCTGGATAACTGCTGGTATACAATATAGGATGTAATTATATCTACAGTTCATCTGAAAACTGTTTGCTTGTTAGTGTATTATAAAGATCAGCGTGTTCAATTCACTTGATCCATTTACAGGCAGAACTGAGTTTGTAAACAGAAGCCACATGGGCTCATAGAACAAGCTGACGAATCAAAACTGATGTCAGACTCTGTATTTGATTATGTTATTTGCACTATTTTTGATCTAGATGAACATGACCAGCCAGCCGTACACTCTCAAAACAGATATCTGCCTATTCAGCGGTTTCTTTGTGATTATTTGACTCCACTCGAAGACAAAGTTAAAGAAATTCTGGTCAAGTTTTTATGTCGTACTGTCTACATATCTGAAAGCTTTTCCACAACAGTAAGAATGATTTCTAACGTGTGCTGGTCATTACATTTTGCCTCTCTGTTGTCAGAGCCTGAGATTCAACCACTTCACGTGGTTGAATCTCAGGCTTAGAAGTGTTGAGCTCACAATGGAGCCAGACGACATTCTCACACGTCCTGTGTTCTTCAAACGATGACAGTCACAGTAAATCTTAAAGATAAGCACCTGGTGTTTGTCATCCTGTGATCTCACTGTACGTTACCTCACCACTCTTGACTTCACCTCATCAACAGTTTTTTATATATTGTCACTAAATGTAGTATTACACATATATGCACATATTTTCAGCCATGCTCTTTTTCTTTTTTTCCCCCCTCTCCTTACCTCCATGCCCAGCCGGATGTCCTCCAGCACTCCGTCCACCACATGGATGCCCACGTCCTCCTGGTAGGCCACCAGGCCGGCCAGCAGGTTGGCCACACAGTGGATGCTGTTGTACTTGACGTTCCAGATGTTGACCATGCAGCAGATCAGGTAGCTCTTGACCTCGGGGTCCTGCCAGGGCAGCTTGCGCATCTGCCTCAGCACCTTCTCAGTGGTGACCTTGGACAGGTCTTTGTAGAGCAGCTTACGGATGTACTCCTGCAGCGGCGGCCTTTTCTTCTTCACCGTCTTCTCCACAGGTGGGGGGTTGCAGTAGTAGTAGGCGTTCTCCACCATCGTCACGTAGCGGGCGTCCAGGTGCTGTGCCTGCTTTTTACGCATCATTTGCTCCTGGAACCGGAAAGGAATCGACCAAAATATCAGCTGTTTACATTAAGACTATGACTTAAAACAAACATGTTAATGTAAAAATAATAGCTACTCCAACAGACTAGGTCCAACTTAGTCCGATCATCATATTTCCCCGCCATCACGGTCCAACATTTTCCCAAATCAGCTCTCTTTCTTTCTCCTACGGTTTTTTATCTTCCGCTTTAACGTTACTGATCTACGGTGATGATGTGTACTAACCAGCAAGACGCTGGTACGCAGGTGAGAGTCGGGGGATCTGAAGAGGAAGCGGCCGCACGTCTCCAGCAGTGTACAGGCCATCTCTATATGATGATGGGTGAAATCAGACAGCAGCATCTGTTGGGCCACAAACACATTCAATTCAAATCAAACAACATTGCCAAAGCTACAAATAACTTACAAAAGAACAATTAATTTCATACATTTATTTAAATAAACTAAATAAAATTGTAAAAGTTTGTGTTTGTGTGTGGTAAAAAGTAAAATAATAATAAAAAAATTAAAATAAATAAATAAATAAAAATAAAGTAAAAATAACAAAAACAAAAAACAAGCGTGTGTGTGTTGTGAATTCAATTCATATGGTTCATCAAATAAATAAAATAAATAAAAGCGTAAAAGTGTGTGTGTGTATTAGTAGACAAAAACTAAATAAATTTTAAAAATATCAAAAACGTATCAAATGTGACATTAAAAAAAAAATAAAATAACCTTCCCGTCCCCAGCACAAGTCCTTTAACTATTAATAACACAAAGAGAATGGAGGTGTTTGGGACTATATGCAACCTGAGAGGGAGAGTGCAGATTGAAGTACTTCCACCTTCTCAGCCAGTTTTTGTTGCATAAAATTAAAAAAAATAAAGTAATTTGATTTACAGTTCTTCTAAAAATAAATAAATAATAAAACAAAGCAGTAAAGTCAGTGTTCTTTGTTGTAAAGATACAAATACAATATTATCTATTTTAAAGTTTCAGGTCTCTATCAAGGAAAGGTACTTTGATTTTAAGTAGGGTAAGTTTACGTCGCATTTTTTTGTGTTATCCTACTGTTATAGTACGTTACTGAAAGTTGTAAGACAACATAAACTAGAAGCTTCTTTTTGCAGTCAAAGGAAGAGCCCTGGGATTCAGTTACAGGTTAGTGTGTGTTATGTTATCAGGAAACCAAACACACACAAACTTTCATCCTCTTAAACATACTATCTCAGGCTGATCAGCTCGGAGGTAACAAAGCCTCAGATCTCACAAAGCGATTGTTCACCCACCTTGAGACAATGAAGCGTGTCCGTCTTTGAGAACATCTTGAACTTGGCCAGTTCACCGATAAATCTGACCGTTTTATTTTTTGTCTCAATGTTGATCTGGTCCTTCTTCCGAATCTAAAGCCCAAACAGTAGTACAACAGAATTATTAGAATAATTAAGAAAGGATTTTCTTAGTGGTTTCTTAGGTAGTGATGGCTCAGTGGATAAGACACATGCCTCTGGTGTGAGAGACCAATGTGAGACGCCAATGTGTTCCTGAGCGAGACACTTAACCCATAGTTGCTCCAGAGGCGTGCGACCTCTGACATAAATAGCAATTCGCAAGTCGCTCTGGATAAAAGCGTCAGCTAAATGTATGTCATGTAATTATGGTATTGTCATAGAAGAAATAGAGTCCTGCTAGTTTGCTTCTGCAGACTTTATGAACACCTACGTTCAAAGGAAAAAACATTTAGAAAAACAAACAAATATAGAAACTAAATAAAAACAAGAACCATCACAGGCATAAGCGTTGCGTGCCTGTTTATGACAGCACATCCTGCTGATGCATTTGATTTTAAATATCAGTGTTTTTTGTGTTTGTTGTTTATTGAAACTGGTTTTATCCAGTCACAATAAAACTCAGAGGACCTACATGGAACCTGAAGTCTCCCTTCAGCATGGAGCAGAGGTCCTCGGCCACGTCTGACATGCAGGGATGAAGAGTCGCCACCAGCCGAGAGTAGAAGGGCAGAAGATCCAACCTGCAAGAAGAGAAAGAGTCAGTTCTCTGCTGCTCTTCAGACCATACAGTATGATCATGGCACCCCCTATTGGTGTTTGAAGGTATAGGACAAGGCTGGCGGTATTATATCTTTCTTGTAGTCAATAAATCACATTAAAGGACCAAAACCAACAGCGAGCGTATCTACTAACAAGTATTGTGTGTATCAACGCAAACTGTGTCTCTGTTTACATCAACAGAACAAGGTTATCTCCTTACCAATGATCAGCAAGTTCATATTGTTTGCATATTTGTTTTACCTCTGCCTGGGGACGGTGAAGAGGGCTCGGACAAGCTTCCTCCTGTTAGATTTGGTGTTCATGTTCATGCAGAAATCCATGGCAGCCTGCAAGAGTCAACACACTGCTCATGAATTTGAAGATACTACCTTCATAACTCGTCAGCAACCTGTCATTCCTCATTTGTAACACTGTGTTAGGTCAGGTGGAAACATTTCATAATGTCATATTGTTTATATCAAGTCAGCCCAACACTAAGCAAGGCATTTATTCTCACAAACAAAAAGGACACCATGTTAAACTGTGGTTTGTGTTTGTTTCTTATCACCTTGTCTATGAGGTCTCTGTTGACACAGTTGGGGAGCTGCTGGATGAAGGCGTCCACGATTAGCTTCAGGTGGGACCCTGTGTTGGCCTCTTCATCCTCTTGTTCTACACATACAAAAATAACAGTTTATAAGAATCAACTTAAGATAAAATTCACACTGCAAAAATGATCCATAACCAGGTACCCATATAATCATCAGCTGACACACCATGAAGTAAAAATGAGTTTTTATACAGACCTGTAAAATTACCATCAGATTGAAGTACAGAGGTCCTTTTCTGTTTACCTTGCTCATCCAACAATTTTTTGGCCAGTTCTTCATTTTCTGCCTCGTCCGGTCCCTCCAGTTCTAGAGGTTCATCTGTGATGTCCAGAGCCTCCAGATCCAGCTCCAGCTCCTCTGTGGTGCTGGCTGCGTCCTTTCCCTCTCTGCCATCTGAACCGACAGCAACAGCAGCACAAGTTACTACAAAACTCTGTGTGAAAAATGAGTAGCAAAAAAAAAATTAATCTCTTCATCTGTCTGTAAATGTAAATATACCTTTGGCATCGTCCTTGTCTTTGCCCTGGCCGCTCTTCTCGTTGTCCTTGAAGAGGATGGCAGGCACGAAGGCCTTTAGGTCCACCAAGTTCTCATAGAAGTTACGAGCGTCTTCGTCTTCCCAGATTCCTCCCTCCAGGTCATACTCTCCAGGCTTACCAGGGGTGAAAATGTCAATGCCGGGACCGTGCTCTGGGAGAACAGAGATGTATATAATGTTATAACAAAAAAGATGCAGGAGATTTGACTTCATTTAAAGTAAAGACATGTTTCTTCCTTATTATTTAGCTGTAAGTCTGGGAAAGAAAGCGCACACACCCTCCTGCACAGTCTTGTCCTGAGGCAGCTCTGGCATGTTTTCATCGAGCAGATCAGCCAAGGACTGAGTGTTGGCCAACAGCTTCTGGTACGAAGTGGCAAACTCTTCATACTGCTTGTGTCTGTCCTCACTCAGCTCCCCCTTGGAATGCAGGATACGCCTGAAGAGAAGACAATGCTAAGACGTCTTTCTCATATAGTCAACAACAAAAAGTGACCAAGGAGCAACTGTGGTCCGGTACTCACCTGTTCTGCCTTTCAGTGTTCTGCAGCTCCCGATGGTCCTTCTTCAGGTGTTTGGTGAGTGATGTGAAGTACTCCCGTAGAAGGTTCTGGAAGGGCTGCTGCTTCTCTGTGCTGATGATCTCACTCGGAGGGAAGTTCAAGCCGAACTTTTCAGCAGCCAGTTTCACCTTGCGCGGCATCAGACCGGCAATGTCATCGCCACAGTGCTTACAGAAGCTGATTACCACCGACACATGAGTGTGCGTCTCCCGGTCCGTCCCAATAATGTTCTTCAGCTGCTCGTAAATTAGCGAAAGGCCCTCTTTGTCTGTGAAGAGGCCAACGATGGTTAGCTCGGCAATAAAGCGCAGGTCTGTGCGCAGCTTGCTCACATTGGGCGCCTTGTCCTCCTTCCTCGCTTCAAAGTGCTTCTTCCACGCCTGTAACAGTAACGGAGCAAACTCAGCGTACCTTTGGTGGAAGAGGGAGCACAGGTGGACGGCGCAGCCTACATCAGAGATCTTCAGCTTGGCCTCCACGACAGAGCTCACAGCCTCGCCGATGTACTTGCTGAGGTTCAGGGAGCCAAAGTCATTGGAGAGCGAGTCCCGCTGCTGTTCAGTAAGTGTACGTAACTTCTTGACAAAGGCAGTGTTCTTCTTAAGGCTGGAGTCCAGTCGGCTGAAGAAGACCTCTTCGGGACGACCCTCTTGGGCGTTCTGGTTCTTGCTGCGGAGTTCCTTCCTGCAGTGATGGCGCTCCCAGGCCTCCTGGTGCAGCTGATGCCCCTCCTCCTTCTCCCTGCAGAGATGAGGTAAAATGGAGAACTATACATGATAAAAGCAAGACCACACTAACAGAGGGGGAACTTACATTCTTAAGGGTCATATGTCATAGCCAGGCATGCCACACACGGTTACCTTCAGAATACGTTCAGAATACGACTAGTCATAAATCCTATCAATTCCTTAAATTCTAGGAATGTTTAATGATAAATAAAATATTTTATGCTATTTAAATGGAGTTTTGTATTTATGGTGAAGGAATCTATGGACGTTTATCCACAGATATTGATCATGCTGTATGTGTGTCATGTCTGAGTTATGACTCTGTGAAGAAGGAGTATTATCTATGATGCAAATTGCATCAATCGGGCGCTAACGGATATCTGCATGAAATTTGGCTTTAGAAAGATATGACAAACAGAGTTCCCCATCACTTACTTCAGGAGAGCTGCCTCCTCATCACGTTGTCGTTTGGCCTCCTCCTCCTGAAGCTTCCTCTCCTCCTCCTCCTGTTTCTTCTCCTCCTCCTCTTTCTTCTTCTGTTCCTCCTCTGCTTTCTGTTTTTCCTCCTCTTTCTTTCTTCGCTCCTTTTCCTCTTTCTTCTTCTTTTCCTCCTCCAGGCGCTTTCTCTTCTCCTCCTTTCCACTGTCTTTTTTACCACTCATTTTGGCTTCGTCTTTTGTTTTGTCTCGAGCAGAAGCCGGTTTTCTCTCCCCATCTCTGTCCTTCTCTTTTTCCTTGTTACTAGGGGGGCAAACATCTTTCTCATCCATGTTTACTAAGCGCTTGCGTTCAGCAGGCATACTGAGGAAAGATAGAAAGTTAAGGATATGAATAAATATTCTGTCAGTCTCACAATAGAATACAATTTTAACCCTCTTTTGTGATCCAAATAAAACTAGTGACCAGAATATCTTCTTATTGAATTACAATATACAATGTGATTCATATGTTACATTATCAGTTACTTTGTTGTATAATGATGTCTATTTCCCCCCAATATTGTATATTTTCCTACAAAATAACACAATCTTTTTGCAATGTTAATCAATCAAAAAGAATTACAGGCTACCTGGATGAGGAAATACCTAAGCAACTTGAGGAATGGGGTATATTTTTTAAATATTAATGCATGCTTTCTATTCTATTTGGCTCCTGAATCAAAGTTTAAGAAACCAGAAGGTTAATTGTGGTTTTAAATTTTTCTTTAGGATATAAAATAACAAACACTTGATGCCAAACAGAGGATTACTCACAAATCTGAGGAAGAACATTCAAATCTATTACGATAAAAATCTTTTTTCAGTCACTTTTCCTCAACAAAATAAATATATTAATAGAAAAATTAAGTGCTGATTCGTTCGTCATTCAAATCAATTAGGAATGGGTTAATTAATTTTGTTTATTTTTTCCTCGTCAATCACTTTGCAAACTCTTTCTCGCAAATTTAGCCAGTTTTCTATAACTAAACTTTATGAATATTATTTGGTTGTAATTTCTCGATGGCTCATTTGTCAGAATCGGGATAATAAAACGAGAGGCTCGTTAAAAACAACATTCATCTCAAGAGATAAATTGCGTCAGATATTAGCTGCATGTTTACAGAAAAAGTGGACAGTAAACAACGTAATTCTCTGTATTTGACACCCACGCAGCAGCCCCGGTCGTTAGCCACTTAGCCCAGCTGCTCTGCCTCGGTTAGCCTGCCAACGTTAGCTCTCTTTGATGTTAGTAGTATGGCTGATGAGTTAGTCTGGAAAAAGAAAGTCTATTTTACGGGTATTATAAAGTTGGTGTTATGTTTTAAATGTGTTTACAAATTTCATAAAAAGTTAGCATTGGCACAGCTAACGCCTTTAGCTAGGCCACTTGAATGGGCGCATTGAAACCAATGTAAACAAACGTTTTAACAGTGTTTAACTGAAAGTTAGAGTACATCAAGTCGTAATGGCACAATCTTATATTAATATATACCATAAATCCCTGCAAAGCATTTCTAATATTCGTGTAAATGTTGTAAAATGAAACGCTTTACCTGCCAGTTGTAGCAAAACAAACATCGGTCATTAGCGTTGGTGTCCGTGTGAACTGCGAAAGGACCCTTCACATGTTGGTTCCACAAATTATGCCTGACTGAAATTACCATTATTAAGTTTCATTACGTTATGTATTTGACATATATTAACGTGCTTTTAGTATATAGCTCAATAGTATTACAGTATTAACTAATACACAAATCATTTTATATACTGGTACTTTAAGATTGTGTCACATCGACAGGCATTTCTTACGGCGGCTCCTCATGTAACAGTTGTCTGCGAGGCCGAGAAGACGGCGGCTGAAGTTTTTTTTAGTTGCATTAATCGATTTATTTTGGCCACTTGGGGGCAACAAGTTCGCTTTTTTACTCCCAGTCCATCCCCGAGTAATTATTTTGTGACAGTTTAACATTAGTATAACAAAATTAGAGGCAATTTCTCTGTATTGTGAGCACTTCTACTTTTGAATCTATAATAACATTTTGCTGTTATATACTATAATGTAATTTTGCAAAGCAGAACCTGTAGTGGAGTGTTATTAATATTGCAGTATTGCTTTTTACAGAAGTAAAGAAGTGAATACTTCCTCCACCGCTGACTGTATGTACAGTTATAAGATAAGATAGACTGTAAATCATTACAGCCATATTTACTTTTTAACTCAAAAAGCTCCGACAAGTTTTGTATTTTGAACTCAACTGTATGAGTTTTTAAAAGTTAAACATTTTGTTGCCTATTTGAGGCTTTTTTTTCCAGATATGTATGTGTTGATTGAACTTGGGTTTGTAAGTTATCAGTTGAAAAAAAAAAGGTGGGTGTGTGGGACGGGGGGAAGAGAAAAATAATAGCCTAGTTGTTGCGTCTTTTGAGTTTGAGAGAAACTATCTTCTTTAAACCATGGCAAATTAGAAACATGGACCTAATCAACTAATTCTTAGGGTTGAGCGAGTACTCTGTTGAAATGAGTGTCCGGTACAGTGCACAATGCACTTTTTAGAAGTATCATCAGAGTAAAATGTTTGAATATTGTTTTTTTAATAAACTATAAATATATAGAAACCTTATAAAAAATCTTTCTTGTAGTATTGTAATTAAAAACATTGCTCTGAAGCTCAATTCTGAGGCTGCTCTGTAAATAGTTTTCTAATAAATACAGCAACCTCTGATTAAACCATAACAATTTCAGACTTAACCAACTAACTTCCAGTTAGTCCCGCCCATGTCCACGTTTAGCTGAGTACAGATACAGATACAGATAATTTAATTTGTTGAACAGATACAGACACACGCTCAGAAGTCATATATTCAAATTCCAACCAAAACATAGACACTTTGGTGGTAAACAAGGAAGGACTATTACCACTATTGAACAGCCTCATTCATGTGAATTTAAACAAACTTAGAATTTAAATCCTCTTTAAGTCTTCTTCAGTTGTTTTAACACGAAACTGTGAGCTCCAATAATGCAGAAATGGATGTTTTCCTTGCATTGATAAAGTAAAAGAATTATTATTTGTTTTAACTCAAAGTATGAAGTTGAAATAAGTTATAAAAAGTTCAGTCAACTAAAAAACAACAATATTGAGACAGCTACAACACTGCAGTTGTATTAACTTTATGAACCTTAATTTTTGTGAGAAACAAAGGTAATCCTCGAGTTCAGTTAACTTGCGTTTCCAAATTACACGAACATGAAATGTGTTATAGTGTAGAGAGAAGATAAACTTTATTCATCTCCACAATTCGGTTGTTGGAAGAGCACAAAGACAGACTAGAATAAGAAGTGAAGTAGAAATAGAAGCTATACAAGAGCCATTAAACACAAAGTTAAGTGTTATATCTGTAGCGTACACAAGAATAATGTATAATATTAAATAATAATACAGTGTTTCTCTTGCAAACATTGGAGAGGGAGAGTGGTGTGAGTTCCCAAGTCTGTTCAAAACCATGGAAATTGTGTGTGTGTGTGTGTGTGTGTGTGTGTGTGTGTGATTTTAATAGTAGTAGCATAAGCAAAAGTATTGGGAGCAGTTGTACTTGAAAGAGAATTTTACATGTGGGTATTATAATTACAATGGGGAATGCTACTACACTGATCTAGTGGTAAACCAGACTGAACCCATGTCATTGAATTTAAAACAGTTTAAACTAAACTGGACCTTCAGTGGAAACAGAACGGAGTCTTTGTGAGGTTGTTTCACAGCAGCTCTCAGATTTTCCACCTCAGGAGACTGCAGGTATTTTTAAACACACGCTTTCCAACTCATTCATTCATCCGAAATTTCCTCCCAACACAGCCTGTGTGTGTGTGTGTGTGTGTGTGTGTGTGAGAACAAGGGTTGCTCTTGTAACTTTATTGACACAGTGTTAATGACACACATAAGGAGGTACTGCACTCAGCTTGGATCCACTGGAAAGCTGAACAGAAGAGCTGTTCACAGGTAGACTCCATTTTAGGTGTGGTTATAATAAATTAAATCATGTGCAAATTCTGTATACTACTACATGTTACTATTATAGTTTAATTCAAGGCAAGACTCTGGAGCTATAGAGCCTCGGCTACTTTATTATACTACATTTCATTGTACTTTTACTCCACTACGTTTCTAGGACAGCTATTGTTACTGATTACTTTGCAGATGAAGGTTTTACCTAAAAATATGATATGATTAGAGAGGGGGGCTCACAAAAAGCAGTATGTAATTGGGACTCCTCATCATGTTTCAGATGGGTTGTTACCAGTTACACCCATCTAAAACAAAAAAAATACTAAGAAATAAATACAGATTTGTCTGTCAGAACTTTGCTTCGATTAATGGCCTCACAAAACCTCAGATTAATCGTCTGACTCTTTTGGTTGGAAACTACCAAACCAAAAGTAAAACTACTGAAGCTCCAACTCAACCAGCTGCAACAGTGAAATGTTTTTTGTACATTATTTTGATATTTTAAAGCAGATTTTCCTGATAATACTTCTGTAATTTTACCTAAGATTTTGAAAGCAGGAGTTTTACTTGTAATAAACTATGTTTAAATTAATGTATTTATGCTTTTACTTAAGTAAAGGATCTGAATACGTCTTCAACAGCATGTGTGTGTTCTTGGAAACACTCCACATCCCGTCAATCAGTAGAGGAACAATCAAGACAGCTGTGAAGCACAGAAACAGTTTTTATTCAGCAGACTGAATATGTTCAACACAGTAAATTGACAGGACAGTAGTGACACAGCTTTGCTCTGAAGCTGAGCGCGCTCTGTTTGAGTGTCTGTCCGGGCGCAGTCAGATTATACATGGCGAGGCTGCAGTACATCACAGACACAGACACTGTGATTGGAGTTTTATTTCAGCAGTGAAATGACTGATTGTATTTTTCAAATATTAAATACACAACAGATCTCAGCTGGGATTGATTGGTCACACTTGGCTTTTCTTTGTTGACCTCCACACTGCCTGATTGACCCTCATAATCTGTGATCCCGCTGTGATCTGACTGAGCGTCCACAACCAAAACAATGGATCAGACTCCCTCCTGAGGTAGCATCTCAAATGTTTTTTCAAAATGGAACAAAAAAATTGTAGAAATCAACTAGGTGGACATCACAGGGGCAGTCAACAAAATTTAACAAGTTCTGCTACAAAATAAAAAGTAAAGAATACAATAAAATTAAACGTCTAAATTAATCAAAGCAACACTGAATGAGAGCTAAAAACTGAAATGATGTTAACCTTAAACACTTAGTAAACAAGAAAAAACTATTTAATCCCTAACAATAAAAAAGACTGCGTACCAACATTGTTGTTGTTTCTGGTTAGGCTCAGTCACATCAACATTAAAACAGCAAAAATATGCAATGAAATCGGTCACTTGAATCACTACAGTGGATTCCCAGATGGGAAAAAAAAGTAAATCCATGTTACTTTTTTATGTCCAGTTCAACTTAAATTTACTATGACGAGTGAATTTGTGACTTTCTACATTATTAGCTTCTGATTGGCAATGTAATTTGTTCTTAGGCTCAAAAGTGTGTATTACACAACACTTGTGGCAAATACTGGTTGATTGTTTTTTTCAGGCGTCTGTTGAAATATTCATGTGGAAAGCCTGAAAATAGCTGGACTATCGTTTGTCATCATCTAAGCCAGTGTCGAAGTATACAAAAAGTGTATGTGAATAATCATGGTTTAAACTTAACTACAAACACACAGAAAGGGAGGATTACCCTCTCTTTCCCCTTTGGCAAGTGGACATAGTGTAGTACAGTGGATAGTCCATCATTTTCTATGTATGGATGTTCTGAATCTTGCAGCAAAGCAGTTATTTAAAATTATAAAGCAAATGTTAATTTAAAGCAAAAATGTTTTCATTTAAATGACAAATCCCTTATAGGACTGTTCAGAGTCCAGAAACAGTACGTACACACAACTTGCTTAACAAGAACAGATTAATAGATTTACATCTATCTGTAGAACAGTCCTTTAAATCTGCCCAGCCTATGATAACAAACCCGTGGTCTCCATTTGATCAGTTGATAGGAAACCATACACACCAAATGTATAAAATGTTCTGTCGGCACAAACAGCAGTAAGTTCTGGGAAGAAATGACGCTGAATTTGACCTCCTGCAAATGTCTGTGTAAAAGCTGTTTGAAAAAAGAAAAGTTGTGCGTGTTATTTTATCTGTTTTACATGAAAACAAAGATGTTATTGTCTGATATGTCCATATTTTCCCATTTCATTATGTTAGCACAACTTTTTTATCTTCATTTCAGCATCTGAAAAAGTCTTAAGAGTCCAGCTGCCAGTGTGATGAGCTTCAGTTTCCCTTAAAACCATAAAGGATCAGTGTTGTAGAGCAAGCACGATTAAATTCTTTCCTCTCCTACAAAAATACTCATAATAAAATAAAAAACATATATATAAAGAGGTCTCTGGCAGCTGGTCACACTGCGGACAGTTAATCCGTGCAGTTGATTGACAGGTGAGTCAGGCTATGGTCTTTGAGCCAGGCGGCTCTTCCCCTCCTCTTGTTCAGCCAGCTTGATGTGAGTGTAAGACAGGATGCCTGCCAGGGTACACAGGATCCCCAGTGCCTGAGTGTGAGACGAGAGGACAGGTAGAGAAATAAGAAAATTATTGTGGGATTGGAGCAAGAAGGTTGCATTAACTCCCCTGAGAAGCACATTAAGACTCACCTGGTTAAGTGATAGCGGGTCATGGAAGAGCAGGTATCCTCCAATTAGAGTGATGCAGAATTTAAAATGACCAAACATGTTGTAGCTGAAAACTACAGTCAGGAGAACAACATTTATGAAACTTATTAAATCTAATATCTAGAATAATTTCCTCAAGAGTGAAGACCTCCAAAAACTCTTAATAAATCTAAACAAACTATCAAGAAAGCTCCTCAAGAAGACCAAGACTACCTCTAATTGATCAGAAACCCCTCCAAGAATCCTCCCCAAGAACATCAAACACCTCATTGAGAGGTTCAGCCTCACCAGGAAAACAACAAAGAAACCTTCAAGATGTCAAGAAACCTTCTCAAGAAGTTCTGAAACCCTTTTGTCAAGACTAGAAAGCTCTTCAGAAAGCCCTCAAACCTTCCAGAGAAAACCAATCAAAATCTTCTCTAGTTCTCAAACCATTTTAAAGAGACCAGAAAGTAGGGCTGGCCAATATGGCCAAAAATCTTTTCACAATATATATTTTTTTAATATCATTCGATATCGATAATTATCAGAATAAATGTCAAATCATTATTTCTTTACCCCTTAAATCCCCCCCCACACAAACCCAAAACAAACCTCAAACCCTTCCTTGAACCCTGCCACACACCCCTGAAACATCCTTCAGATCCCCAGAGGTCTTTTTGGGCTCCTGTGTATTTGAGGATACGTGACAGCTGAGGTGTTTCCGATGATCCAGTAGATGGACAGGTTTACCAGGAACGCCACCACACCCGAAAACAGCACTGTGGCCTAAGCAACAAGAGGACAACACTTTTACCCCAGCAACATGACAATGTACAAAATCAGGGCCTTTACTAAAAAAATGCTGGTGTTAACTGGAGCCAGTTGCACCAGCTGATTCTTTGTTCAAACTTGAGCAAGCCTAAAACGTTATTAAATGTTAGGATGGATATTTTGTTGAAACGTGCTGCTGCAGTTGACTTCCTTGCTTGCATGTCGAATGCTTTCTCGTTGGACGCTGCCACAGACGTCACTTAGTCACCGATTTACACATTACTCGAGACTCGAGGAAATGTATTGCACTTGTAACTCGCAAGTTTGAAACTACCTATTAGTTCCTAAGCACTTAAGGAAGGACTTTATGCACAAACATAGAGATGGATTTATGAACAGCTGATGCAACCCAGTCCTGGTGTTGTCTGTGTGTGTCGTGTTGAGTCTGACCAGAGCAGGCAGAGACCAGGGTCCAAATATTCCTCCGTCTCCAGTCATCGGCTCAAACAGAGGAACAACGCAGAGCAGGAAGCCCGACGACAGAGGAGCCTGACAGGGCAGTCACTGTGTTAGCATTACATAACAGCCATATTGGACATATCCATTATTATTCTTTTATCTTTTCATATCCCATTGTTAGTTTTATATATTATATTTATGATTACTTGCATCTGATCTGTATCAGACCCAAATAATGAACATTTGTTGTTGTATTGGAAAATGTGCAGTCTTTGATTTATTTTACCCCATCTGTCTAAACCAGCTGTCACATAAGAATGTGAAACAGACATTAGGGCTGGATCAAGTCAAGTCCCAGGTCAAAATCAACAAGTCCCAAGTCATGTCCCAAATAAGGGGGAACTAGTCCCAAATCAAGCCCCAAGTAAATACAAACAAGTTCCAATTGAAGGCGAACATGTCAAAACCAACAAGTACCAACTCAATCAAGGTCAACAAATCATAAGTCTAGTCCCAAATAAAGGGGAACAAGTCCCAAATCAAGTTCCAAGTAAAGACCTACAAGCCCCAAGTCAAGGTCAACAAGTCCTAAATCAAGTCCCAAATAAAGTTCCAAGTAAAGGCCTACAAGTCCAAAGTCAAGGTCAACAAGTCTTAAGTCATTTCTCAAATAAAGGAGAACAAGTCCGAAACAAAGTCTCAAATAAAGGGGAACAAGTCCAAAATAAAGTCCGAAATAAAGGGGAACAAGTCCCAAATAAAGGAGAACAAGTCCGAAACAAAGTCCCAAATAAAGGATAACAAGTCCCAAATGAAGTCCCAAACAAAGGGGAACAAGTCCCAAATAAAGGAGAAAAAGTCTCAAATCAAGTTCCAAGTAAAGACCTACAAGCCCCAAGTCAAGGTCAACAAGTCCTAAATCAAGTCCCAAATAAAGGACAACAAGTCCCAAATAAAGGGGAACAAGTCCCAAACAAAGTTCCAAGTAAAGACCTACAAGTCCCAAGTCAAAGTCAACAAGTCTTAAGTCATTTCTCAAATAAAGGAGAACAAGTCCCAAATAAAGTTCCAAGTGAAGACCTACAAGTCCCAAGTCAAGTCCTAAATAAAGTTCCAAGTAAAGACCTACAAGTCCCAAGTCAAGGTCAACAAGTCCTAAATCAAATCCCAAATAAAGGAGAACAAGTCCCAAGTCAAGGTCAACAAGTCCTAAATCAAATCCCAAATAAAGGAGAACAAGTCCCAAATAAAGGGGAACAAGTCCCAAATAAAGTTCCAAGTAAAGACCTACAAGTCCCAAGTCAAAGTCAACAAGTCTTAAGTCATTTCTCAAATAAAGGAGAACAAGTCCCAAATAAAGGGGAACAAGTCCCAAATAAAGTTCCAAGTAAAGACCTACAAGTCCCAAGTCAAAGTCAACAAGTCTTAAGTCATTTCTCAAATAAAGGAGAACAAGTCCCAAATAAAGTTCCAAGTGAAGACCTACAAGTCCCAAGTCAAGTCTCAAATAAACAAAAATTCTCAAATAAAGGGGAACACGTCCCAAATAAAGTTCCAAGTAAAGACCTACAAGTCCCAAGTCAAGTCCTAAATAAAGTTCCAAGTAAAGACCTACAAGTCCCAAGTCAAGGTCAACAAGTCCTAAATCAAATCCCAAATAAAGGAGAACAAGTCCCAAATAAAGGGGAACAAGTCCCAAATAAAGTTCCAAGTGAAGACCTACAAGTCCCACGTCAAGTCCTAAATAAAGTTCCAAGTAAAGACCTACAAGTCCCAAGTCAAGTCTCAAATAAACAAAAATTCTCAAATAAAGGGGAACACGTCCCAAATAAAGTTCCAAGTAAAGACCTACAAGTCCCAAGTCAAAGTCAACAAGTCTTAAGTCATTTCTCAAATAAAGGAGAACAAGTCCCAAATAAAGTTCCAAGTGAAGACCTACAAGTCCCAAGTCAAATCCTAAATAAAGTTCCAAGTAAAGACCTACAAGTCCCAAGTCAAGTCTCAAATAAACAAAAAGTCTCAAATAAAGGAGAACAAGTCCCAAATAAAATTCCAAGTAAAGACCTACAAGTCCCAAGTCAAGGACAACAAGTCCTAAGTTAAGTCTCAAATAAAGGAGAACAAATCCGAAACAAAGTCCCAAATAAAGGGGAACAAGTCCCAAATAAAGGACAACAAGTCCCAAATAAAGGACAACAAGTCCCAAATAAAGTTCCAAGTAAAGACCTACAAGTCCCAAGTCAAAGTCAACAAGTCCTAAGTCATTTCTCAAATAAAGGAGAACAAGTCCCAAATAAAGGACAACAAGTCCCAAATCAAGTTCCAAGTAAAGGTCAACAAGTCCTAAGTCATTTCTCAAATAAAGGAGAACAAGTCCCAAATAAAGTTCCAAGTAAAAACCTACAAGTGCAGCAGTGGGAAAAAACTTTGTACTGTTACAGTGATAGTATCAATTGATATTACTGTGATATTATCAACATCAAATTATAAAGCAGCACTACTGCTACTACAGTTCATTTGACCTGTCTCTGGCATTGAGTCATACCTGATAGTACAGGAGCTGCATGGAGTTCACCTGGAGCTCATGTTGTTTAGCCCCCACCCACTGAGCAAGGGACAGACAAGCGGGAGAGAGAGAGAGATTTTATTCCTGTCAATCTCACAGAAAACACTTTGTCTTAGCTGTCTCTGAGACATTTCATTTCAGTATATATATATTTACTCACCACTTGGTAAAGCGATGTCACCAGAACACCCAGCGACGCAAACGTTGTTCCCAGCAGGTTGAACCGCACATCGTAGTAGGAGTTCAATATCACCCCTAACGTTATGGGCACCTGGAGGAACAGGCAGGTAGGGAAACCAGTGAACACTCGTCTTGTAATTACAATAACCATGATTTGATATATGTGCCATATTATTACAAACCTGCCTCCCAACAGAATCTGATCAAGATCCCAGATTTGCCCAGTGAAAAACAAAAAAAAAGGCGAGTAGAGTCGAGGCAAGTTGAGCAGGTACCATCCGGTGGAAAATCCAACCTGGCTGAACCTAAGACCTAAACCTGACCCAGGGCTATATTCTTGCCCCCATACCTGTCATTCATTACTGACTATTATCTCGCCAAGCTAATAAAAACATTTTCTACACTCTGTCAAGAGCAAAATTTCAATCAATCAAACCTGCACCCTGCCAAAAACTTAATGCAACAAAAAGACCCAAACTCAACCCAAAACTTCACACTTCTGGGTTGGGTCGCAGAACTCCAGAACACTGTGGTCACCGCTTAAGCCAGCTACTACGTTCAGATGACTGTGTGACGAGAAGATTACTCTCCTTACCAGTGTCAGTTTAATCTTAGTGGAGAAGGTCTTCTTGTAGTAGGTGGTCTGGATGAGGATGATGACGGGTGTGGTCATGGCTTTAGCCAGCTGGTACGTTCCTATTGAGTTGTTCTGCAGGGAAAGGTTGGTGAAGGCCACGAACCCACAGAAGCTCAGAGCCAGCCACACAATCCTGCGAATTGGGAGCCTTTTTGGAGAGAAAATGTCCATTTTTTGGCAGACGTAGAGTCCCAGCCAGGTGACCACAAAGTGAACAAGGGTCAAGGTCATGTTGGGGAAACCATAGTGTACGTAGATCCACTTGTTTATAAAGACAATGCAGATGGAGGACAGCAAGTTGACCAGCAGGCCGGCGACGATGCGCCTGTTGGCTGATAAACTAAACAGCATCTCAGCCATGATTCTGGAAGTTTACTAGCTTCGTCTACCCCAGCCGAGCTTTGTTTATCTTAGCTGAGCTACCTTTTCACACTGCGAAAACAAAGAAAGTAACTGTTAGAAAAGAAATTCAGCCATATTAATATTCTAACCAGACAAATCTTACTTATTAGAGAAGCTTCATGTAATAACTAGTGCAAAACTAAATAAGTATTTCTAGCAAATTGGAACACTACCAGAAGTAAAAGTCCTCATTATGTAGAGGAATTCCCCACTTCAGTGTTTAAGTATTATACAATATTGTTTTAATATTATTTACAGTGCATTGCTGTGTAAGCAGCTTGTTATAGCTGGTAGTGGTGGAAAAAAACTCAAGCACTGTAAAGTTACTGAAGTACAAAATTTAGGTACTTTTCTATTTTATGCTACTTTACACTTCCACTTCACTACTTTAGTTTTAAGTTACTTTGCGCATCTGTTTCTAAAATATGATGCTTTGTTAAACTAAACTACCAAACAGTATATACCACAGTTTGTATTAGATTCATCTCCAGCTTTCCAGTAAAAATACATAAATATAATTTAACACTTTCTCTGTCTTTCTTTTGATAGTTTTACTACAATTTGCTGACAATAATTGTATGTAAAACTTAAAAGTTACTTTGTCACTATAGCTGTCAAATAGGCAAAATCTAGTGAATTACAATCGCCTCTAAAATGTTGTGGTAAGTATAAAGTAGCCAAACATAAATTGGTGATACTCAAGTAAAGTACAAGTACCCTAAATTCATACTTATAGGTACAGCAGTTGAGTAAACGTAGTTAATTACTTTCCACCACTGTTAAGCAACTCTAATAATAACACAGATAAGACGGTTTGTAACGGTTAACGGTAAAATAGCGGTTTTTTTATATTAAGTTTGGCGTGATGATCTGAACACTCACTAGCTTTAACATTAAGTCACTTCCAATACTATAAAACTGTGTTTTATACAACATAGAATCAATTCATTGTACCCTGACTGTGGTCTGTCTGTCTCTCGTTCTGCCACGCAACAAGAAAAGTTTACCTGGGGTCTCCATCTTTCCATCTGTCTCCCTGCTTCTCTCCCCTCTGTGTCTTTCTCTGCCGGGCTCGCTCCAACCAAAACAAACATCCAGAGCGTTACCGGGCTGTGCGTGCGTCTCTCCCCGGCAGTCAGAGCTCCAGTCCCGGCCTTCGCGGTGAGGAATCCCCGCTGCTGTACAGGGCGATGTTCTTCCCTGATCTCCTGCTGGAATACAGCCGTGATGGAAAACCGCCCCGTGTTTTCCTGTTTCCTCTGTGTTTAACGTCGTTTAACATGCGTGTGTTGAGCAACAGCGACTGCTAGAGGACTGGAGCGTAGAGTAACTCGTTTCCTTCATCAAAAAGTAGGTAATTTACTTTACTTCACTCAGAATCAGGTTTTTTTGCTTTTTCACATACCAGGAATTTGCCATTGTACATTGGTGCCTAACAGTACACTTAACATAATATAAAAAATATATATTTATATAAATATAAATAAGAGATAAAATAATCTTAATTGATCCCACATTGGGGAAATTCTCTTGTTATGGCAGCTCTAGATACAACACAACAGATAAGAAAAATGCACTTCAAATAAAAAAACAAAAGAATTGAAAAAATAATACATGGAATTAGAAAAATAATAATAAGAGTTGTATATGTACTCTATATACAGATTCGGTTAATATGAACATTTCACAGGTGGCAGCAGGATGTAATTGCACAGCGTAGAAAAAAATAAATAAGTATGATTGTACAGGACAAAAATATATTTAACACTTAGAGTAAATAATATATAAGTACGATTACACTGTGATTGTATTTTGTAGTAAAAGACGCAAATAAAATGTTTGTCTATTATAAAGTATGACTTCTCTATCAATGAAACCTATAGAGCTAAAATTAAAGGGTTTAGGGCTAACCAGTTAATCTACTGCTTATATTCTTGTTTAAGTGATTGATCATATTGTCAATAAAATGTCAGCAAATTTTGAAAAACAGACAGCAAACATACGCATTAAGTATATTGTTACGTCCATGGTCAGCAGGCCATACCCCCAAAATATTCACTTTACTACCAAGACAAAGAAAACATTCCCACTGCAGAAGCTGGAACTAGGAAAGTCTTTTTATTGAAACGATTTATCGCTTATCAGAACTG